ATTAAGGCTAACTGCGATTTGTCGTATATGTTAGGAGTTTTAGTAAAACCTAAATAGAGTTATAACTATAGCGTTTTACTAGTAATTACTAGGCAATAAGCCACCCGCAATCCTCTAGTTTAGTAGCGTTTAGAACCGCTCGGCGTAGTAACGAATTAGGTTAAGAAGAGCGCCTCTCTCGAGCCTGTCGGTAAAGCGGCTATTTAACTATTTAACTATTAGAAGAGACTATTATAGAAGCAGCAATTTTGCAGTAGAAGAGACTATTATAGATACTAAGAGTTGTTGCTATATAATTACCGCCTGCTACGACTATATCGGAAAGCCTAGCTACGCTAATTGCTATCTCTTCGACCTCGTTATTGCTTAGTGCGTTGTCTACGAGCTATTAACTTACTAGCGGTTAACTAGCGGTTACTATATATTCTTACGCCTCTTATCTCTCGTCTAACTCGCTCGTTGCTAGGCAGGTTATTAGCGGCGTCGTCTTCCGAGTCGTCTATTGTCTAACTAGTTAGTCGCCTAGCCGCTCGTTCGTAATCCTTATCTCGTATATAGCTTATTGTCGTGTCTGTAGTATGCTAGTCTACGTTATAGAAGATAAGAAGCTCCTCGAAGGACGAGAGGCTAGAATCGGCAAAGCAACGGTCGTCTATAGCAATGCCGTTAATCTCGCGAATACTATATATAAAGACCTATAATAGCTTACCCCAATTCTGTTAGTTAGTTAAATAGTAAGTGCCTAGCGGCGTAGGTAGACCTCGTACTAATAGCACATCTCCTACCAAATCTACCTCTTTAACGTCGTCTAAATCGAGCGGTTATAAGGACTATATATCTAGCATTGTCTCGCGGCGCGGTGTGTTAAAGGAGGGCGGTAGAAGGCGCGGAAATAGCCTCGGAGTAAGGTTACCTAGCGGAGGCGGAGGTAATAAGAATGTAGGTTAGCGAATAGGTAACGATTAAACGCGCTGTTTTAAAGGCGACGGCCGTAGTGTTATATTAGAATAGACGAGGTAGTGTGTTTCCGGCGTTGTCGGCGGTCGCAATTGAGCGCGAGTAGGTATCGCTAGTTTAGAAGGTAGTTAAGTTGTCTACTATCGCTCGGTCTTACCTATAAAATAGACCTCTTATAGGTTAGCGATAAAATAGTTAATATTTAACGCGTAGCAACTGTCCGAGAAGTCTTTAACCTTTCGTACGTAGAAGGCGTAGAATGCGTCCTTTATAGTACTATCGATAGAAGGGTCGTCCTTAATCTGCTAGTACTTTAGATTTAGTGTTTCTACCGCCTCCTTAAAGTAGCCTCGAAGATCTCTTAAAAGAGGTGTTTATACTAAGGCAATAGCGTCTTCTTTATAACCTTCGATTACAAGTTATTAAGTATCGAGAGCGCGCTAGTACTCGTAAGCAAATATAACATTTAGGCCTAGAAACAGCTCGATATATCGACGTTGTTATACCTCGCTAATCTCGAGTCTATTAAATAGGTAGTTACGTAGAATATAGTAACAAGGTAGGCGAGTTTGAAACTAGGCGAGGCAGTTATAGCGAGCCGGTATTATATAGTTATAACTACGCAGTATGCCCTTATATATAGGTACTGCCTTAGCTTCTATTTTAATAGCAATATCTACCTATTCTCGAATATAATCCTAAACAGCTAGTAGTTGCAGTGTCTCGAAGCCTAGAAGGCCCTTATAGTACTAATATTGTGTGCGTTTGCCGAGCCTATAACTAGCTAGCTATGCCTTATAAGCCTGCCTATCGTCGACTTTAAGAACCTCGATAATAGTGCTATATAGTATGTGGAACACTAGGTTGCGCTTATTGCGGTTATACTTAATAGCATAGTAATAGCCCTCTAAGGGCGAGGTAGTCCTTATTTGTAGCAATAATAGACTGTAGAGCCGTACCTGAGTTGCCTATTTCCGTAAAGTTTAGCTATTCTAATTATAGCGTATATATTAGACCTTGTCCTACTATCCTATAGGCTTATACTCTTGTAACTACTCTTAAATCTATACTATATCGGTACTAACGTCGCCTACGCTACGTACGTAGTAGATTAAGTAGTAAAACCGCTTAACAATCTCTAGAAATTAGGCCTCTAGAAACGAGCGAAGGAAGGTCTCTTTAACGTACCGCTAGCAGAGGTAAATTCGCACCTAGTCGTTATCCTTCTACGAGAGGTTAATAGCCGCCTATTCTAAGGCCGAGTCGTCGACTATAGCTGCAACAGGCTTCTATAGTAGTAACTACTCCTTAATAGCTCGAAGTCCGGCTTCTACGAGCTTAGCTTTCTACGATTCTAGTAATAGGTAGCCTACTAGTAGCTAACAACCTAACGCATTGCGAATATAGATAGTAAAAAGGTTCTAACTAAGGTCGGTAGTCTTACAAGTCGCGTCTAGCAAGAACAACTATATAGTATATAAGTTAGTAATGTTTTAAATTTTTAAAGTTAGTAGTAGAAACTATAGAACGCAAGCTTTAGAAGCTTAGTTATACGCCTGCTTTCTATACTACTACTACTAACAATAACACTTACATCTCCTACCTCGGTATTTAACAACTCTCGTTACTACTCGCTCTAAAAGACAATACTACGCTCTGTCTTGCCCTTTAGCATCTTCGATATTACCTAGAAATAGAGCTCTTTACCGTCTATATTATTATAAACACCCTTTAGCGCGATAGCAAGGTCGTCTAGCTAGATACTCGTATTTCTACGGTTACTAGCACGAGCCTTCCTTAGGTTAGGCCTAATCTTTAACTACGCTACAATACTAGCCTTTAGATATTATCCGCTAATTTTACTAAACTCGTCCTTTAATAGCCCCCTTTTAACGAAGTCTAATACCTTAGCAACGTTAAAAGCGCGCTATTCTATTAATTCCTCGAGGAGGACTTTTAGGGCGTTATTTACTAACCGAATATCTATATATCTTAGGTCGTAGTAATATAGGTTATTACTAATCGCTAAAGGGTCGCTTCTATAGCGGCGGATACTAATTTCGTATAGATTAGTCGCTCTACTTCGATAATGCGATATAACGACTACTATAGCGTTATACGGCTCTTTATTATATTTAGCCTTGCGAATGCCCTCTCCTAGTAACCTATTCCGCTACTAATCGCGCCTATAATAACAATACTAGTACGACCGCTACTCTAACCTATCCTTCGTTCTCGGCGACTTTAACTCCTTATATACGTTACTTATATAGCCCTTTAGTACCTCGAAGCGCTTAGGCTCGAACGTTAATCTATACGAAGGGATATTAAATAGTTACTCTCGAAGGTCGATAATATCGTATAGTATATAGTCTAGCCTAAATAGCGGCACTAGTTTAGTTAATATAGGCGGTATAGTAACAATAGTAAACTAATTGTACTATTTGAACTATTAGAAAGAGCTTGATCTACTATATATATAGAGATAAGGTTAGAATTGGATGTATAACCGAGAAGGTTAACCCGGTACCAGAATGGGAAAAGCACCGTCGATTACTAGGCAAACCATACTGAGTCAGTGGATAACGCCCTCCGGAAGTAAACCACTGCTGTAAACAGTGGTACGCTAAATTTCCTGACATACAAGAATTGCTCCAACTGCGGTCGAGGCGTTCGTGCCCTAACAGCGAAAAGTGGATTCGAAACTGCAATCATCCACTGGCGCCCAGCGCTTTCAGACCAATTGCTGCTTTCTATGACAGCGTACAAGACATGCAAGTATATGGCGCATTGTGCGCTTTCGTGTAGCATGTGTTACTTGTGCCGCGCGATGACTTCCCCATTGAGGAGAATTAGGGCACAGAATTGGTTCGCATTTCCTTTGCCCTAGACGTAAAGCGGAGAGCATTTTCTGCAGACACCCGATGGTGGCCGTACTTGAACGACGAATGAATGCAGTTCTGGTGTGTCTTTGTACCACTTCACTTCTGAAGCGTGACAGCAGAGGGATTGGCAGTTTCGTTGCTGTTTGCGAGAGGATGTCGTGCAGCCCTCACGAGGAAGTGGGTCCGGCTGTTCAGCGGCATATGTGGACAGCCACTGGAACCCGTGACCTTGAGAGCGAGTGAAATGGCAGTATTATTGTAACGTTCATCGCTCAGGGTCGTCTTCTGAAGTATGTAAAGGGCCTGTTGTGTGCTTCGGACTGAAAGCTATGCTTCAATGCTTACAAGCTCACCATTTCAGTCATTCTTGCTGGTGCCACTCGTTCATGTACACTGAAGCTCCAGATAGTTACCTCGTCTCATCATGTTCACCCAAATCCCCGCAGAATAGTTTCTTACACCTTTTGCCTCTTTGCACGATGCTCAGCGGGAACCACTTCTTCCTCCTCGTCTTCATTTGCACTTGCAGGATCTTCGTCTTCGACTTCGCTTGAGCTTGGACTTCCGTACATCTCATACCTCGCTTCGTCGTCAGCGTCGGCATCGAACTCTTTCAGCACTCGCAGATATGCAGAAACGGATTGGAAGAGGCAGAGATTTTGCGAAAGTTTTGAAGAGGAGGAAGGGATACAGGAAAGAAATTGACATGTTGACAATAGGCGCGTAGTGAAAATTCTGGCGTCGTCGGGGAAATCTGCAGCGGGTCTATGGACCTGCTCCTGCATTGATGTGAGATATCGCGTGGAAGCTGCAGGTTCGAGATGATGGTTCGCAAAGCGCAGGAGCAGTTCCAAAGCCACGATGAGGCCATGCCAAGACCCACAGGGCGATCAGCCGGATCCCGACGCGCCGTTCAGACCGCCGTAGCATATCAAACTCAAATGCTACGCGTTCCTTGCTCGCGTTTTCATATCTACATCGACCAAAACTTCGGATAGAGAGCACACCAGCACCACTTGCGATCACGGCCTCGATCACAATGTATAAGATTCGCGTGAGATGGCGAATAGTCTCCTGTTCCTTTTTCTCCGCATTTCACAATCGCATCCTTGATCTTTTCGCCTTTCCTCTCCCCAACTAATCCCTACCACTTTCAAGATGGCTCATAAAGTCTACACAGTCACGCGTACCGATTACGAAAATGATACCGATCACAAAGGCTCGCTTGAGGTCATTGGCGTCTACGCGAGCCTTGACTCTGCGAACAAAGCTGCCAGAAGACACCGACGCAAAGAAGCGAAGCATGGTCGTTGCGACGAGGTCGATGAGCATGTGAATCAGTCCGGAGAGTACAGCTGCACTGTGCACACGGGCGAAGATGATCGCGACCGCTTCGACGTTGACGTGACCGAGCAGCAGCTTGAAGGCCACGTCCCACGCGCTTCCACACCTGTCACCACTTCGATCGCCTTGCCGCCCGCTGCTCATGGAGCGAACGGGCCAATCCATTCTGTCTTTGGACCTATGATGACAGTGCCTATTGGCATTCCTGGAGCTCTGCAAGGCAAATTCTGTACGCACTTTTCCCGTCTGCCTGACCAGAGGTCTATCAACTGATATCAAAGAACCAGTCACCCTTGCAGGCGACCTATGGACGATGAGTCGAAGAAGCTTCTACAACACTGTCAAGATCTATGGCGGCATTTGCCCGAACTATCATGAGGAGGCAGACTACGTTGTCGTTGGCGCCAATACTCCTCACCATGTACGTCTTTTACAGAGCTCTACCTGTTTTGATCGCTCATCTTACATCACCTTAGGAACTCGCCTGGTTCGCAGATTGCGGCATTGAAGCAATCGATGAGAAGAAGTTCTTCGAGCTGCTGAGAGACGGAGTGCCCGATGATGGCGAGGATGATGGTGACGATGATCGCGCTCAGTACAAGGCCACATACCATGTCGAAGGCTTCCGCATTCTTGAAGATGGCATTGACGGATGGCTGAGCTCTTCCAGCCAGGAAGATGGGACACCTCCAGCGAAGAGACGTCGGATCTGAGCAGCCGAAAAGATGAAGCTTGTACGATATCTCGGGTGAAGACTTCCGTATTTCCTTGACAGTTGCAATGACATGGCTAGGTTTTTGATCTCGCTTCCTTCTTCGCGTTTGCTTTCATCATCGCCACATCGATGCCAGTCATGTTTCGTGAGATTTTCTGGAATGCTGCTGGCTGGATCTGAACCCACTCAACCCAGCGAGCATAGAAAGGCATGCTGATCTCTCCGCTCTCACCCGCGTCGATCTTCTTAACGATCTCCCGCGCGAGCTCTACGGGCTCGACAACAGGCCCGAGGAAGTTCGAAGGTGTCTCAAGGTCAGCGAAGAGTCGAGTGCTGAGCTGCCCTGGTGTTACCAAGATCATTCGAATGTCTTCGGCGCCTTCGGGAGCCATTGGCGAGGCTAGCTCCGCTTGCAGAGATGTATGCATTGCAATGAGACCAGCTTTAGCAGCAGAATAGTCAGACAAGTGGCCGGCGCCGAGCTTTCCTAGGACAGATGCCACCGTCACGATTGTGCCGCCGACTTCTGACGCAAGCATTCCAGGAAGGAAAGTCCTGATAGTGTTGAAGTGTGAGATTAGGTTGACGCTCATACTTCGCTCCACATCTTTGGAAGAAAGTTGCCAAAGGGCTTTTCCATTGACCATGCCTGCATTATTTATCAGAATCGTAGGGGCCCCAAGCTGCGCACAGGTTAGTGACTGGGCGATCCAAGAGCAGGAAATAACAAACCTCTTTCTCGATCTTCCTCGCAACAGCATCGACTGCATTCGCATCGCCAACATCACATTGATAATACTGGACGCCCGCGAGTCCCTCGCTCTCTTTCTCTGGACTTGACACATCCAATACTGCCACACTGGCACCGCGCATACCATATGTTTCTGCAATGATTTTGCCAAGACCATTGGCGCCGCCGGTAATCACGACCACTTCTTCGTTCCAGTCCACAGGTCGTGGTATACCATATGCAACGCGTTTGTTGATCACGGAAAGCATCCAGAAGACCGTGACAGCTCCGGCGTACATGCATGACGCGATGAATTGTGTGCTTTCATATGGTGCTTGAACTGCCCTGAGGCAGAGTGGAACGATCCATGCAACGAAGGGATGGAAGATGCTGTTTGATAAGACGTGTGCGAACAAGTCGATAGTCAGGTGTTCGTGCCATCGTTTGCCGTGGCCACTCGTCACATGGTTTGACATTGTGATGAGATAGAGGGAGTAAGATCATTGCTGTCGCGAAAAGTTGTCGACTTTATAAGTATACAGTACGTAAGCAGGCGCTTCCAAGGATTTTCGGCCCGCAATTCCGGCAGGCGACGTTTCGCAAGATATTCCATCGCAGACACGACTTCGCGATGCCCGGCGAAATGAGATATGTCCTCACCTCTGCGCCGCCGCGTCTGACCGAAACCGCGTTCCTACAGTACCAAAGTATCCATTGAAAGCTCCGACGAACCGCCAGTCGACCATTGCTCACCACTTCAAAGAGAAACGATCTGTGTTTCGCGAACGAACGAACATTCGGTCGAGAAAGCCCGGGGTGAAGATTCTGCCAGCAAAAGAAACACGAGCAGCAGCGACGATGTGAAAGAGGACACTGCTGGTATTTCATCGCGCGCTCCAAGTGGGACAGTTCTAGACGATGCCTGAGCCTTCATCAAGGAAGGCTCTGCGAATATGTAGCTGCACTGCGGCGTAGCTACAAGGCGTGAAATAGGCAGACATATCAATCTCAGATCCCCGCTGACGGGATAGCTGGAAAAATTCGTCGTTAACACGTCGCTTGAGATGAACGCCGGCAGCTGGCTTTTCTCAGGGAAGTTCTGTTGGCGAGATTGTTGAGGACAGTCGGTAAGCTAGCTATGAAATTATTACGTGCTCTGAGTGCTACTCGGGCGGCTTCTGCGTCTAAGGCTACAAATACCGTTTCCCACGGCTTGACTGATTCTTAAGATAGCCGTTGGTAGGGGCTGGCGTTGTATATACTGTATAGGCAGGTGCTGACTGAGTGTGGCCGAGGGAAGCGAGACCTAAGTATAGGGTGTCACCTGCATCCAGGAAGCCGCTCCCTACCGCTTCCTTCCCATTCACTTGATCGAGGCAGATTTTCCCTATCTCGAGACCAGACGAGAATGTTAGCGATTCCTACTTTCATATTCTGAACTGCGTTTTATTATTAGACAATCTGCCTTTGCGGAATACAGCGGTCCGCGTCCCGCATGTAGACTACTCCGTAGCGGGCTCAGACAAAAACTATGCGGAGCTAAGCAAATTTCTCTACTAATCAGGGCGCGGAAAACAGGAATCGGTGTTATATAGTCTATGCGGGAGTTTATTTTATTAGTAGAGGGGTTGGAAAGTTTACTTACGGGTTTAGAAAAGTCTACTACGGAACACGTAATTCTATACCACATGCACGAATACCCTTTGTTACTAGTCTAAGTAGAGATAGGATTTTCTACGATTAGCACGAAAGTCCGTCTATATATAGCTTGCGAAAGACTCGGGAATCTTAGGGGTAATAGGCACGGATTAGTATCTAGTCTTGTCTCGGCTTCCTATATATACAAGACACTCTGTATATATATAAGAACTTTAGGGGTAGCTAGCACGGATTACAATCTAGTCTCCGGTCGGCTTCCTATCTATAGGTAACACCCTATAGAAGAACCGTTAGAATTTAATGCTAATCCTATCTGCCGTTCTTCCTGCCTAGCAATGTAACTTGTAACAATGTAACCTAATATAGGCGTAATCTGCTTCTTCTATTAGATCGGGCGGTAGTCGCAGCCTCGTAGGGCTCAGAGGCTCTTCTATAGGCTAAAAGAATAGTTTACGGCGTTAGGAGAGATATATATATACATATGCCGCCCTCTCTACTAAAACACATTGTCTACTACAAGAGAGCATTAGTGCATTATAGAGTACTATCTTAACGACGTTACTATACCTTTATAAAACTATAGGACGAGCTTGATAGCATGTTTGTCTCCCGGCTAGTGTTAGCTTTTGCTATTATCTTACCTGTCTTTGGGAAACTCGGTTGGAAAGGTAGTTCGACTATTTAATAAAAGCCGACCAATACTAACTTAGACCTTAGGGGAGTGCAGGTACCAAGACGACTGCTGCGGCTGTAATGGTGGCTGTGTACTTGAGTGCGCAGGTAACGCAAACAATTTAGAAAGCGACAGAGCGACAACGCTAACTATATAATAGTCGACACGACTTCAACTACTGGCCGTCGATGTCTCCACGCCATGCTTGGACCCGTCGAGGACTGCGGTCACAAAATTTGTACTTGTTAGGGCGACGATGCCTTTGTGATGAGGTGGAAGTGAGGGTCCATCGCTAGGTAGCACAATCTATCTGGTTTACGGCCTGGCACCTTCTAGCTATGTTGTGTAGTGCAGAGAAGCCTTTATACAAAGGAAAACTTCGTTCTGTCGGTGTTGAGGCGGTCCCTCTCTATAGCAAATCAAGTGCTGCGGTTCCAAAAGCCCGTAGGCTACTAGCAAAGAGTCAATATTCCTTCTCCTGTCCTTCTGTATCTATCGCATGTTCTGGTAGATGATCCAACGACTAGCGGAATTGGTCTAGAGGTAGATGTTTGATCGCCCATGATGCAGTCGGCTTACTAGGCCACATTGTTAGCCAGTTGTATCTTACGCGGCCTCTCGAGTATGTCTTAAGTTTTTGTCGTTGTTCTCGTAGAAGGGAACAATGGACTAGGTAATGTCTGGCCGTGCTACGTTCTCCACACTCGCAGAACGGCTCCATCCCTGGCACTTTCATCTTCTGCAGAAACGCGGGAAGGCCGATAAATTCTTATCTGAGTTGGAAGATGATCCCAGCTTGGACCTTGTATAGTCCTTTGCATAGCTGGAAGGCCGATCCTCGCATCGCCTATGGTACCCCTCCTCGTGTCTTCTAGAGATTCTTCCTCAGCGTTCTGTGTGTCTCTTTTCACAAGAAACCTGCGGATTATAGTTTTAGTAGTCTGTTCTGTGTCCCGAGAAGTATCCTTTAATCTCTCTACAAGCAGGTGTGTCTCGTAGTCTGCCTCTTCTATCGGTGATCGGTACGAAGGTAGTAATCTCGCCGGTCTCCTCCCTCAGAGTAAGAGTAGTTTGTGCCAGATACTCAGCCCTCAGAGTTGACGTATATGCTATTGGGGGAACCAGTCCTCCTAGCCTGCTGTCCAGCCTTTCCCTCCAGCTCTGGACTAAAAATCAGTTAGGGGTATCCTCTACTTGTCCCTCAATTGTGTTACTCCTCCTCCTCCGTATTATTGAAGCTTTCCTCCGGGTACTCCAGCTCCTTTTCCAGCCTGCTACAGATCTTGGTCACTACTCCAGATCACAGGCCTAGATTACATGCAGTACTCCGCCTACGCTGCTTCCGCATCCGGGAATGGACACGTCTGCGTCGGGAGACGCGCGCAGCTCTTGGAATCCAGTTCTTCATTCGTATACGCGGTGATATCGTGGGCGAACGGCTTCGGCGCTGCAATGATATCGCGGTCTGGTGTCACTTTGTTTATGTTGTAGGGTCAGTTTCCGTGTCCGCGACAGCAGCGCTATAGGATATTTCCCTTGCTGTGATCTTGACTTTGGGAACAGCGGAATTCTAAAGCTCTTGACTGGGCGCGTCTACAGAAATAAGTAGATAGCAATTCATGCTCTGGACGAGTACAAGTCTTGCTCACCATCTCCAGTCCCTGAGGCCAATATCATGAAAGTGCATTTCAGCGTACAGAGATCGCAGTCGTAAAGCTACTGAGCGCCAGGACGAAGGCTCCTGACAACCAGTATCAAAGCTCTTACGATGCATTTGTCCTGTGACCACTCAAAGAGACTTCCAATCGGTTGATTGCCTGAATCCTCCGCTACTGCTGGTGCTCTCTGTCCACGTGTATTCCGAACTCTGATGTCAGTGGCTCGATGTACCAAGACCTGAGTGGTATTTAATTGCGAGCCGATTAGTTGTATGTAGCAGCCTCTCCGCTGGAGATACTGTATCGCCAGAAGTCCTGGGCCATACTTAAATCCTACGTTTCCGAATTTCATGCGGTGACGCACTATGAGTGGCGCAGATCCGTCTATCATTCGAGGATGGCCCTGGCGTGGAAAGACTTCCATGGCACCATCTACATGCATTCCGCGAAGATGACGCTGTGATGACGGCGGCCCGGGATGGATGTAGCTCTGCTCATCGTGGACTGGTCCCTAGTTGAAGAGAGGTTGATGAGGGTATGCTTCGATCTTTGCATAGACAACAGCGAGTATGGGAGTCGCAAGCACGCCCTGAGTGTCGCAAATGAGATTGAGACTGCATGAAGTGAAGTGGAAATGGGTCACTAAGTGCTTCCATCTTCGAGGTGACAACACCGGAGATCACGTTCGGAAGTATGTGCTTCGTGTCGCAGCTCAGCTCGAGACTGCATCCGGTGAAGTGAAATAGCGGGACAAAAGTTTTCCATTCGTGCGAAAACAACACCGAGTATCGGATTCGAAAGTAGGTGCTGCGTGTCGGAAGTAAGCTCGAGACTGCATGAAGTGAAGAGGTAGTTTCTTACACGAAGTTCCAATGCTGCCAGTGCCTTTACCCGGGAATAAGAGCACTACTTCAGAGAGAAGTCAGATATCCAGCCTTCTCGGTGAAACGAAAGCTCTTTGCAGGTACGTGATTACTTACAAGGTATTGATAATGCTGACCGCTGACATTGCAGCCCCGAAGCGCTCATATCAATGTACAACTGACGCCGCACACCACACCCATCATCGCGGTACCCAGCTATTGTTTTCACATGAATATCTTCCTCCCACCATGCGATCACACGATGTCCGGTGCACAGTTGTGGCTCAAGCTTCGGATTCAGTGTCGCCATCGGCATCAGCATCGCTATCGATATCCTCAGCCTCGCCGGCCAGAGAGGCCTTCTTGGAAGCTGGCGGGCTTGAAGCAGTAGTAGCCGAAGCAGCCCGCTTGCGAGACTTCGAGCCCTTAGACTTAGCCTTTGCCAAAGCAATCCGCGCCGAGCGTTTCTTGCCCTCTGCATCGCTCTCAGAGTTGTCTCCCTCCTCTTCTGCAGATCCTGGATCGTCGTATCGGCGGAATGGACCCACCTCCTGAAGTCCAGCTTGAATGGCTTCCTCCAACTTATCCCAACTGGCCTGATCGAGAATCACGTATCCATCGGCGACTCTGGTGTAGTTGATCTGAGGATAGTCGACTTTGCAGCTTGGATGAGCATCCCACTCGACTTCCGCTCCCTTGCTTTCGCCAGCAGCGTTCACGCAGTTCGTCTTGGATTTGCGGTGATGACACTTAACATCGCCTGGGTGGGAGAAGCGAAGGCCGCAGAAAGCATGGATGTACGGCTTCGATGCGCGAGCGAGGACAGCGCGGCGGGTCGGATAGAGTGGACCAACGTGTTGAACAATGGTTCCATCTCGCTTGGTGGTCTGACCCTTTGAAGCAGGGAACTTGCCAGTGTCTGAAGTCTGTGAGGCTGGCAGGGCGGATGACGATAGCGGTAGAGAAGTAGTGCTCTTTCTCCTACCTAGTGGAACCTTGCGCTTCGGCACAGTGGACGGGTCATCCTTTCCGTACTTGACTGGCAGGTTGGCCACAGTCTGTGCGTCTTCCTTAGCATTCTCAGTCTTGGCATGTTGGCCTTTCACAGCCGCGACAACTGCAGCAGGCAGAGCTGGCATGTGTACCGGCTCAGTAGCGCTTAGCGGCGGCGTGATTAGAGCTTGGGTCTTGTCCTTGCGAGGCAGTGGGAGCTTGACGACGAGGCTCTTTCGGCTTGGCGCATCAGAACCATCTGACGTGCTGAAAGCGTTGACTGGCCGCTTCTTCTTTTGCTTCGCTGCGACTTGTGCACTAACATCGACTTGTTGCAGAACAGGCTTTTGTCTCTTGTCCACATCGTGGGCGACCGCACGGGATAACCAAGACAAGTCCGCATCCTTCCAAGCAGCGGGCAGAAAGTTGACAAATCCCGTCATCAGATGAGTCGCATTGTTGCGGTGTAGTAGACGGAACATGGCGGTGACAAATTCGACCTCGTTGAGGATTCCGCGATTGAAGTTCTTGCACAGAACTTCGAATGTGGCAAGAGCATTCAAGTCATGGGCAAAATGGGTGGAGAAGTCCTTGACGAAGACCTTGCCACCTGCGATCCCCATCGGCTGAGGCGGTAGTGCAAGGGAGGAACCATTTGATGACTGTATTGCCTCGGTATCATCGCCAGGGGGAGGCATCAGGGATTCCGGCGCAGCGAGCGTGTCCTCACCAGTTGTGTCTTCACTTTCGGTGCCCTGAATGTCGTTCGTCGATGGCTCAGGAGAAGGCTCTTCAGCAAGTGGTCCGTGTTCCTCCTCACTATCGGAGATGTCCAAAGGTGGCACATCAGTCTCAACATCATTCAAGCGACTGTGCGCAATGTTGTTGGTACACACTGGTTCGCCGACGAACTCTGCCACATCGAAGTCTGCTTGGGACTCAAAGGCTGGCGACAGGACAACTTGTGGAGGCGCAAGTTGAGCGACAGCAGCATTCTTAATGTTCTGCACTGGCGATGAAAAGGCGCTGCCGATACTTGATCCGGGCTGGGGTTGGAGAGGAGCGTGATGGGTATCGAGTCTCTGCGAAAGATGCTGGTGATAGGAAGGTCCTCTGCCGACTGGAGCTTGTTGACGGAACCGCGGAATCGGCCGATATCGAACATTTCCCAATGGGCCGTATGCTGTCTGGTAGCCAATGGGCTTGTACTGTTCGGACGGTCGGTGCAAGAAATGTGCCTGCGCCAGTCGTTGGGAATGATCCACGTTGCTGTACTGTGGCAAGCTATGATTGTGAAATTCCTGGGGAGCTCGAGCGTCGCGATGGTGGTGAGAGCTGCTCGCCGGCGCAGTCTGCTGATATCCTGCAGGCTCGAATGGGGGCTGGCTATGGCGCCTGAGAGCCGCCGGCGCAGTCGGTGGAGCCCTTAGCAGACCGTGCGGTGGAGCTGGCATGAGAGGCGCATGGGCGATTCCCTCTGACGGGGGCTTCCCTGGCATGCGCTGAGACTTCTGCTCATGCACGAAGTGAGGGCTCGATTGCAGTTGCGGTGATCTGACAGCGACCATCTGAGCCGGCGGTGCTGGCGACTGCATGGCGCTTGGGTGAGGAGGCATGTCGACTGGCTTCGAGTGATGCGCCTGCACATTTGGTGGCATGTACTGTCGAGACGGCAGCTCGTCGACAGTGTGGCCGCCGACGACGTTACCGTCGGCGCTACGAGAAGTCAGCAGATGAATCTCGAGGATGCAAGGTGTACTTGCTCGTAATCCAGGACGACCGGCATCTTTCCAATGCTACCAGCTAAGACCAAAGGTGTTGCATCCAAAAACTCGAAGATGTTCATTGATGTCTTGAGAGATCTGGCGGGGTCTCCGGTCTCTGGGGGAACCTGCAGATGCGCATGCAAACGGTTTCCTTGGCGTGGCAACGGTCTGCACTTCCGAACTCACAGCCTTGTCACGGCGTGTATGACCTTACCAATTTTCCACCAAAAATGCTTCTTCGACCCTGGCAAGAGTCGTAGAGATAGACAGATTCGCTCAAAGTCTGCCTTGTCTTCCATTGGTGCTTCGCCTCGTCGATCCCAGCAAATAGCACAAAATCAGCCACGTCCCCTTCTCGAATCTGTACGCTGCTCCTTTCGCTCTTCATAACACCTATCGCTGCTTTGGCTCTGGTGCTAACACATTCATACAGACGCTCGGCATCTTGCTTGGTGCCTGTCTGATAGATCCCGATGCCTTGACATGCTAGATGAAGTGGATCACAGCTGCCTTGCGGAGTGAACGCATTGCCGATGTTGTTGATCCCAATGCAAGCATTCAGACCATACTTCTTGATCAGATCAGGAACATGCAGTGTACCGCGTATCTCGGGTTGTTGACCAGCCCGCATCATAAATAGATCGCTGGTCGGTAGCCCAACAAAGTGGATCGGCAGTCCAGATTCTGTGATCATTGTTGCCAGACGCTGCAATTCGTCATCATTGAAGAGCGACACACGGGTGCAATGCCCAAGTACGATAGTACGATCTCTTGTCTGCTGCTGCCATTGCTTGTTTTTGAGGCACTGAACGACATGCCAAATAAGTGGTTCTGCGCTTCGGTCTAGGTTGTAATCAAGATGAAAGTCAAGATGAAGATTGTGCTCGATGCTAAGATCGATCATCCACTCGACGTTGCGTTGCATTTTATCTCGACCATCTTCGACGTAAGGAGTGCTGCCAACCACATCGACATTCTGATTCGCCGCAGCCGCCTCCATCAGTCCTCGAATGACGGCTCCATCTTCATCATCTTGAGCAGCTGAAAAGAGCGGCAGCTGGGCAAAGGCGCAAAGCTGGACGTGACATGAGTTCTCCTTTCTCGCCCGCTTCTGAAGCTCGATGCCGGCGTCGAGACACTTTGTTTGGACCCCAGCATCAAGTTCGACGAAGCCTCGCATATGAGTAACTCCAGCCAACACGCTTTCTTCAATGACCCGCTGCCCTCTCTCGATGAGATCGAAATGCTCAAACTCGGCTTTGGCCTTTCCAGTGAGCTTCATGGCTTCCTTGAAGTCTCCTTGTTCGATCTGAAGATGTGCATATTTAGGATGTGATAGCAAATACGCCTTGTCGATGTGGACATGAGGATGGCACAGCGAGGGGGCCAGTAGAGCGCTATATCCATTCACGATCGATGCGTGATGACCGTCTATCTGCCCGCATTCTCCAATTCGCTCCAGGACCCCGTCGTTGATGATGAGGTCTGATCTTGGGCTGGACCGAGATCCTGGCAGGACAACATTTTTAATCAGCATTGAAGAAGTGGCATTGGAGCTTGCTTCAGTCCCGCGATTCTGAATTTGAGCCATCTCAGCATCAATATCGATACCCTTGCTGCGTAAGAATTCTCCGGCCATGCGTGCTGAACGTGACCGTGGCATTCAATGCAGAAGGATTCCAGACTGGAAGGGTAACTCTACGACACTTTGCTCCTGAAATGAGATATCTAGAAAGTGAGATCAGCTGTCAGAGAAAGCGTTGATGAGGATGTCAAGCAGGAATGGCAGCACTCGACTCGATCATGTTATTCCCACAGGTTGTGATAGCTCACATGAGCTTGGACTTGAAGTGGGCCCGCGGGTTGACGAACATGAGGTATCGCGCCAACGTCAATACTGCCTCTGATATAGCATCTCGCACGTATAGCAGTTGTCATCAGTGCCATCGGCAGCGACATGCATTGCATGTGAACGTGTCTGCGAAGTGAGTGAAGTCTCAGCAGTCCAGGAGGCACCCCTCACCTCGCTTGAAGCCTTGCTCTCTGGCAGCGCACGTCTCCCAGTTCTCCACCCGACACGACACGACGCGTTCTCGACAGCTTCCATCGCAACATCATCACCACCCGCGCTCCTTGATCGCGCCGCCATCACCTTCGTTCTCGAACTCCAGCTTGCAAGCCAGCCTTGGCAAGCACACCGATCGGCGGAGACGGAAAGATGCAAAGCTACCGAAACTATCAGCAAGCGAATCGGAGTCCCCATGCGACTGCTGCCAGACGAGGACCTGGTAAGAACTATTGCATTCACTTGTTTTTGCCCCCGTATATCACGATTATAGAGGCATATACTTGTCCGCTGCAGTGCCGTATGGGTTCTGCAAGCGCGCATCCAATTCCCCAGCATGAATATCGAGCGCGCGCATCGGCGTAAAATCAGCTTTGCTGACCTTGAGCGAACCTTTCGCAATGCAGGTCCTATGGTCGCACCTCCACAAGCACATCAAGGCCAACCGCAGTTGACTGCCGCGCAAATACAACAGCAGCACCTCGAGAGTCTGCGCCGCCAAGACCTCGCCCGCCGTCAAGCGAAGAAGCCTACCGATCGCGAGATTCCAGACGAAGTCAGTGAGGCAATAGTGGGAGATGGCGTTGGTCGCTACAAGCAGCTGCGCGAAATTGAGCGCCGGCTAGATGCGGTCATGATGCGCAAGCGCCTCGACATCAGCGACAATCTCCAGAGACGTTACACGCGCAGAGAAGGCATTCTGCGCATCTGGATCTCCAACACAGCCGAAGGGCAGCCATGGCAGGTCATGGAAGAAGGCACAGCGAACGAGGATGGCATTTTCGAGTTCGGAGAGAACCAGGCTACATACAAGGTCAAGATTGAGGGCCGCCTGCTTGACGATCCCGAAGATGATGAGGCAGACAAGCCAGCACCACAACACCGACCACGACTGAGCACATTCTTCAAGCAGATCAGTATTGACTTCGATCGCGATCCGAACCTTCAGCCCGATGGCTTCAGTCAAATTGAGTGGCGGAAGAAGCAGATGCCTCCAGGCCAACAGCTGGATCCGACTGATTCCGAAAACAACTTTGACACACTAGAGTTCACGCGAAAGGCGGATGAGAATATCAACATCACCATCAATCTCACTCGCGACGAAAAGAGCGAGCGATTCAAGCTCAGCCCGGAACTGGCCGAGATTCTAGACACTGAAGAAGAAGACCGTGCGGGAGCGGTACAAGGTATCTGGGAGTACTGCCGTGCCATGGGCCTGCAGGAAGATGACGACAAGAGAAAGATCATCTGCGATGAGCCCTTGCGCAAGGTTCGTGCACTATTCCTCTCAAGACGCGGCCCAAAGCTAACATGCTTCATAGCTCTTCAAAGCCGACCAAGTCTACTTCCCATACGTTCCCGACGCGCTTGTGGCCCACCTGCATCCTCTTCCACCTATCCAATTGCAGTATACGATCCGTGTCGACAAGTCATATATCAAAGGAGAGCGCGACGAAGACTCTTCTTCAGACGGCGACGCTACTGAGGAGCTCAAGCCATGTCGGCCAACTGTCTATGATATTCGCGTGCCGATGCCAAACCCTCTTCAGCACCAATTAACGCGCTTCCAAACCTCGAAGTCGCACCTTAATGATCTCCAGACCATCGTCAAGATTGACGATGACTTGGCACTTCTGGTCCAGAAGATCCACCAAACGAACGCGAAGCGCAAATTCTACAACAACCTCGCCAAGGATCCGACATCATTCGTCAAGCGATGGATCAGCAGCCAGCAGCGTGACCTCGAGATTATCCTTGCCGAAGCCACTCGCGGTGGTGGAGAGGATGCTACTAACGAGGAGTTCCGTCGTGGTGGAAGAGACGGCGTATGGGGTTCTGAGTTGGCTCGAGAAAGCGTTGGCCTTTGGCTAGCACGAAGCTCGAAGCCGCACTAGGAGAGCACCACTCATCATGTCATACCCGATATATCTACACCAGGGATCAGAGAACAGCCTAGAGCACCACCTGTTATGCCACCGGCGCTTGATCGCTACGAGACAGGACCGCCGATCATGCCGCCGCTAGCAGCGTCGCGAGCAGAATACAGAACACCTGATACGCAACCACGAGCAGTATTACGCCATGAATCAGCACCATCTATGCTGCAGAACATGATCCCGCCAAATCCATACCAACGCCAGGATGCGGCACATCTGACGCTGCCTCCATCGAGGCACTTGGAAATTGTTGGGCAAGCGATGCAAAAGACTACATCTCATGCTGGCCAGCATTCCGGGACAAGTTAGGAACCTAGCGAACAGACTGTCCAGAGCAGAGACGAGCTGATGAGGCAAAGCAGCCTTAACCAAGACGGTCAGCAGACTCCAGAGGCGTCGTATGATGTCGCAATAGATTCATTCCTGGATTAATCACATCAATCGCCAATTCCTTCGGGAGAAGAGCTAGTGTCAATGGCTGAGCTCGACGAAATGGTGAACGACATTGAGTAACATACCCATTGAACTGCGACGCCCGAGACAGCTTCCTTGGGTCATATTCGATCAATCGTAGAAAACAGCTTTTTGCTAGTGGTCACAACCTTGAGAACAAGTTCACGTGAATGACATGTAACAGCGCTCCAAACTGACTATACCGTATAGCCCGTGACATCCTGGTGGACGAATGCCTTTGTTACCACCGCCTGCGGAAAACAGTTCTTGATATTTTGTCAGAAGTCTTCAATACAGATACCTCTGGCTTCGCAACAAGTTCCGTGCTATATCTTCTTCTGTGGCCACGGCCACTTGACGAATTCGTGCGCAACCAAAAATAGAATAAGACTACAAGCCTGATCGCTGCAAGCGCGTGCCGCCGGACCGACTCCCGAGATTCTGGATCTGATCCACATTCGCTGCGGGCCCTGCTTCTTGTCCCAACTCGACTCTCTTTGTTCACTGCGGCATCTCTGTGGCACGCAAACAAGTGGCACGTCGCCTTTCGCTCCCCATGAGTTCGATAGCCCATAGAGACGTCCGGTAGACAGCAGTAGCTCGGCACACAATGGCAACAGCAGTATCCTCGCCGTCGATCATCGACCTGAAAGTCCAAGCCACATATCCAATCCGACTGGGCGCTAGCATTACCGACCCTGATAACGCGACACGATATGCCAGCGTGAAGTACAACTGTAGACCGTCACTTAAGCCGAAGGGTGGTGTGGATGTTACCATAGAAGAGCGTGGCGATCAGCACACATTGTTGCTGGAAGCAGAGGATGGAGAGTATGAATACCACGGACAGTACGAGCGTCAAGAGTCCAGCTTTGTGTTGGTGCTGCGCGGAGATGGCAAAGAGCGAGAAATGCTACTGGAGAGGGTGGATGGGAGTCACGGCTTCAATCTGGTGAAGACACCAAAAGAAGACGATGCTTCGAAGCTGGAGAGCGAGCATCCGCACATCCACGCTGGCGATTCCGATGAAGATGACCTGTTCGGGGATGCCGATGAAGAAGCGCCCCCAGACGATTCGAATCCGTTCGATTACAGGCACTTCTTAAAAGCTGAACTGGAGAAGCCTGAGACCACACAGCCTGTGCATGATCCCTCCCGCAGCTCAGCAGCCACGCCTCTCATCCAGCATGCAACTACCAGCACACCAGTCAGCCGACCTGCAAAGGCAGCTGCCAAGAAGGCTCCGGCGGCAAAGAGAAAGAGCGCTACCGCAGACAAACCAAATCCTAAGAGAGTCAAGGCAGGTCAAGATCTGCCACCTCCTGCCGCTGCGCCGGAGCCTGCGAAAGCAAAGGCGAAGCCAATCGCGCCGAAGATTCGCGTGGATCGCAAAGCATCAATACGCAGACCATCAATTGATGACTCCGGCGAGCTCATTCTCGAGAACGAGACTCCAGTCACAGAAAAGCCGCCCAGGACAGCCATGGCAATGGCTCTGCAAGGACAGCTCGGTGCAGGTCCGATCAGCTTGCGATCTGCCGCGAGCAGCCCGGGTATTGCTTCTCCCATGCCCAACAAAGAGGAAGAGGTTCAAGAGTACGAGTTCGAGTTTGGCAACAGCAGTAGTCCTGAGCCTGAAGACGCCGCGGATCAGCCGTCGCAAGACGATGGTGGTGAAGCTGATCTTGATGGCGAGGATGATGATGCAGATGTGGATGATCTAGAGCTGCCATCACCCGCAACGAGACATAGACCGAGCGTCAGCGCTGCCACAGTCATGGGCGGTGACGATGAAGAAGATGACATGGAGAAGCAGCTTGAGCTTGCCATGGCTGCTGAAGATAATGAGAGTGAGGAAAGTGAGGAGGAGTGATGGTCACGCCCAAGACCTGCACGTTCTAGCGCACATCCTTTGCTTTGGCGCTACATGTGGTCTCTAAATCCTGATATCCTTTGGCCACGATGTCTCCCTCGAAGTGAGACGCATCTTGTACGCTTCATGCCATCCATCGAGATGGACTTGGCTTCAGTGCGGCCCTGCTTGCAAATATCAATCCGCTCGAACGACAATGTCGCCAGCTCAGAGTGAGTCTAGTAGATTACATGGAGACGCTGAGATTACCACTAGCCCCTGACCCCAAACTGGTCGCGCCGTAGCTAAAGTCTTTGCCCTCCCAATCCTTCCCAAAGAGGAGAACGACAAAAGCTTGACTTTGAGCCAGTACCAAGACGACGCTCTCATCCTCAAATTCTTCACTGTCTCTTTGAAAGAGACATGTTCGATTCCGTCCTCCGCGTCACAGGCGACGAGGAACCTGATTGGAACATTATTCACGAAGATGCTAAAGAGAGATTCGAGCGTGCTGTGGATATCATAAAGCAGATAAATGTCGTGGGTCTCGCTATGAGATTGTATACGAGGGTGTTCTTTAAGAATGGTGGTGGGGATTTGAGTGAGAAGGTTGTGGATAAGGAGCTTGGATTGCCAGAAGAGGATTTGGATACAAGTACAAAGGAGGCTATTGAGATAGCGGAGGAGGATAAGATTTGGCCGAAGATGAGTAGGTTGAAGGCTTAGAGATCTGCACGACTGAATGATTGGATTCAATTCACGATGAAGAGCAAGAGAGCTAGAGTAGAGTATCGAATGACAAGGGTCATAGATTAAATGGAACAGAATGCACTGGCAGCTGCATGCCAAAAAGCAAAATAATCGCCCTCGGCTCAGGACCTAAACATAAACGGCTACAATCAACGAACTATGAAACGTAGTCCGGGTCGAGAGAGCAGAAGTATTCGTTCAGCGGAGCATGCATGCATTGCACTAAGTCGGGCGATTTACCCGCTAAGTCATTGAGCCAAGAATGGTTTTCGAGAGGACGACCATTCATTCTCGTATGTAGGTAGATGCTGCCAGATCCAATGTCTACCAGGCGCTAGGTCTCTGTCGGCAATTGAAGTATACAGACAGACCGACCTTCAACTTCTGTCGACAGTGGAAGTTCATGTTCGCTGCCGTTGCACTCATTCGGATATGCCACATGAGTGGGCCGTGAAGGACATCCTTGCTTTGGGCGAGCGATTGTCAAGGGTTTGCTCTACCTTTTGTACGATCAGTATCCTCGTTTATAATTATCGTCGCCGAAATTCCTAGAACTAGTAATAAAGATGACTCGGGAAGACAGAAATCTTCAAAAAAAAAACAAAAAAAAAACTCTCATAAATCATATTCCACATTCCATCGTATCGTAAAAATACCATGTATCCTCTTCAAGCTACTACTGTACATCCTCAACCAAAAACCAAAGTCCTAACCTCAATACTCTCCCTCCCAGGCCACTCCGGCTTCGTATCGGGATGCGTAAAAGCCGAATGCGGCGTCCTCGCCCCATCCTTCGAATCATAACATTGCAAAAGAATCCTCTCGTCATTCCTCATCCCACTCCAAAAATACCACTCCCCTTTCCTCGTATACTTCACCCCAGCAATCTCACCCTTTCGATCCGGATATCTATGCTCAATCGGCACGATGTCTTCATCAGGAACAGATCTCGAATCCGCGTAGGCCAGAGGGGAAGCCAGAACGGGACCGTTCAATGGACGCCAGACATTGATGAGTCGCACACGACCATTCTTCAATGCTTCGGCTTCCGATCCCATATGGTGGTCAACTCTTGCATTGGCAGATTTGGTCGTTTGGTCGATGTGTGCCTGGCGCACAGGTGCTCGATGGGCGTTGGGATCAGATCTTCGGACCGTGTGATCGAAAATAAACACCCTCTCAGCTCCGGGAACGTTTTCCAAAATCAATTTCTCAATTTCAGGGTAATATGCTTTCTCGATCTTCTCGTCGGAATTGAAATCTGCGTTTCTCATCACGCTGGAGATGTTTTGTACCACGCCGAAGCCACTCTCATTCATGTCGAATTCTGATTCTCGACCGCGGATGTCGCGGATTGTGACTTCTTGTGCATCTTGGCCGTAGTTTCTTTGTGGCATGCCCGAGGGAGGGTTTTTCTGGTATGCGCCGGCATAATTGTAGGGTTGTGCTCCGTCTGCGGGAGGGGCGAAGAATGTGAGGGTTGCTTTGGTTTCGCCGCGAGGTGGTTCGATATCGTTCGAAAGGCCAAATTTTTGTTGGCTTTGGGTGGCGGTTTCTGTAGACATAGTGGTTTGGTAGCGAGTTGTGTGCTTATACCGAGGTGTATTCAATGGCTTCAATATCAGCGAGTCTGTGAAGATTTGCGGGGTACTGTAGTAGCAGTAAAAGGATTAATTGTGAGTATACAAGACTTGAATATATACCTACAACAACTCTCGCCGCATTTCAAATCCAGAACATCACATGTAATCGGTCGAAGTATACCGAAACGTCATTGCCGCATTACCGACGTCGCTGGCCACAGATGACGTGCGGAGAAAAGGCGGCGCGCTCTGATGAATACACTCGCATGAGCACATGCACTCCAATCAGAAGCGACTTGCTTGCTTAGAAGAGCTTGGCAATGTCGCAATTGCGTGCTCAATGCCTGAGCTTCTGAGAACAGGCCATATGGCGAGTGAGTGGTGCAGATAGAACTGTTATGGAAGGTGTCGGCGATTGGCGATGCTTGCTAATGCGGGAGAATCCGATGAATCAGCAGGCAGAAGTTCGGCCTTCTCTCGGTTCCGTTGCTTGCGCAATTGGAGGTCGAGCAATGCTTGGGAGTACTAAGTTCTCTGACTTCTTTTGTGCAAGTCAGATTCTAGTGGCGTCAAAGTTCAATGGTACATGTATATAGGCATTGATGCAATGTGGCTGGCTGAAGTGCTGTCGTTACAACCGCTGTATCCTGGGGTATAGAACTAACAGGCTTCGACACTCAAGACCATGAAAATAACCTCCCCCATACCCAGGGTTTGAAATACCTCGGGCGCGCCATTGCGTGTCGCCTGCCCAAAAAATCATCGCTCATTATCTGTCCTTCGTTTCTGGTCGTATCATGCTCGCTTGCTATGCAGAACGCTGAACCACAAAGACGGCGACCTCAATACCACTCCTCGGCTCCTGGCCAGGAGGATAGGGTCTTGTCTCAACTCCTTTGATCAAGCCATCTACAAGTTCTGTCGGCGTCGGCGCTCTTTCAATGTATTCGTTGCTGCTCTTCTTCTGTGCTTCTTGGGCGTATTTGGTCATGGCAGCACGTATCCTCGGCTTCTCTTGCCTAGTCCACCAATCTCTTGACCACGCCTCTCTGCTCAGGTGTACTTCTGCTTTTGATGCATGGGTGACGGTGAAGGCGGCTCTGCCGCCATGAAATGCTGACATGGTAGCACTTCGCTGCATCAATTTGGTACACAGAGCTTTCAGCGATCGCTCCATTGGTTCAAACTCGGGGAGTGCAGCGGCAGCCGACATGTTGCCCAGTGTCCGACTGAGATCAGATGACAAGCCATTGACGACCTGTATCGATCGCAGGAGTGGGTCGATTATTGGGCCAAGATATTCTTGCATGAATCTCAAGGCTCCAGTTCTGGTGGGATACAGGAAGATTAGATGTCCTCGATTTGGCGACAACTCTACCAAGCGGTCCACAAGAACTGATGGGCCTTCGACTTTGAACATGTTGCTGAACTCGTGCGTGCTGCTCGGCGGAATGTAGCGCTCTACGATCGACAAATTGATGGAGGAAGGAGGAACGACGGGATGAGGTGATCGGGGAAGGGTGGAAAGTTCTGCCTGATAATCCGACACAGGGACTGCGCTATCGAAAACTTTCTTCGTGAAGTAGTCATCTCCGCCGACCGCTGGACCGGGAGTGCTGGGAGGCGATGTCGGCAAGTCAGCGAGGTTGAAGCGACCTTGAATTGCGTGAAAGACATTAATCCATTCTGTGTGAGGCGTAGGTGTCGAGGCATGTATGGCGCCGATTATGGAAGAGAAGACGTGGCCGGTTGTTGACGGACTGGGCAGAGCATGTGAGAGAACTCGCAAAGGATTGTTTGGAATGGGTGAGCTTCGAATCTCGCTAACTGTGAGATTGATCAGCAAAGGAAGCAGCTAGGTAAGAATAGTTGGTTCACTTACGCAGCACGGTTAGAGCATCATTGATGAACGCTTCCGGCCCAGTATGAGTTAGCTGTGGTAATGAGCTGCTGGCCGGTGGCGGTGATTCAGAGGCTCTTCCAGCTTCGAGGTGGTGCGTGTTGACGCTTCCTGGTTCTGTCGAAGGCGAGTGCATAGGTGGGTTGGAATGGCTTGCCATGGACTGCCAAGTTGGCTCACCATACTCGGCTGGAGGGGTGAGGGTGGCGACATCATGGTGGAAAGGGGTTCGGACCAGGCCAGGTGGAAGCTTTGGGTGTATCTGAGGCCTCTCAGTGAGTGCTGAAGAGAAACATGAAGCCAAAGAGTCGAAGGCATCTACGATGGCATCACCAGGATTCTTGGCATCTGAGGGTTGGGCTATGGCTCCGCCAAGACAATCTGGCATATTGTCGTCACTGAAACTGAGAGAGCCGAAACGATCTGGATGAGGAGCAGCAATGCCTAGTGCGTCAAATGAGGGTAGACGAAGGCCAGGACCTGATCTCGAGGGCTCTTTTGGTTGCGGCGGAGAGGGTACAGGAGCGAGAGCGCCGGCAACGATCAGGTTCATGATGTTCGGCTGGGCTGGGGCTTCTGTGAGAGGTGTTGTGACAGGTAGTGCGTCGACATGGCCGGGTAGTGACGGTAGCACGGCGGGTGTATGATCAGCGTGCAAGACACGTCTCAGAGGGCGATCGGGCGAGAGCGAGGGCGAGGGTGAGGGCGCAGACAGTTCATATGTTTGGCGTGGAGAATGCGGGCCATGCAAAGTGGGCGACGTCGCAGGAGATGGAAGAGACGACAGAAGACGATGTGCGTGTGCCTGAGCGAATGCGTGGGCCTGATTGGCCGCTGTTTCCATCGAAGGTGTACGCAGCTCCGTGGTGAAGGTACAGTACACCTCCGGAAGTGACGGAAGTCGCTGTCGGTATGTGTGCAGATAGGAAGGCACGATCAGTGGGGCACACGGGGGGAGAGAGGAATGGGCGAGCGGCGGAGTAGAGGCAGTCGGGCGTGCGTGCGTGCGAGCGGCGTGGCAGGTGGCAGGTGGAAGGAGGCAGGTGGGAGGTGGCAGGTGGGTGGCAGGTGAGTAGCAGTGCTGGAGCGTCGACGGACGAAAGTTGAAGAGCGACGAGGATCACGAGGCATGTGAGAAACGAACAGCGGGATGGGATGGGTGAGCTTTCGGCAGGCAGGGGTGGTGTTGAGAGTTCCCAGGTTCTAGATTCGAGGAGACCGTTTCCGTTTCCATTTCCACGCCGCCGCCTGAGCTGTGCGACATTTGGAACGTTTGGGCGACTTCCATTGTCGGTGCTTCGCAGTGCGCAGTGCCGCCAGCTTGCGTTACCGCACTGCTGCTGCCAGCGTTCTGTGCTGCGACGCTATGTATCGTGCCAGCAAAGCTCGAAGCCGGGCAGACATGCAGCAGCAGCTCTGTCGGGTGTCTGTATTCTGGCAACGCTTGGCAGCGCACGTACCTCCGGAAGTACGCGAGTCCCACAAAATGACGCAAAACCTACGTTATAGCAATATATTGCTAGGAACCGAGTAAGATGCTAGCAACGCTGGCAACGCTAGCAATACCTCGCCGTCGCTAGCAATAGCGACAGATAAAGCTAAAGTGTTAGTAAGCTATTAATAGTATAGCAAAATAGAGGTATTATTATCGCGCTCTTGCCTTAATTAGCTGTCTATCTACCTTACTATCGGTATCGCTGCTATTGCACTCGCTCTACCTACTCTTATAGGACCTCCTTATTTATTGCTTATTATAGTAGTATCTCGTATCGCTCTATAGCGCCTATCTATAGATTATAGTATAGCTTAAACTGCCTATTCTACTATTATATATCTACGTTTAGCGGCGGTCGGATTAGTATGTTTTATAGAAGGTTCTCGGTCTAACTAAGGTTGCTATCGGCGGCGGCGGCGGTAGTAGTAGTTAAATAGCGTAAATAGCTCGGCGTAGTAGGTACGAAGGGTATAGAAGGTAGTATTTCCGCTAGATAGCGAGTTAGTAAGTAGTCGCTCTCGCTGTTGCCGCTATACTATACGTTATTGCCGCCGGCGGTAGATTAGAAGTCGTTTAATACGCGCGTAGTATATTAAGTCGGAAAGAAGGGTTATAATAAGAACGATAGCGGCGGCGGCGCCTATTAACTAAGCCGTGTCTTACTAATATAAGTCGCGTCTTCTAGATTAGCTATTATGCTAAGGACCTAGTTATCGATATCGTCGTCGTCGCTGTCGTCGCTATCTACTATATCGTTATTAATAAAGTTGTCGCGAGTCTAGTTAATTTAATATTAGAAGTCGTTATCTAACTTTACCTTCTCGAGCTACTAGTCTATTAATAGTTAGTAGATCGCCTCGCTAACAACCTTCGAATAGTGCTTATAGAGATACTAAATATAGTCGTTATAGTTCTTCTTTAAGAGGTTGTCTATTAACTAAGCGGCTCTCGCTAGGCGATAGAAGTCTTCCTTAAAGTTGTCGATAATATAATAAAGAAGAATATAGTAATTACGCTCTAATACGCCGTTGCTAGCAGCTCCTTCTAGTAAGGCTTCTACCGTAGCTAGGTCGTCGATTAGTATACGATTGCTATTAAACTACTCCTCGTAGACCGTCGAGGCATTATTTAAGCCTTGTCTACTATCTATTGCCTTCTAGCGGTCTATATACTCGTCTACCTGCTTCCGAGACAACTAGTTATCCTTAAACTCGCTATTAAACAGTATATAGCAGTAAGGCTAGTACTAACTAAGGAAGAATAGGCAAGGGCACTTAGAAGGTATCTCTTTGTTAAGGGTAGGTTCAAAACGAGACTAGGTAATAGCACCTCGCTCGTACTATAAACGTGCAATCTTATACTGCTTACTAATCTTTATCTATAGATAGTATAGCAATTCTTAAAGCCTCGAGTATCTAAGGGAGCGGAAAAGTAGCAATTATAGTATAGAAGCTTTAGCAACGTCGGCTTTGTTATACTAGTAGTCGTTAATATCTAGAGAGTGTATAAGGGTACCTACGAGTAACTAGTTATAGATTGTCGTCTCGTTGCCTCGCTTAAAATAGATATAATAGCCTTTAATATAGCTAGTAGTACGCGTCTACGAGGAAAGTTAGCTCTAACCGTAGTACGCGATTAGGAAGAAACAGCTATATTTACCTATAAAACGCGTAGATTGCCCTGTCGAGCGTATACGCACTAGAGCTCGGCATACTCGATAGTCTACTCTCGTTTAAAGTAGGCGGCTAATAGATCCTACTAACTACCTAGTAGCGAGGCTTCTATAAGCTATATATATTAAAGAGCCTCGTTATAGTCTTCTACAAAATACAGTATACTAAATAGAGCCTATTATATCTTCTTATATCTACGCTTAATACTAAACTTCTTTCTAATAGTCTCGACAACGTATCGCTAGCATAGATAGACTATAACTTTATTATTAAAAGCGAGCTAGAAGGCAGCCTATTCGCTTATAGAGTTATTAATAATCGTCTATCTAAGGTGCTAGCTACTAGGCTTCTTGTAATCGGCCTACGAAGACAAGTGCTAGAAGCTAGTCGTAAGAACAATAGTATACTAGCTCTCGATAAGTATATAAGCGATAGGGTATTAGAAGTTATTCTCGTCTCGTACGAATAGGTTAACGAGGAAGAAGCTAGTATTATTAGTATCGTAGGTAGCGTCTTACGATAAGAACTCGCTATACCTCTTAAGCAGCTTAATGCCCTTCTTAGTAGTATATACAATGCCCTATTTGAGGCCTTTAGACGTCTATACCTAGAAGACCTAGCAATAATAACTACGCTTAATCGTACGCTCTCTCGCCTCTTTAATTTGCCGTAGAATAGCGCTTTTGCCGGGGACAATATAGCGCTTATCTCGATTGTAGTACAGTAAGCTTCTTACTAGGTTATACAACGTCTAATACTAAATAGCGTAGCTACTAATATTGCTATAGTTATCCTTTAAAAAGTCTCTCGTACGACTAATCCGTAGTAATCTATCTAGCTTCTCTTAACCTATCTCTTTTAGGTATACGTTAGTCCGCCGAGCGTCGCTATACTATAAGGTATAGGTGTGTTTTTGTCGATAATCGGTACGCTAGATAAGAACCTTCGTAGGCTTACTATCGATAGTATCGTAGTACTGTAATATAATAAGATTAAGCCTATAAGGCTTAAAGGGCGTATATTCTAGCTTTAGGCGACTAGAAATAGTATCCTCGACCTTCTTCTTCTTTGCTTCCGCCGCTTCTATCCGCTTAGCCTTAATATACTTATAATAGGACTTAGAAACGATGCTGCTATTGCGGTCTGCTTTAGGGACTATTATACGAGTATAGCTATATATATTAGATATTAGTTTAATAGTAACAATCTATTTAGTATAGGATAGCGGTATATCCTTATCGATAAGGAAGAGCCTATCGCGAAGGACGCTAAGATTGCTAAGCGCATCGCTATTGCCGTTAGGTATAGCGATAACCGGTAGATCCTCTATTATAGCGATAATAGAGGTAACGAGGTAGTAGTAATTTCGAAATTCCTAAAATTATAACGCGAATGCATACGAATTTCATAGTCTTAGCGGGGCACACAAAACGTCATTCAATTGTGGATCTCTACGGAATGCGCCACCCGAGAATTAGCGCGTTGCCAGAATACAGACACCTGCTCTGTCATTATTGCTCTGCTGGAGACTGGAGTAGTAACGCCGCCAGCCGCGGGGCCGGCATCGTATCGATCAGCAACGGGCCGCCCGTTTTGTTTGCGGGCCTGACTCCGCTGCCTGCACAATGTCGGGCCTTGGCACCGCCAGCTTTTCTTCCTAGCACTTTGCACACAACTGTCATACATAATAAGTCTCCTTCTCTTGCGCCCTCGCGTTGCCTGCACCACGTCCATCGGATCGTCTCCTCCATGAGCTTGTTCCTAGCGAGCGGTGTCCGGCCGGCTGCTGCCGGCCGTCTGGCGTGCAGCAATCCTGCAAGTGGCCGAGTGTATTACCTGCAGTAGCGCCAGGCGCGGCTCACTATCTAACTTTATTACTGAACAATCATCACACCACGCCGCTCCGTCCATCAGCATTCGGCCTTCAAGCCATGTCCTATGCTGACATCAACGCCCAGCAATCTCCATTCTTGACCGTCATGTCTTTCATCAAACACCTCGAGCAACGGCGTCAAAAGATTGCACCACTGCCGACTACCCTTTGACACTCCTTGTGGTCTTTGTGGTAATGGAAACGACTCACAACTTCTGCGCGAAACACGTCTTGTCTTGTGCAGAAGACCAAACCAAAAGGCTGCAACAATGCTGCTCCAGTCGTCCATACATTCAAGCGCTATAATAGCAACTTGACCTTCACTTGCATTGCGCAGCAGCTCTTCGCTGAACTTACAGCCTCATCAAGCCGACATGTGTCAATACTATCGCTGGAGCTGCGCCAAATGTTACGCGCAGAACGATGTTGTCGTGCGATGCTACTCCGCCCATCACTCAAACCACCCATGTCCAAGAATTGCAGAGCCATTGCCGCTGCCCTCAGACGCGCCCAAGCTTGAGTGTCAACAGTGCTTCGCCCATCGCCCACTGCCTCCTCCGCGATCCGATCTCGATCTCAATTCAACCCCTGCAAGATCTTCGGTACAGACACAAGCCATTGCGGCGGATGCTGCCCTCGAAATACCCCCAGAGCATCATGTCTTCTGGCGAAACCCCGCTACGAGACTTCTCGACTATTCCGAGAAGCTTGGTGAGTATGACAAGAAAAGAAACGACGTCCTAGCGACTGCACAAAAGACACAGCCGTCGCAAGATTATGGGGAAGATAATAAGGGAAAGGACACCTTACGAAACAGTGCTTGGGAGGAAGCTTGGTCGCAGCTCAAAGAAGACCTTTCGAAGCCCTATGATAATAACAAGTAAGTGCACATGGAATTGCTGGAGCTTGGATTAGTTGCCTGAGCCCTTCGCTCCATAGCACTTCATCATCATCAATCAGATCAGTGATTGCGACCATAGGCTTTTTCAAATTCCCTGTGCCATTTGCCAAGCGGTCTGGGGTTGATCGACCCCAGATTGTGACTTCGTCTCTTCACTCTGTTCTTCTTAATACAGCACTGTATCGAAACACTGGTCAAGCCTTCATTCTCCCAAAAACGCTCATCATCATGATGAAGCAACCCTAACTTACCATTTTGGGATTCTTATCGCGACCGAAGATTTGATGATGAAGGGTCTCCAGGAGATGTGGCTTTATTGAGACCAAGGATAGCCTGCCAGGAGACCCCAGTCTCGTCAACCACTTCGATCTAACGAATATGACTACCTCCTTCAACAAGGCAGAGAAGTGCTCTGCACTACTCATGGGCACAAAAAGAAACACCAAGACGCATACTCGGGCATCTGGCGGCTGCAGAATGTTGCTGGAACACTGCAGCGTGCAACTATTTCTCCTACGCAGCGGAACTTATTAACAACGTCTCTCGCAGCGCGTGAGCGATTGCAACAACACACGGCACGCGATCACGATCGCAAAATGTCGCAAGAACAATCTCGCGATGAGATCGGCTCTCACTTCTTACTGCAGTCGGATTCTCAAACACCAGTCCAAACGCCATCACGCCATGCATCACCAACTCCCGTACGACACACTAAGACGACTCCAACACGACTCAGTACGAACCAAAGATCGACCGCAGATTCTGCGTCGCCTCAACGGTCGTTGCAGCTGCAGGAGAACGCTTATGAGCACGACTTGCATGCCGACTTGCACTGGGCCATCAACCCGTGTAATCCGAGGAATTGGACGAAGAGGAAAAAATGGATGCACACAATGCTATTCTGCATCATCTCTTGGGCCATTATGCTCGGTGCATCGAGTATGACCTTGGCACACGGTGTTATCAAGAATCAAATGCAGACCTCCTCCATTGTCGCAGTGCTTCCCACATCAGTCTACCTGCTGGGACTGGTATTGGGTTTTTTCAGTACGCCGAGCGCTGAATCGATAGGTCGGAAGTCAATGTACATCATCTCTGCGCCACTGTATGCCATATTCATCTTGGCATCTGGACTGACGAACAGCATGTCTGGCCTGGCGATTTGCCGGCTTCTCGCCGGCTTTTTTGCTGCACCAGCGCTACAGCTAGGCTATGCATCAATCTTGGACATATGGACGGTCGAGAATCGAGTTTTACCCATTGTCGCATACACGTCGACCATTATTGTTGGGAGTACCCTTGGTTCGGTGCTCAGCGGAGCAATAATGTGGAGACAACACTGGCGATGGACTCAATTCGCCATTTTGATTCTATCCAGTCTATTCTTCGGTGCAATGTTCTTCACAGACGAGACGTTAAAGACGATGATCTCGCGAAAGGGTTGGAAAGAGACTTCCAAACTCTCGCTGGTCCGAGGGCTGGTTAAGAACGAGTCTGTGAGACCGTGGCTTGTCTTCTTTTCGGAACCACTTACGCTGCTATGTGGAGCTCTGAATGCCTTCTACTTCGGCATCCTGTTCGCGATTCTGACGGGCTTTCCTGACGTGCTCTCCCAAGCACATCACTTCAACGCAGGCGCACAAGGACTCACATTCCTTGCCATGAGTGTTGGCGCTCTACTTGCGCTCATCATGGAGCTTTGCCACCAACAATGGTGCTACGAGCCTCGAGCTTTCAGATACAAAGAGGAGAAGGTCTCAGAACAGGAGCGGACGCTGTACACCGGCAAGCGAGCCAGTAAATACAGCAACCGGTCTAGCTTTAGTGCATCGACCGAGCAGATCAGCCTTGGGAGAAGCAGTCGAAGAAGTGTCCTGTTACAGTCTTTGAAGCGACTCTCCATTCCTACTGGCAAGACCTTTGAGCGACCCAATCCGCAATGGCGGCGAAATATGAAGCTTGCATATGCAGCTACTGGCTACTTGAATGGCATCGATGAGAACTGCGGTAGACGCATCAAACCAGAAAAAGTCAATAATCTCCTCAATCAACAGCTGGACTTTAGTCAGCTTTGTACTGCATTGGAAGGTTACAAGCTCAAATTCGACTGTGTCGAGCTTGCTCGCGTGCTTGTGGAAGCTCTCGCAGATGATGAAACGCAGACACCAGCGGCCTACCCATCAAGTGCAAACATTGAGGACGTCGAGCGACTTTGCTCAGCAACCACTTCTGCTTTGGAGGCTAGCAATTCGGATACCACTCCGAAACCGAGCATGAATGAGAAGCGAAAGACTTGGATACCGCCTTCGACTTCGCCACCACCTGAATGGCGGCTCTGGCTAGCTCTTCCGGCATCAGCATTGAACGTCGCATCACTCTTCATTCTCGGCTGGACGACGCATAATCACTGGATGGCTACCGTGATCGCAATGGCCATCTATGCATTCGGATCGTCACTCATCGCAGTGAGCACGACTTTATACGTGTTGGAGTGCTTCAATTCCTCACAACAAAACGAAGGGATGTGGGCTGGAAGCTCAATTCTGACGTATGCTTTTGGCTTTGTGTTCTCGCTATTCTCCACCGAAGAGCTAAAACTTGGTCCTGGACTTGGTATGAGTGTTTACGCAGTTATGAGCATCTTGTTCGGCACGATACCAGCGGTACTGTATATCTTTGGAGCCGCACTTAGGAAGCGGCGAAAGGATCGTGGCAGCAAGTAGCTTGTTGTAATATTATCCTGTATCAATGATAGCAGAGCTGAACCAGTGGCTCGTACAATACGAAATTCTTGAAGAAGTCCACGTCAGCTTGGCGCTGGCTTGGTGCATTCCTTCTAATGCCTGAGAATCCTTCGCATGAACTACATGTACCTAATCCTCCGCGGCTGTGTTCTTGGCAGCAGCTGCTGAGATTGTCTCCTGCCCAGACTACAAATAGGCAGGGCTGAGACTGACTACTTACTAAAAGGCCCTGCAGTGAAACATGCGCCGCTTGAACATGCTCGAAATGGAAAACAAGAAGATTCAGGCAGCAGGAGACGCCGAAGCCTCGTCATCAACACAACCATCATTCTCACCGGCCGGTCAGCAGGAGCCTCCTCAGTACTGGGATTCCGAGCCAAGTAGTCAACCTCCTTCGTACGGCGAGAAGAAGTGTGGTCAGCAGCGGTGGCGTGGTCCTGCCTCGGCTGCAAGCATCGCTGCCATTCTGGGGCCCGCTCCTCAGGAACCTGAGAAGAAGAGATCGTGGAGGGAGCGCTGGAGGGATATGATGTCGGGAAGCAACCATGGCGGCAAGGGGCACGGAGAGCAGTTCGAGATGGAATTGTCAAGGTGTGGCGCTATTTGAGCCGCCCAAGACTGTTCGGCGGAGTGCGAAGGGTACGGACCGAGGACTCTGAGCAATGCGCTTTCACTGATGCAGGTCGTGCGACGTCAGCCCTCCGATGACAAGGCTGAGTCCATGCACGCCCGCCACGCCACGCCACGCCATTGTCCTGTTGTGGCAATGCATGTCAAAGCCGGAACGAGCATCACGTGCCTGTCGTCCCGGGTCATCGTGGCAGCCACGATCGTATTGACAAAGCGAGCTACGATGACTTTGAGCCAAAGTAATTCTGGATTGGAGGCTGATCAGGCTGTGATGGATGTCACCGCTTGTGAGACGCGGACTGCTGATTCGAAGGGCGACTTGGATTTCGCGATCACGAAGGGAGAGCCTATTGTCCTATATCCACTGGATGTTTTGAGGGAAAGTGGGATTTGTGCGCAGGAAAGAGTTGCAAAACAATGGTTGAACAGTGGATTGCATGAGCATGGCGACGGCGTTATTGCATTTTTGCTGGCATAACTACCGAGACATAGATCCCAACATACATTTTTTCACAAAGTGTTTCCTTACTATAGCCAGATCGGATATCCGCTAATGACAGCCAGAACTAAGAGTCAAGTTCGAGTTCGCTGACTTCATCTTTCTCCATTGTCATTCATCATCAGAAACGAACACATCTGGAAGCTCAGCAAGTCCACCTGCAGCGGCTACGGCGCTCCGCAACACCGAAACCATGAACATATTCTCGGCAGAGCTGGAATCACTACCGTCGTCGTCGTCGTTGTCGTCGCTCGGGGCCTGTTCGTGATCATTTTCTTCTGTACGATCAGCTGACGCCTCTCCCATGATCGTTGTCGCATTTGACAAGGAAGTCGTTTCAGAGGCTGAAGTGGGTGGATCGTCCAACCGCGCTCGTCCAATTTCACTGTCATCGGGAAGAAAGAGCATGCGTTCTGGAGACTGGAGGGAGGACATGTCCGAATGCTCATCGGAGTTTACTGATCGGTTGCTTGGCGATTGGTGCAGTTCAGGCAAGTCGAGCAGATCTCGTTCGTGACTGAAGCGCATCTTAGGAGGTGCTCTGATCTTCTCCGGACTGTATGCTTCATAAATTTGGGCGTCATCATCGAAGTTCGTCTCCTGAGGTGTCTTGGGTGTGGTTGGTCGACGTTCGTTGTAGTCTTGAACCCATACAGGCTCAGGCACCAGTGTGTAAGAATGGGCGCTGTGGACTTCACAAGTCTGCTTGGAAAGATCTCGCTCACTCGCGGTGTCTGGAGACTCTGGAGGTGTTTCTGCATCGAACTGAGCGTCCTGGCTGGTGCCTTGATGAGCTTGGAGCTCCGCTTCTTCATGTTGCGAGGATAAGGCGTCTGCTTCAGGCGAAACTGAAAGCTCATAGAGCCGATCATGGCCTTCAAGTGCAGCCAGACTCCTTTTCCGCCACTCTTCGCATCCACGTGCGAAGATCTTGTCGCCCTCCTCCTCGCTCCACGGCAAGTCCCTACTGGGATCTACAAGCGCATCAAGCCAGCTCACACGCCAATCTACCCGTTGCGCTTCCAGCTTACTATCATGCGAAGCGCTTTGTGGCTCAGTATTGACTTGCTGTTCTGCTCTGTGTGTCTCTAGGCACACTTGACTGGTTGTTGGATCTGACGGGGACGCGGCTGCTATTTCAGATCGTTGAGTCGTGGTAGGCGATAATGGCAAATCTTCTGACACGATTGATGTTGCATCGCTCCTTAGTTCAGTGTATAATTGACCCTCGGAGTGGTCGAGCTGTTCTTGAAGGTCCCTCATGTTGGCAAGCAGAGAACCGTAATGTTTGATATGCAAAACGGTCCGACAGAGTGGTGAGTACATGAGTTATGGAATGGCTGTGTTGGTTGTGATCATCTTCTCGAGGCATCGGGGGCATTTTGCTCTTCTATGGCGTGAGTGCTCGCCTGCGAAGAGTGTCTCACGGTGGCGAGTGACATGGCTCAGGCTGTCGCGTCTCGAGCGAGACACCTCCTATGCAAGACAGTGACACCGTGATCCATGATTTGATGAAACCTCTCATACCATATTGCGAGAGGGGATACACAGCTTGTGTGACTTCACGGCGATGTAGCCTTGAAAGACATGGTGGCGGTGTGCGCGATCAGCTCCAAGCCTTCACATTCAGTGTCTCCGTCAATTTGAGAATCCAAAATACATACCTATCGCTTATTCTGAGCTTGAGACATTGTGACTTCTGGTCAAGGAAGGTGCTTCTGCCAACATCTTCCGTCCAAGGGTGCCGTTGGAAGCATAGGTCGTCGATCGATAAGGTACAGCGTGAAGCTGATGTTCGAGGGCTGTGGTGATAGGGAAGGAAGTCTCGCTGGTTGTACAAGGCGAACCTTCCTTGGACAGTGAGCTTCAAGCAGGCACGGATGGATTGCGTTGGACGCCTTCATGTTACCCCCTCGCTCTCCACGTCTTCTCTCCACTGTAACGCAGCATCTCATCAGCACTCCAGACGTCTATATCAATACAGAAGCCGCTCAATACCTCACCATCGCTATGGAATTTGTTGTCGCCTCCTGCTCCATGGTGTACAGGACAATTTATCGTTTCATCATCCGCAGCTCCTTCACCGTTGATCCGCGACCGCAGTCCACATTGTCGAAGAAAAAGAGGTTTCTCGAGACTCTGGATGTCGTGGAAGGCGCCGGCGAATGCCCAATATGCTACGACGACTTCCTGGACTTAGAAATTAGTGGCGGCTACTGTCTTCCTTGCGGACATGGATTTTGCAGTGTATGCGCAGGAGCGGTCGTTGCGCGATTCAACGAATGCTCTCTATGTCGAAGACTGTTGATCCCTCCACCAATATATGAACGAGAGTCGTACCGCAAATTCTCCGCGGCGGTACTCATGGCCTATGTGACGACTTTAGCTTTGCAGGCCACTACCTGTCTAGCAGCGGTATACTGGCTGTCAACAATCGACGATCTCAAGATGGACATATTCGGAAGTGGATTGATAGATCTTGGAGCTTGCATGTGGGCGGTCTTGCTGTTCATGCGGCGCAGGAGGATGGGTATTCAAGGATGGAGAATTTTCGCACTGGAAGACCATGGGGACAGCAAGTTCATCGTCTTGGATGCCCTGATGATCATAGTGCTATTGTGGGCTATCCTGCTACTTTTGATCTGGCTCGTCCAATGGTGGCGGAATATGTTGACAGTGTAGTCCTGAGGAAGCCGTACAGCTCATTGTTGGAAGATGCGATCATAACGCCGCGGGGTGGTCTCAGAAGGTGGAGCGACGTCAAGTTCTTGGGGAGGCATCGACAGTACATCGTGCTTCTCTACAGCACAACAAGTCTTGTGGATTTACTCAATCGCTGGTAGAGCTTTGCCGTTGTGGCATGTTCGTTTGAATGCCGTTACGACCTTCTTCCAGCTGCTTTCTATAGATTTGTCAGCAAGACTCAGACGATGCGATAGGTTTGGCATACAATGTAGCAGTCTTTCAGTGCCATGAATTCTCTCGCACACAGGTCCTTCTTGACGTTCTGATAATTCATTGCCACGCACTTTCCATACACCGCACCCTGTTCTGCATCAGCAGCGGAAGACGGCAGGGGCACGGTCACACTCACCTCCGCTGAGCATTTGGCCGTTGCTTCGGCGAACTTCTCGATGGGCCTCGTCCTGCCTGGCATGCTGACCTGGATCAAGTGAACGAGACGTTTGGGCTTAAGTGAAAGAAAGCATTTCCATTCCGTCGTGTTCATTGGCTCGCAGCTGATCGGCGCTAGCGGGAGGCGCCGATCTCACACGCGAAGAGGGCAACCACAATCAACAAAGCGCGAGGGCGTAGAATGTGAAGTCGTCGCAGTCGCGTGTCGCATTCAAGGCGCATACAACAACACAATTGCTCCTCGACCAGCATTTCCGCAGCGCATGTATTAGCATCGCGATCACGCCCAGAGACATATCGCACATGCAAGACCGCACCAGATGACACGAGAATACTCGAAGCGCGTCCGACGGAAGCATCTTCCACCATTTCTCACATGAATGGATACCCTGACGACCGTGAGCTTCCCGAGCTGACCAACGAGCGTATGTCAATCCAATGCCCATCTTACGCAAGCTATGCTAACATCGGCCAGAAATCGAAACACTATACCAAATCTGCCTTGCCGCCTCCAAAGCTCGAGGATCGATCTTCGCCGCGCTTTTCGCCCACTACCACAGCCACTTTGAGCAACATGGATTGGACACGAGTCGCGACAACACCATCTTCCGCTGGCTGTTTCCCATCGGCGACAGCGCAAGACGCGACAAGAGTGCTGGGCAGAGAGTGGATCTGGTCAAGCACTTGAGGAGTGTGCTGGCTGCTCAAGGCATTGAAACCGTCTTGTCGAATGAAGAGTATGATGAAGCGGCCGACGAAGAGACAAGATCGTTGAAAGTCTCTCATACGCCACTACGAAAGGCGAGGAATCGCCCGGACCGAAGGGTCTCTTTTGACGACGCAAAGTTGGAAGAGACATGGCTTAGCGAGCATTCGGAACTGGGACGTGATTCTCCATACCCAGTCAACCAAGGACTATTGAGTCAGCCCCCACGACGAAACCGTGACTTCGGACATCCTCAGCGCGCGAGGTCTACGAGCAGCTCGAATCGATATCAAACTCGCCAACCAGCCATCAAGCACTTCCAGGAAACATCGCCGTCGCCGCCATACACTTCCGATTATGGAGCTGAGGGAAATCCTACACTTCTCTTTGAGGTCTCGCAGACCCAACTCGAGCAGCATGCCGAAGCTTTCTATGAGACTACCAACGTTCGCACCATGAGACGTTATTTGCATGTTTGGCATGATCAGGCACTTGCGCTGCAATCTGCTCATGCTCAGGCATGGGCCTTTGCTGCAAATTTTGATCGACGCAAGCTGCTGAAAGACTCTCTGGACACCCTTCTTGCGACTCTGATCGCCAGAAGGGAAGAACGACAGCGCATCCTCGACGCAGAACGATTGGAACGGGAAGCCCAGGCGCGAGAGCAGCAGCGCATTCTGTCTCTCGAAGCTAAAGCTGCCAAGCTGCTGCGCAAGCGCGATTCCAGCCTGTTGTACAAGGGTTTTAGCCACTGGCTCGAAGCCTTGAGGTATCAGCGGCGGGCGATCCAAAATGCGAAACAAGTAATTCTTCGAGTGAGATACTTCCACAAGTGGCGCAAGATCACCGTCGAGAATGTGACGAAGGCTCGGCGTGTCTTGAGTCGCAAGTATCTTAAGCTTTGGCGCGATCAGCAAAATCATCGAGCATTAGCTGGAGAGCAAGCGACGGCACACTTCGAGGAGACCGTCACGAAGAAGTATTTGCAGTATCTCAGACTAACATTTCGTGAACGGCGACTGCCAGATTTGCTGCAGGAGAGGAAAGAGCTTGGTGTGCTGCATACTCTGCAGACGCGCTTGCAGGCTGTTCGCCTTCAGACATCAAAAGCAGACAATTTCAGAAACAGAAAACTGCTCAGCCTAGGATTCAACCGAGTCGCAGAAGCTGCGCGCGCACAGCAGGAAGCTGTACATCTTGCCGAAAATCATCATGGTCGGACTGCTCTGGTCAATTGCTTCCGTGCTCTGCAGCTTCGTGCGAAATTGACTCCGGGGAAGAAGACTGTTGCTTCGAAGGTCGATCTAGATCTTAAACGCAAAGCACTAGGCGTGTGGCAATTGAACTTCAAGTTTTCACGTCAAGCTGCCGAAGCAGATCGAAAGCGAATTTTGCAGTCAGCTTGGACGAGCTGGAACGATGCGTTGCGTTGCAGAGCACTTGGGCAACGCATTGATGAGCGGGTGCTTGCGGAGAACCTGTACAAATGGGTCCTGCAGACACGATTGAGAGACTTCCAGCGAAGACAGAATGGCAATCTGTTGGCTCGGATTATGAATGCTTGGTATTGCAAACTGCAGACAAGACAAGCAACACTCAAGCAGGCGGCCACGACCCTTGCGGCAAATCAACGCAGACGAACCTTGAGATCAGGAATGGTGCGCCTAAATTTGGCACTTCGACAACAAGAAGATGCTGAACGAGCGGCAGTCGAGTTTGCTAACAGCAGAACCTTGCCCAGTGTATTGGATGTCTGGAAGGAGCAAACCGCACACGCAAGGATGCTCGCGAAGTGGGCAGTTGATGCTCGCTTCTACTGTCTCGCCACTCGTACTATTCGTCTCTGGCGTGAACGGACGGAGGAGCACCAACATAGTCGCCGAAGAGATGCATACGCGCAGGTCAGGGCACAGATCAAATTGCGCCTTGTCCGGCAATGCTTCTCGAAAATGCAGCATCGATGTGCAGAGATTCAGGCCATGCAGGGCGAAGCAGAGACACGAGCCAGTGCAAGGCTTTTTGCCATCGGCACAGATGCATTCGACAAGATGCGCGACAAGACGGCACAACTTCAGGAACTCAAGATTCGAGCAATGGCCATAGACCAGGAGAAGCTGCTTGGATCAGCCCTGTCGGCGCTCGTGAATCAACGGGCAGATTTGTCTGCCATCGAAGAACAAGCCATGGTCTTCAGACAAGAATCTGACTTATCCCTTCTTGCTACCGCGCTCAAGCGAGTACAATGGGTCACCTTCACTGCCGCTCGGCGCAGAGAGACTGCAGATGCGCTTTGGGCGAGAAATCGCGATCAGCATATCAAGAATATGATTCGGCACTGGGCATCGCAAGCGGCTCAGCTGAAGGCCGCGAAGGCTGATGGGGTGCGCAGGAGTGAGGTTGAAAGCCCTAGCCTTCGCCCTGCTAGCCGTGCTGCAGCTCGATCCGCCGAGAGACCAGCTTTTAACAGCTCTCCTCCAGTCGCATCTGCAACACCTGCGTACATGCGAACACCATCTCGCTCAAGAAAAACAGCTCGCTTCAAGCCTTTACCAACTCCAGCTCACGTCACGCCCATGACTTTTGATCCAGGCTACTTCGTCACAACACCTGATCCGCTGACGAACGCGCGATCTGAGCGGGAAGTTGAAGATGGCGGAGAACAGGACATCTTCCAAGGCCTGACGCCGCAGATCACACCTTTCGCGCGCAAGCTACGTGCTGGCGGGATCAGCAATACTCCCGCCAAAGCGCCGCCATCCGCACTGAGGAGCAGTGTATTTGGTAGATCGACAGCTGCAGGTGGGACGGCCAAGAGTGTCAGGTTCGCAGGATCTAGCAGATTTGGCAGCGGCATATCGAGGCTGAGTCCTCCTGATGAAAGTACGTAGACGTAGCGTATGTGAATGAAAGAGTAACGACCATGAAAACTTCCCAATAATGCCGCTTCGAGTCGCGCTCTCGCATTGCTCATAGCCCTCTTTTCCATGGTGGCTCTGATCCTGATCTCCTACGGGTTTCATAAATAGGTCAGTGTTGACCAAGTAGTGGAAAAGTACGAAATCACGCTGTATGAGACCAGCAAGCATTCAAGACATAGTGCTGTGGCACATATGTCCCCTATTGAAAGTGGAGTGGTGCTGGTAATATTGTACATGTACGACTCCACGCTCGTGCGGAATGGTGCAATCGCTCCGTCAACGTGCTCCAGCTGGGCGTCACGCGGCACAGTCGCAGCTCCATGCGAGACTGTTTGACTTCCGAGAAGCGAGTGTGAGAGACCGTGAAATGCACGTCTATTAGCTTTTATGTGTAGTCCGCGATGTGATAATATCTTGGACCGTTCCTAAGCCTATTGAAATTCTACATTGAAGCCAAATCCATCTCCCAGGAACAAGCCATCCATACCACCACCACTGATACCCTCCATTGCTGCCAGATTGAGATTCATGGCTTGTTGGAAGTTGGAACCCCAGAGCCAGGGATTCGTCGCTGGATCAAATCCATCAGCACCGGGATCCGGCGTCGGGGGGTACGTGCTGGATTGCTGCTGCTGTGCGTTAATCGGAAAGCGGCTGTCAGGATGATCTGGGTGGGGAGTGCGCCCATACTCGACGGGGAACGGCGTATTGAAGGTCCACTCTCCTTGTGCTGAATTCTGTCCTTGCTGCTGAGGGGGCTGATTGGCAGTGGCGACCTGTGACAGCATGTGAAGTGGGGTCTGACTATACTGCCCGCTATTGACGCCATTCTGAGCCTCCTGTTGGTTTGAGGTCGGCGGATGTGGTAGCTGCTCGCCCCGTGACTGAGCAGCTACATTCTCTTTGTGTCTCTTGAACCAGTCTTTGAGCACAGACAGGATGCGCAAGATCTTCGGGTGGGGTCGAAATTCTTCCTCGCCGGCCACGTGACTGAACATATTCAGAAGTCCATCGAGATAGTAATCGGCGTTGATATCGTCGGTAGTCATCATCTTCGAGATCTCGCTGCCTGGTGTCGTGATAGCAACATGCATCTTGATCAAGATGACAATCGCATACGTGCAGCGGACGAAGAATATCAGCATTGGTAGCACCTTGACTGTATCGACGTCGAAGCTGAGCATATGGTTCAGCAATCCGTGAGCAGCGTTTCGGCAGGCCTCGAGTGCTGCAATTTGGTTTTGCGTGAGCTTCTCGGTGCTGTTGTTGACAGACTTGAGCGACTCCTCAGTAAACGGTAGGCGGAAGTCGTCGATATTGTGGTTGAAATGCAGGGCGATCTCGTGCAAATACAAGCTTGCAACATGCTCGAAAAATCTCAAGCCCGAGTGCGACTTGAGCTCTGTCGGGATGTTCTCGCTCCACTTCTTGAGGTCGTTCTCGAGCACGTTGAGGGTGTATGTGACCTTCGGATCGGTTATGCTGATACTGGCTGTGCTATCGTCCATCAAGAACTGCACACTAACTTCTTCGCATATGTGCTGGATCTTGATGTGCTGGCAGAAGAGCTTGTCAGACGGCATGGCTTCCGAGCTGGTTTCCAGAATGTCAACACATTCTTGCATGTATTTGGTCCAGTGCACGAGATTGGGCCGGCGGAGCACCATTGAAGCGCTTGCGCAGAGGTAGTAACAGCCGAGCCAAGCGCGGCGTGCTTCGATCGTGTCCGAGTTGATCGGGAGCATAAGGTGTGGACCAGGAGCGTAATCAGAATGAGGGCCGCCAAAACCTCGCCTGGCTTTGGATGCATTGAATCGCTTGCCCAGGCCTATATCGATGGCCATGACTGCTGCCATATGGATGATTTGGTAGAAGTTCGTTTGCTCCGCCTTCTCTGGTGGCTTATACCATAACGCAACGACTTGCATCGCTTGGATAAGTTCCAGAGATTTCGCGCCGTTGCAGACGACACAATCTGCCAAAGCTCGTATAGTCTCGCGTGACAGCTGCTTGCATGTATCTGGGTGCAATATGCCTGAAGAACCAGCCGAGAGGATGCACACATAGAGAATGGGCTTCTCTTTCCACACCTGCTCGGCTGTTGTGCCCGGTGGGAAGACAACCGCCGGCATATGTGGCGACATCTTGGTAACGTAGCGGTTGAAGATGGACACTCCTACGTCCGGGTTGACGAGAGAATTGATCCGATTCATGAATTCTTCCGGCGACCTGTGTGTGAGGTAGCGCATCATGTCAGCATTTGGGCCCCAGGAATCTTGAGTTTGCGGGAGCTTGTTCGCATCTGCTTTGCCTTGATATCGCGAGCTGTCAGCAGTATTCTGCTCGCGATATCCATCCAGAGATGGGGTCTGTTGCGTATCCTCCTCCGTACGTCTACGCTTCTGAGGCGGCTGCATAGAAGCGGCCGAGGGTTGCATCGGACTTGGAGCGGAGCCACCCGGCGGCCCATATTGCTGCGCATATTGCTGTGCCATTTGTGCAGTTGGCGCAGCATTCGCGTAAGGCGGTCCATACTGAGGCTGTTGGCTCTGACCAGCTTGCTGTTGCTGCTGTAAGACTGCCGTCAAAGCATCGAGCTTCTTCTCGAGCTCAGCCACCCTGCTATCTGCTTTCTTCTGCCGCTTCCTACTGGGAGCAGTGATGATGCACTGTCGGCCTGCCTTTGCGCATCGTCGGCATGGTAGTTCTGGATGGGCTGGGTCTTGGTCGCAGCGGACTTTCAACCCGCGGCATGCTTCGCAGGCTCGCGGTCGCTTAGGGTCTTCGCCGGTCGCCGCATTGCCATCATCGGGGCTGCGAAGACATATGGATCAGTATAATCTTGATTCAGGGGTGCCATCTAGACATACCTATGCTCGCCGCCTTGTTCCTCATTGAGCTCCCCGTACGCGACGCCGGCATTCTGTGGACTTGTCTGATTGCTGTGACTAGCTGAGCTTGTCGCGCCAGTTCCAGGCGCGTGCGGTGTATGAGTCTGCGGCGTCGGATACTGGTAGTAAGGCTGTGGTGGTGATGTTGGGTAGGTGTTCAGTTTCGCGGGCGGAGCGGAGAACTGGGGCGGTGGTTGTTGCTGGTAGTGCAGCGGTGGCGGCTTGCTGTCGCTGGGAGTCGAGCGCAAGGCCGGATCGATAGCCTGCTGCTGCTGTTGCTGGGACATTGTGCCGAAACAGCCTCCCGCCGCCGCCGTCTTGCTCGAGGTCGGCGTGTGGTGGCCGTGTCGGCGCGAAGCAAGTGCGGTGTGCCGATGGCGATGAAGCTCGGGTAGCAATGACGTTCCAACGCAGCAAACAACTACAATATGTCTGGTGGTGCTCTTTGCTCCGCCGGTCAGCTTTGGACAGGAAAACGACGCAGATTGTGATGTATCGACTGTGCTGCCTGGATGGGGTGAGAGCACTCGAGTGGATGATGCTGATGCCGTACCGAGCACGCCCACGCAGAACGCAGAACCCAGCTTGACTAGACGATCACATGACATTCGATCCATACGAAAGACGCGGTATCAAAAGCAGTTCAACATCAATCACAACGATCCACAATAATTCATAGTACTGAAAGGCGCCAGTCAACGACTCACATTATTTCGACGATCAGACACCAAGCGGCAATCCAACAACTCCCATATGTATGGCTGGACTCGGCATTCGCTCTGGAATGTGACACGCATCACGCTTGACATACTACATTTCTGATTGAGATCTTCTCGCCCACCGGATCCTACAACAACGCGCCAACCACCGCCATCCCAACTGGCACGAGAACCTTGTACACCTGGCTGACTTGGGTCGCTGCAGCTCCTTCCTCCTCAGTAGCAGTACAGCTAGCCCCAGCACTCGGCAACTTCTCTGCGCCAGCAGTGATCGGAATCTCCTTGATATTGAACACTGGACTCGCCGTCAAAGTCTCAACAGTCGAGGACTGGGTCTTGGTGCGACCAGCAGAAATAGAAATGACAGCACTGCAGACTGCCTGCTTAATAGTGGAAGACTCGTAGTCCAGCGCACAGCTCTGCGCCAAGGAGAGCACACCGCCGCCAGTGCGAGTCGAGTAGCTGTATTCGTACTTGGACGGGCCTTGGGTAACGGTGAGCTGTGAGAGGTTAGCAAGCATGAACATGACCGAGTGGAAACGAGAACACGAACCACGACATTTGGTGCTTGAGAGCAATAGTACTCGTCCATATCGGTGCATTGCATGGCGAGAGTCGTCTCACATGGGTCTGCGGCAACGATTGAAGCTGCAAAGCCGGATGAGTAGGAGCCAACAATGCCTGTGATGGTAGTCTGAGCAGAGACCGACGGCGCAGTGGTGGTTGCTCGCCCGCTTCGGAACGTGCTGCTGCTGCGAGCTGTGCTGCTGACACCACTAAAAGCTGAGGGAGGTGTAGTTGCAGTAGTAGAAGTGCCGGGGATGGCTAGAGATGTGCTCGAGTCGCCGTCGTCCTGAGCGGAGACGGAAAGCGCCAGGGCGACCAAAGCGAGTGTTTTGGCGAGCATGTTGGCGTCGATGGTTGCACGGGTTGGGGGAGCAGTGCGCAATGTGCAATAGATACTTGCGATGGTCTCGAGACGTTATGATTTTGGTATCAGCCCGAGGTAGTTGATGTCAATGGGAATGACTTCAGTCAAAGACACAGCGCCAACCGCACGCGGACCCTGTTCACATTTTTCCAGGTTCCTGTTCCAGCAGGTAGCCGAATGGCGACGTCAGTCACAAAGACGAGTTCTTTGTATAAGCATCAGTACAGCTTGGCAATGGCGCTCTTGTCTTGGCAATTCTTTTGTGATTATCAAAGCGAATGTGGAGGCACGAGGACAACCAAATGGTAACGGTTGACGTCGATGGCAGGCTCTGTTACTGCAGTGCAGTCAGTTGATCAGAGAGATCTCTCTTGTATATAGAGAGCAGTCTGCTTGAGATCGGTGACGTACCCATAATCTAATATCTGCAGTTGTGCATATATGGTTGACTCGGGCTCTTGGTGCATATGGAAGCTGTATGGCTGCCACGTGCAGCCGGTCTGGATGGCTTGCATCAACGGTCGCCTGTCTGTTATCGTCACAGTGGGATGATCGGTCCGTCGCACTGTGCTCGTATGGCAATTCAACGCTTGCGAACTCGCTGAAAGGATATGTTCGCAATGCTTTCCATTAGTACAGCCACAAGTTCTGAAGCTCCAGTTTGGCACCGTCCTTGCCAATCACGACTTCTTCTAGTATATCATGAGTCAAATGTGACTTATCCTCTCTGGTCCAGCCCCACGCGTATGAGAGTGCGGACTACGCAGGAGGATCGTCAAGCGTGACAGTAGAGGAGTTGCATACGATATGGTCGTCGAAAGCTGTAGACCGAGCAATCGTGAAGATACGTATATCATTGACATCCTCTAATGGGAGCAAGTTATCCAAATTTCGTTTTGATTCGTCGCTAAATCCATGAAATCATCGTCACTGGAAGAGGCAGGATCCCGATCGCTCTCACTGCAATCATCCATATCCATACATCACAGATTGAGAACTCTTGATCTCCGCGATTGGCCGCGTGTGAGATAGATTCGATTGAACCGTATCGACGGGTAAGCGTCGACCTGATATAAAGCTAGAGCTCCAGTGCCTTGTGAGTAGCGAAGCTTGAGCTGACCTGGGCTGCTGTGAAACACAGGCCCTACCGCCCATAGCAATTTTTGGAACCGCTGGATGGGAATGTGCATTGGGACTGGTTCTCAACATCGCATTTTGCCATCACTATCGATCTCACTCCGACCCCGAACGCCACGCTAAACTGCCTGCAATGCTCTGTGGTCCCTCCGTCCGACCTGGATCGCGGAGGTCATTCAAGCGCCACTCTCGGCGACACTCAGATTCTGAGTATCTTTCGCCAGCTTCTCAGCCTCCTTTTGGGCCTTCTTCTCAGCCAGCTTTTGGGCCTTACGCTCGCTCTTGGTACCTCTACCGTCTTCTCGTGGTCCCGTCGCTTCGCCGTTGGCGGCCTCATTTGATGCCACTGGCTTTACCTCGAGCGGCGTTGGGTTGCCCTTGAACTCGAGTTTCCGTTCCGTCATGTAAGAGGCCATGACCTCGTCAGTGATCTTGCTGCGTCTTTCCTGGAATTCTCCAACGACTTTCTGAAGCTCGCTAATACACCGAGCTTTCATCTCGCCAGTCGTGATCTCTCCCTTCCTGTAGCCGTCACTAAGCGACTGTAGCTCCTCGTCACTCTCCAAGAAATAGGAGAGGTACGTGAAGGCAACGTCCACATCAGGGTTGCCACCCTTTTCTCTGTGCTCCTCGATGGTTTCCCTGCCACCCGAAAACGCATGCTTATTGATCTTGTTCTTGATCTGGTTCGGTGTGTCTGACATAAAAATCGCAGAATTTGGGTTCGACGCCGACATCTTACCGCCTGGTCCTTGCAGCGCCGTCAGGAATTTAGACAGAATAAGGCAAGTCTTAGGATGCTTGTTCTTCATTCGATCGCAGTTCTCCCGCAAGATTCGGAAATACGGCTCCTGGTCAATAGCGCAGGGAATGAGTGTCGGTATTTTCGCGAGATCCTTGTATCTACGGAGAGGCTTTGGCTGCACCTGCCCGCCTACGAAACCTCTGAAGTCGCTCTTGCCGAACAACTCCGGATATGAAGAAGGAAAGGCAGCCACACATTGTCTAGCACCATAGCTGTTGAGGCCAACGTTCGTGCTTCCATCGAATCCGAATGCGCCTCTGACTTGGTTGTTTGTGATTAAGCTCTCGAATTCGGAGGTGTTGAGGAGGAAATGGCCACTGATGTACTCATAGTCGGTATAAATAAAGGTCTTCTTCATGTCAAACCCGAGAGCTATGATATCCTTGATGTTGCCATATGCATACTCCAGGAAGTCTTCCGGCTCCGACTTGTCGCTCTTGTTCTTGTTGCGCGTGTGCAGAAACTTCTCGTCATCGGTTATCATAATCACAAGCGGCACGTCGAAAATATCCTGCAGCTCCTTGGTGAACAGCATGGGTATCGTATGTCCCAAATGCAGGCTTCCGCTCGAAGGTCCTCGACCGGTATACAGCATGAATGTGCCATATTTCTCGTATACGTTGAGGATGTTGTCGAAGTCGCGGTGTGAGAAGAACAGTTTCCTCCGCATTAATCGGTGTGCCGGCTTTCCAGTGACCTTCTCGAAGCGCTTCAGGTGTTCCTCGGTCAGCGGTTGTACGCCAAATTGCTCGATTAATCGGTCATAGTCGATTGCCTTCACATTTCCTTCCGCATCAACCTCTCCCTGAACATTATAAGGGTCTATCGTCTGGGTCTTGGCTTCACCTATAGCCTTCTCATCTTTAAGAGAAGCCAACACCTTCTCAGCTTCGGCTATTCTCTCATCGAGAGAGGCCATGTTGCTTCTGGACTCGAGTGGTGGTGGGGCGGAGATGCGGGCTTTCGGTCGGTCTGTAGAGCTGGCGACTTTCAGGCGGAGTCAAGCTGTTCAGATGAGCTTGTGTGCGTCTCCTCAGCAAAATCGCGTAGTTACGTCGATCGCGCCTCCGTCGAATCTCGAATTTGGAGTCACTTTCAAGTTTCAATGGCTCATCCCAGCCCACGTTTGACACGAATCGGCGGTCGGCGGCTTTGGCTCCGATCCGATGGCTCGTGGCTCGTGCCGCTGCTTCTCCGCATTTCTGCACTTCAGCTGACCACTGGAACTGGCAAGTCGTCGTGCGATCATCACTCATTATTCCATCACGCGTCCTTGCTGCCATCTCTGCCCACTCTCCCATCGCTACCATCGGAGCAGCATTGTATATGGTGATGGGTTTGCGCATCGCCAAGAGCAGGAGAAGGCGATCGTGACACCAGCAGCACGATCATCAGCATCATGGTCAAATTCTACAGCACAAATTACTCTTACGACTACGGCTTCAGTGCCGTTTCTCTGGCATATTTCTTGCGCTATCCGAATCCTTACTCCCGTCATGTCGCTTCTACGGATACCATAGAGCGGCACTATGATCCGGAGACCCAACGACTTACGACTGTACGATTGCATTTGAAAAGGAGTCGTTTGCCACCAGCGGTGCTGAAGTTGCTCCCAAAAAGCTCGCTTGGTGCAAACGAAGATGGGAGCACGCAGAGTTTCATTTTGGAGAAGAGCGTGGTGGATGTAAGAGAAGGATGGATGCAGACAGATTCGAGGAACTTGGATTGGAACAATGTTTTATCTGTCATTGAGAGGCACACGTACCGTCGGCCAGAGGGCACCACTATCGAGAATGCAGGAGATCAGACTGATGTTGCAGTCAGCGTGACGCTCAAGTCGCGCATTGGAGAGCAGATCAGGAAGCGCAGAGAGCGGTGGGGCCAGCAAGCGAACGCGACTTCAGTCCTGGGTGCTGGTGACGCAGCTGAGGAAGAGCCTGTGAAGCAAGGCTTCATCAGTAGCTGGACAACCGGTGCCGTCCGCTCGGCCATCGAATCTATCAGCTTACAGCGAACCGAGAAGAGCCAGCCCAAAGCGCGACAGGGCATGTCTGTGGTGCTCGATCGATTGCGTGAAGGAGGCGTGCAGGCCGTGCTTGAAGGCATGCGACAGGACCGCGAGCTGGCACTGTAGTAAGACTCGAAAAATTGTAAGAATACTGTTTTAGCGCTGGCGTTGGATGGGTGGCTAGGCATTTGTGATCGTACGTTGTCGACTGCATCTTCGCTTCGAGAAAGTCTGAGTACTACATCGAGAGTGCTTGGAGCAAGAGCAGGTATTATGACAGCGAGTATATATATACATAGCTTGAGATGGCCCTAAGCCTATCAGGATGACCTCTCAACTCGACAATCGTCACTTCGAGGCATGCCTGACCTGCTTCCTTGTTCTATCTCCTGCCATTAGCAGTCTGCAAATAGGCTTCCTAATATCGTGGTCGCAAAAGGAAGAGTCAACAGCATGGTGCAGTTGTAGTTGAAATCAAATCTATATACAAGCTGGGGTCCGCACAATCTATAGTCATAGCTCCAAGCACTGCGCTGCTAGGGTACTTTCCAACCCCCCCCCCCCCCGGTTCACCTTGCTTGTATGCTGTAGTTCCATAAAGCAGCCGCCCTAGGGCCATAGGGAAAGCTCAGCCTGTTCCAGCTCCAAGGCACTGCTCGTTCGCAAGCGCAATATACCTCATCTTCCGCATCATCTACAACGCACTCTCCACCTCTTCCGGCACAGCGGGATCCACCACGACCTTCTCGATGACCTGCAAGGTCGCTCTCAATGGTAGGCCCACAACGTTGTCAAAGGTGCCATCAATCTTCTCGACCAGTATGCTTCCCACGCCCTGGATTCCATAACCCCCTGCCTTGTCCGCTCCTTCCCGCGTTCTGACATATGCCCAAATCAACTCATCTGTCACAGATTGATCGAATTTCACCTGCGTCTCCTCGACATGTGTCTCCATGGCATATCCCGGATCCATCAGGCTTTCAAGCGGAGCCATGGCCACAACTGCAGTGTAGACCTTGTGCCAACCATTATTTTGATCACGAAGCATTTTCAGTACTTCAAAGTGGTGTTTCTCGTTTCGTGGCTTTTCGAGAATCTGGCCATAATGAGAGGCGACTACCGTATCTGCAGCGAGGACCAAAGTCGGCTCGCCCCTTGACGTATCGTCGATAGTCTTGGTATAAACATCCCGACATTTCTGTTCGGCTGTGTCGAGGACGTATTGAAAGGGAGGCAAAGATTTATCTTTATCTTCTGGCAATGTAGAAGGTACGATTTCGAGGTTCGCAAGGCCGATCTAGTTATGGCGGCTTAGAACCGCTCAGTTTACTTGTCTACACGGGCGCGGCTTGGGACATTCGAGCTTACCTGTGCGAGCAGCTGTCTTCTTCTTGGTGAAGCCGATGCAAGGATTACTCGTCTGCCTCTGATCATATTCAAGGCGGGCAAGTCCAATGGCAATGGAGGTCTTGGACCGGGCTGCCGTTGCGGCGTGATGGGCCGCTTGCCGCCATCGTAGGCTGGAGGGGGCTCAAGAGGAGTTTTCTCGTCGGCCATGATCGTGTCGGGGCCGGATGTGGTTATCTCTGAGGCTCAACACGACGGAACATTGAACGTGGCGGCCACACCCGCACTGCTCGGGTTGACTCTTCGGCAGACGGCACGGATCTTGCACTCGTACTGCTGCTGTATACAGGGTGTCTTATGCATGCGACAAGCGGCTTCCTTTCCGCAACGATGACGCTTTCGCAGTGCGTACCGCCTTCGGTCATGCTCCACATACGAAGACGATCTCTGCCTCGGTAGACATTCTCAAAGAGTGCCAGTACCTGTTGCCCGGAGATGTAGCTCCTTCAAGCACCCTCACCGCTGCGGGCCCTGCTTCTGCTCTGCACAAAAACAACACAACATCGCCGTGGCGAGGGCTCACGCGAGCATGGCGACCGACGTGGTTACTCCCTGCTCGCTTGCCTGCCCGTCTCTGGTTGATTTGGATTCAGTATGCCACAATACCCGAGGAACCCGACTCTGCTCCGATGGAAGCTTCTGTCGCGGTGGACACACCGCACGCACGGCAGTGAGTTCCTTGTAGATGAAGGGTTAGTAAGCCGCTCCGAATGATCACATATTAGCACTGAACATAAGACGAGAGCGCCTGTCTGCTATTGACTATCCATTCTGTTCCTCCCGACCCGAATACCTTCCCAGCTACCCTCCCACCACCACAATGGTCCAGAACAAAGCCCTCATATTTGCCGACTACCCAGAAGGCTGGCCAGAGGCTGGCAAGCACCTCACGATTGAGGACCGCGGATTCGACCTCGAGCAACAGCCTCCGTCAGGCGGTATCACTGTTAAGGTCCACTATGTCTCCTTTGACCCATACCAGCGTGGTCGCATGCGAAGACCAGAGATCAAGAGTTATATACCATCATTCGAGAAGGGCACACCGGTCACGAACTCAGGCATTGTGTCAGTAATCAAGAGCGACAACGACAAGTTCAAGCCTGGACAAGTGCTATACGCTCCTTTCGCGTACACAGAAGAGTACAGCGCGATAGACAAGGATAGCGCGAACAGCTTCCATGTCCTTGACAACCCATACAACCTTGACCCAAAGCTCTTTGTCGGTGCTCTGGGCATGCCGGGGCTCACAGCTTACTCCTCCTTCTACGAAATTGGTCAACCAAAGAAGGGCGAGACGATCTTCATCTCATCAGCATCGGGAGCTGTAGGTCAAATCGTCGGTCAACTCGCCAAGCACGAAGGTCTGAAGGTCATCGGCTCAGTTGGTGACGACAAGAAACTCGAATTCATCACCTCCGAGCTCAACTTTGACGGAGGTTTCAACTACAAGAAGGAGAAGCCTGATGTCGCACTCCAGCGTCTCGCACCGAACGGCATCGACATCTACTACGAAAACGTTGGTGGCGAGCAACTCGAGGCCGCAATTACGCACATGAACACATGGGGACGAATCGTCGCCTGCGGTATGATCAGCCAGTACAACCTCAAGCCAGAGGAGGCATACGGCGTCAAGAACTTGATCCATGTCGTTGCGAAGAGAATCACGATGCGGGGATTCATCGTCATGGACGAGAACATGGGACCAAAGTATGCTCAGGATCACCAGAAGAACGTGCAGAAGTGGATTCACGATGGTACATTCAAGGCCAAGATGCACGTCACCGAGGGCATCGACAACGCTGCAGAGGGATTGCTCGGCATGCTGGAAGGAAAGAATTTTGGCAAGGCTGTTTTGGAAGTCTCGAAGATCGAGCAATAAGTTCTGCTACTTACAGTAGCGTTCTGCGGAGATGACTAGCCTAATGCGTTCCCTTGACGATGTTGAGATGTACAGCATAGCATCGAAGTTGCGAAGATACTAGTATTGTCAAATCCCAGAAATACCAAGAGATTTGACGATGATTGGTTCAGCAGTAAGTGCTGCTTTGACTCATGTTCATGGCGACTTTTCCGAGATCCGTCTTCAACAACTGCCGATTTGACTCTTACAGCTCTACGGATAAGCTTCATCTATGGCACAAGCTCAGCGATGATCTCAAATGCCTGAGCTCCTACAAGGCGGACCGGAAGGGCTCAACGTCATAGTTCGCGAAAACGTGTAAAATCGTGATATATCCCAAGCGATCATCGCGATTGGCAAACGCTCGACTTTAAGCGTCGAACGACATAAGCCTATATCCCATTGCTGTTCCCACTCAACCAGCATCCTCTAGACGACAATCATGTCTCAACCCAATAATCACCCCAACCACAACCCTCCTCTCAAAATCCTCATAATCGGAGCAGGCCTAGGCGGACTCGCCTGCTCCATCTCTCTCCTTCGCCACCATCCCAAAAACATCCAAATCACAATTCTCGAAAAATCCTCTGTCCTCTCTGAAATCGGCGCAGGAATCCAATTACCCCCCAACGCGACCAAAGTCATGTCGGATTTCTGTCTCCTCCCCAAACTCTTCGCTGCAGGGATGGTGAGCAGAAAGAATTATAAGATTCTTCGGTGGCAGGACGGATCGGAGATTGCGAAAAGTTATGGAGAAGAATGGAACGTGAGGATGTTTGGGAATGATGGACATGTTATGCATAGGGCTGATTATCAGAGGGTGTTGGTTGAGGAGACGAGACGACTAGGGACGAAGATTGAGTTGGGGTGTGAGGTTGTTGATGTGAAATGTGACTATCCACCGGAAGTTGTGTTGAGTGATGGGAGGAGAATGGGGGCGGATGTTGTAGTTGGTGCTGATGGGTTGAGGAGTCAGGTTAGGAGTGCGGTGTTGGGCTATGTGAAGGAGCCGGAGGAGAGTGGCGATTTGGCGTATAGGATTACGATTCCGAGGGAGAATTTGGTGAATGATCCGGATCATTTTATAAGGGACATTGTTGGGAAGGGGGTGACTGCGATATGGTGAGTGAACTAATAATGGGAAGGAGGGGGGTTAGGCAGGCCATATGGGTTTCCATCGAGAGCATTGGCCTGATTGAGTTCCTTATGGATCATAGTGCTGATTTCTCGTAGGTGGGGACCAAACCGGCATGCGGTGCTCTATTCAATACGGAATCACGAAATGGCGAACCTAGTACTGATATGTCCCGATGACCTTCCATATGAGGTGTCGAGGCACGATGGGGACGTGGAGCAGATGCATAAGCTCTTCGAGGGGTGGGATCCGAGATTAAAAGCTCTGCTAAACAAAGTTGATCACGCTCTCAAGTGGAAGATCTGGGGTATGGAAGAACTGGATACTTGGGTGAATGGTAGCACAGCATTGCTAGGAGATGCCTGCCATCCCATGGTTGGTGCTTCTGAATTGCTCTGGATACTAACGCAGCTGATTTAAATACAGGTACCATACGCGGCCATGGGTGCAGCGATGGCAGTCGAGGATGGCGCCGTCCTAGGTAGACTGATCGTGTCGTTCGCTCAGTCCGGTCACGATCGGAATTCGCTCCCAGAATTGATGCAGTTGTACCAAGATGTCCGGAAACAGAGAACAGCTGCAGTCGTGGGCACCGCGAATGAAAATCGAACCTTGTATCATATGGAGGACGGACCGCAGCAGGAGGAGCGAGATCGAGCCTTCGACGAGCTGGACAGGACTGACGAGAACGCAAGATTCCCGTGGAAATTTGGCGATCTGAAACACTGCAAGAAGCTATTTGGGTTCGATGCATTGAGCAGTGCCGATGAAGCATGGGCGCGTAGCAGATTTTCGCAGACCGTAAACGGCATATCATAGCGACGATGGCCATGCGTTAAGCCAATCGTGAGCCTTCTCATGGCAGCTTCTTCTCGGGCACTGGACTCCAAGCCCAGGCGATCAGTTCAAGATGTTGATCAGAGACGTCCTTGTCGTCAGTCCACAGCTCACTGAGCTTCCAGTCGTCTTGACTGTTCTCTTTGCCGCTCGGTACCAGCTTATCCAGTTGCTGATATCGCTTTCTCTCCCAGTCTGCCTCCATCGGCTTCATGTCATCGACAAGCACATGTCCCAGCTTCTTGCCCTTGGCCAACTCTGCATATACCTTCGCAAATTGCTTTGCGAGATCACCGACTTTCTTGCTTTTCTGGATACGCTCCTGGTACTTCTCTACCGTCTTCTTTGTAAGAAGCGGTTTGAAGCCACCAGCTCTCATCGCGTCTTTCCCTGCCGGATATGTTGTGTCCAGCCACTCTCTGAAGACTTCCATCGCCGCTCGCATATCAGCCGTGCTGGCACTGCCTTCGACTGCTTTCTTCATAGCAGGGTGGTGCTTGGCGCGATTATACATGGTATTCACGGTTGCCCATTGGTAGATGAGCGATCGTTCCTTGATGAGATCTAATGTACGCTCCGCAGCCTCCTTATCTTTGAAACCTGTGCCATGTATGGTGGTCGACGGATTGTCGTCGGTGTAGAGATGGCTGTCCTTGGTGTTCTTGGGTTTGATAGGATCCTTTCGGGCTGTCTTCTCTCGTGTCTTGGCTGGTGCTTTCGGCATATTGGCGGATGTTGCTGTGAGTTGGGCTAGATCTGATCTGTGAGCACGCGTGAAGAAAGTGTGCCTCCTACCCAACATATGCTATTGCTTAGTCAAGATGCCATTGTCAGGAGGAACGAAACGGCTCAATCTTGTGTTCTTTGTTGATCCATGACGTCTGCTAGTTCTACAACGTCCGTGTGCGGTCTGAGCCCAAGCGTGAGACTGAGGCCAGTGAGGGCTCCTGCACCAGTGTACCCCAAGCATACGTAGAAGGATGGCGAAGACGTCGGTATACCAACGGAGGTGGGATCACGCGTCCCGGATGCCGAGCGCGCTTGGCTGCAAGGAGCGTGGGAGCAGACGAAGGTGGGAGGAAGTTTTCCTCACCACAGCCATCCACTGGTCGGGATAACGTACCTGCGTACCATGGGGTCACCGTTATCATCCACAGTTAGACCGAAGTAGGGAAAAATTGGTATGTATGCCTCTGGACGTCCTGCAACGTTGTGCTTTTCTTGGTATATATATATCCACGATGGAGTCTTGGAGCAGGACTTTCTATTGTTTCACGGGTCTGCTTGTGTTCGTAACGACTGTCACATTTCTGCTGATTCCGCAAAACTATCAGGAACAGTCGATTGGCTATCACACATCAGGTCACACGACCTTCACAGCACCAAAGCAGAATGTCTGGGCAGAATTATCTGAGGATGAAGCGAAAGATGTGTATGGATTTGCCTACCAGAAATTGCCGCATCTACAGCTGGTGAAACATCCAAAGAGTGCCTACGAGAACTCTATATACACCGTCGAAGCTCTAAAGCCGAACAAGACTGATGCCATTCCATACCTCTATGAGGATGCCGTGACTCCCGAGCGATGGGCCAAAATGGTCCTCGCGCAGAACATCGATGGCGAGCCTTATCTCGTCTACTATGCCGTCGGCCCTCTGCCCATCACAAAGAGCTCACAAATCTTGCCTCTGGAATACACTTTCAATTCGGGACGCAACAGTGTCAGAAGCCCGATTCGAGACTATGTCGGCATCATTCAGTTCGGGAATGGGCTGGGCAAGAGCATCTCAGACATCACTGAAGATCTGCTCGGGGCATCAGTCACGACAGAAGATGATCCAAAGGGCCTGCTCTGTCTTCCGAGACCCTCTAGACAGAGCACTGATGGGCTTGTTATTTGGTTTCAATTCTTCAGACCAGGATGGGGCTCTGGTGGACGGACTCTACTACCACAAGGCGTTTATGTGAAAGTAGATGCGTCCAGTCCAAATCAAACAGACTGGAAAGTTGGTGCAATCTTCTACAACGGCGTGATTTATAATGAAATCGAGCATTTGCGAGCTGCCATTACACAGCCAAACTTCAAGCGCGCGCCTGCCAATTTCGATGGCAAATGGACAGAAACTGAAGACTTCGACTCAGCTCCTTTAGGACGAGACTTGCCACCACCAGTGAGTGTCCAGCCGTATGGTTCACGATATCGACTGGATCGAAAAGAGAAGTTTGTGTCTTGGTTCGGATTCGAGTTCTACATCACTACAGCTCAGGCGACTGGGATCTCGTTGTTCGACATTCGGTTCAAAGGAGACCGTGTGATCTATGAGCTGGGTCTGCAAGAGGCCATGGCTCATTACGCTGGGGACGATCCGATGGCAGGCGGGCAAGAATTTCTGGACACATTCTTCGGGATGGGCAAGAATATGTTCGAGCTTTTACCAGGCTATGATTGTCCAGCTTATGCAGACTACCTTGTGAGTTCATTTCCACACGAATGCACTGACTTTACTGACTTTTACCAGGATACGCAATACCATATGGCTCATGACGTCCATGAGCTTCCGAACAGCATTTGCATTTTCGAGTTCACAGCCGATTCTTTACTTTCGAGACATACTGCACAGTACTCTGTCACTGCCTCCAGGAACACGTATTTGGTCGTGCGGAGCACCTCTACGGTTGGCAACTACGACTATGCCATTGACTACATCTTCTACATGGACGGCACAGTCGAAGTCAAGGTCCGAGCTAGTGGATTCATCTTCGCTGCGTTCTATCGTGCGAATAAGACGAATGTGGACTCCGAAGACGAATACGGTCACCGCATTCACGATGCCCTCTCATCAAGTGTTCACGACCATGTCATCAACTTTAAGGCAGATTTGGATGTCGCTGGTCCTGCCAATGACATGGTTCGTCTCGCTCTCGAGCCGATCACAAAGTCATACAGCTGGGATTTACCAGAGGTCAAGACACGCAACACGATGCATCTGGTCGAATATGTCGTTGACGAAGAAGTTGGTCTCGACTGGCCAAAGAATGCTGGAGAGTTTTACCTCGTCTACAACAGTGAAGAGAAGAATGCCTGGGGCGAGCGAAAGGGTTACCGCATCACATCTGGCACTGGAATGGGAACGACGCCGCATCTGACCATTCTGAACTCTACTCAGCTTGGCGATAGCGCAAGATGGGCCGAGCACGACGTTTGGGTGCTCAGGCAGAAGGACACAGAGCCAAGATCAGCCGATCCTCTGAACTACCTCGAGCCCATCGAGCCCATTATCAACTTCAACAAAATGGCCGACCATGAGAGTCTCAAACGTGGCGACGACTACAGTGGCGATCTTGTCCTGTACTTCAACCTTGGAGCCCACCACATTCCTCACAGTGGAGACGTGCCAAACACTTTGATGCACACCAGCGCAAGCAGCGTCATGTTCGTACCACACAATTTCCACGATCGTGATCCGAGTCGCGAGAGTGTTCAAGGCGTTAGATTGCAGCTCAAGGGTGAGAATAGCGGTGGGTTTGCTGGTCAGCTGGTAGTCGAGCCGCACACAGATCTTCGCGCTCGCATGGATCTCCGATCGACGAAGAAAGAGCCGCATGCCAAGTACTTTGGAAGGACGTACGAGCGAGAGATGAAAGTACCTCTAGAAGCCTTTGAGCCTGAGCTGAAGAACTACAAGACCACTGCCCATCAAGTCACTCATTTGACGTTCAACAATAGCGCTGCTGGTGTTTGGGTCGAGGGATAGAGTCAAGCTGTGGTGAATTATACGACAGGATACGATACAATGATTACTGATGACATCTAGACGTACATGGGAGGGGGCATGGCGATTGGAATGATAGACCTGAGATGAGCTTTTGATTTATATAGACAATCGTGCTGATGGTAGATACCAGGTAGATATTAGATTGCTACGAGACGACCTTGCTTGATATTTGAATAGAAAGGACCGGAAATCCTCTACAAGAAGCTCAGGCACCACTATTTTCATTCTTTTGTGAAGGTCGCCGTCGAAGAAGCAAAAAGAATGCCGCCTCCCTGATTCGAACAGGGGTTTCTTCAGATTGTATGCCACAATGAAACGTGCTAACCACTGCACTAAGGCGGCTGATTCTGGTGATGAAGAGACGGCGATAATGAATGAGTTATCAAGACTCATCTCTTGCGATGTGTCCTGCCGAAGTGATGCGTCACATGCAAACGGCGTCCCGACAGAAGAACGGCAAGTTGCACCTTCCCGCACACCGCTAGGCACTTCAATCCAGGCATATTCCATCTCGTAAATCATATTGCCATGCTAACATATGACCCTCACAAGTGCGGCACCTTCGCACTCGCCAATCCAAGATTGACAATACTCATCAGTCCCTCTCCCAGAATGAGTCCACTAGCAAGCACAATCATAGGAGTTTCCTCCCTCTTCTTCCAAACAGTCCAATACCAAGCCATCAACCCACCAACCGTCCTCGCGAGGGTAAAGGACGGCGTGTTATACATACCCACCGCCACTGCAATTCCTCCAGGAATATAAGGCACCCATTTCGCCTTCTTACTCTGTCCATAAATTCTCACAGCAGTAAGCACAGCCCAAATAGCAGCGGCGGCAGCCGCGAATTCCGCAGTCTTGGGAGGGAGACCTTGACCTGTGACGAGCCGAGCTGTGAAGACCCATACGAAGGCTGTGGGGACTTGGAAGAGACCGCCTGGAATTTGGTAGACGTTTGTGTACAGTCTGTAGACACAGGCGGATACGATAGCTCCTACGCCCGAGCCGATGAGCTGGCCCCAGAATTGTGCTTTGGGGCTTGCGCCGAGTAAGTGACCGCATTTGAGGTCTTGGAGTAAGTCTCCGGCTTGTAGAGCGCCGGCTTCGCTTATGCCTCCGGCGATGAGGTTGATGGTCACGGCATTCTTGCTGCCGGCGGGTACGACTGCGGCGAAAACGAGCTGAGTGAGCTTGCTGATTCCAGAGACAGGGTTCAGGTCGGTTTCTCCTAGGGCACGAACGGCCATTATACTGAGTACGAGTGCTAGTAGAAGTGCCAGAACAGTCAAATTGATGCTTATAATCCCCGCAAATGTGTATTGGGTCGCGAAGATGCACAAACCTAATGTCAGGACCAGACCTATCAGGGTTGTCTTTACGCCGATTTGATGTTCCGGCGGTGCATCATATTCCTGCTCTTCGAATGCTTCCCGCGATTTGGTCCCGACTGGATCGTCTTCTAGATTCACAGGACTGTAGCCGCGCATGGTCGGATGAGCGAGGTCACGAAGACAACGCTGAAGACCTTTCTCACGCAAGCCTTTGATGAGGTCGGGCCCATAGGCACGAGAATACCATATAGTGGGGCGAAGGACGAGCCAGCCGAGCGACACTATCGCATCTGCAAGCATGATAGCCAAGCTCACCCACACGATCCAGCCTTTCGATCCAGTGTTCCAATCATCTACAGGGCCAGACGCCCAGCCTTTGTATTTGGCAAGAGGCGACAGCACTGCCCAACCTAACAGGGCACCAAGCAGCATATGTATTGTCGTCGCGGGTCCCATTATGATGCCTTGTCCAACGTATGCAGGACTGGGATTCAGGTTCCACACCCACTTCCTAGACATGGGTAGACCAAGCAATGGAATCGAGTGTAGCTGGGGAATGAAATAGGAGATGAGTGTCTACTCACCGTAATCAGCGAGTGCTTGACTTATCCGGAAGAGAGCATCGCTGAAAGAGATGAGACATCCGACTTACATATGCCCCTGATATGCCAAAGGATGTGGTCAAGAGCCGAATTTGCTTGATCCAATCCTTCTTCAACTTAGTGCTGTCGCGCCGTCGAAGTGGCTCACCGTCCTCATCATATTGTCCAGATGTAGAAGCGGCATTGCCCATGAGGGCTGCACTCTCTCCATCATCTCCACCAGTCGTTCTCTTTGATCTTTTTCTCTGACGAAGAGCATGCTGCTCGATGTCGCCTTCCGCACCAGTCTTCTCTCCGCCGTGCAAAACCCCTATCATTAGGGCAGTCGCTGTACCTGAGGGAAACTTGAGTTTCTCGCGTATAATGACCTCTTTGCGGAGTGGTACAGCAAAGACGACTCCGAAGAAGCAGAGTCCAAGAGCCCACAGGATCAGCTTCTCCAGAGGCAGACGGATGCCCGTCATCTCTCTCGGTGGGTCTGGCACAGTCAACGCGAACTGCTCTTCTTGCGGAGTCTCGGATGGCTTGAGCAAGAATTCTAGCGCAGGCACAACGCCGACAAAACCGCAACCCAGCGGCATCGTTCCGACCGAGCCGGCTACAGTCTGGACCAACACATTCTCTACTTCGCTAAAGCCTTGGCCAAGTCCCATACGCTCAAAGGCGCCTCCAAGCGATCGCGACAATGTTCGCAGGCCCTTGAAGTATGCGAAGCCAATGAGTGCGCTCGGCATGGCCATACCAGATATCCAACCCGTCTGTAGGCCAAAGTATGTGTTGGAGAAAGCAATCAGGATGCCGATAATTGAACCAACAAGCAGAGACCGTATTGTAAACTGCGGCTGCTCGCTCATCTTCTCGAGGAACTCTGGGTCTGGCTCGTGGCCGATGGGCTCTTGAGCAATGCTGCGACTCGTTTCGTAGTGGAGCGCCTGGTGCTCGTCGTGGTCCAGCATTCTGTCCGCCTCTGTGGTCTCGCCAAGAGACCGTCCCCTATCAGGCGCCATCGTATAATCCTCCTCTTCCTCCTTTCTCAAGCAACGCAGCGAGAGATGCTGGTGAGACAAGAAGGAGGCATCACGAGGCAAGATGTTTTGGCCGTGAGCTTCGCTTCGCTTCGGTAAGCAGGTCTGCGCCGTAACTGTGGAGCCGCTAGAATAAAGCTTATCACCCTCGCCTATTCTATCAACCTTGAGATTTTGTTGCAGCACCACTACGACTCGACGACCAACCACAATTGGTGCTTCGATCCGCCTGGCATGCCAGACCTTCCTCATGGCTGGCGCATGCGGAACAGAGATGGTGAGATAGTCGGTCCGCCCATCGAAGAAGACGGCCAATACTTCTCTGGTGACGAAAGTGGAGATGACGATGGGAATCGCTCTGTCGACATAAACGGCCTCGACATCAAGCCCGATTCAGAAGGCTGGGATGATGTGGAAGAGGACACGGAAGATGTGAGCATTAAGTGCTTGCTCTGCGCGGAGACATTCCCGGGTGCGAAGGTCATGATCGAGCACTGCAGGAAGGCACACGATTTCGATTTTGTGCAGATCCAGACTGAGCACAGTAAGTAAAGCAGAATTTGCAGTCCTACAGGCGAATGTAGGTGGAAATTCCATTACTGACACTGTACAGATCTAGACTTCTACTCTAGCATCAAACTGGTCAACTACATTCGTTCAGAAGTGCTAGGCGGCAGGCAGAAGCCTGATGTGTCCAATGCATCTTCTTGGGCCGATGACAAGTATCTACAACCTGCTCTGGAGGACGATGCTCTGCTATTCACCCTAGACGACATAGATGAAAGACCAGTGCCAGAAGCTGATGCTACGGAGGAAGGAGCCGCACAGCAATAGGCCAGACAGCATCATGACGATAACACTCTCAACCCCAAAGACAAAGCGGCACTCAATCAGGACACGTCTGGCTCACTGGAAACTCCGGACCCTGCGCCATATGCTCATACGCATACTGATAGTATCCAGCATTCGGGCTAGCAGCTCCTTAGTACATTCCATCATGCGACTTCTCTGGCACGGCTGGAGCTCCCGCCATAGCTACCTGCCCTCGCTTCGCCTTCTGCAACTGCTTCCACAAGATTCCACATCCGACTAGCACGACTACAAGCAGAACTCCCAAAGGCACAGCACTTCCGGCAGCAATTGCAGTGATATTGCTAGAAGCTGTGGCTGTCATTGTGACAACCGTTGCTACATGCGTTGTGTTATTCCAGGTCTCTGGAAGCCGAGCACCGGTCGCGCGATCGTAAATGACAGTCTCAACAGAAAGTTGAAAAGGATCGGTGAAATCCTCAGTCGAAGTCGTCCAAGAATTCGAGGTCACGTTGTAGGCAGTCCTGCAGCAGAAGTTTCCATGAGGCTCAGCATCACAGGCTAAGTAGATCAATATCGGCACATTCGGAGCAACTGCGAAATCACAAGTCAGCATTCAATCAAGTGCACATATGTGGAAGAAAAATCTTATCAAACTCGCCATCTTTGCACTACTGCGGACGCGCTTAACTGTCAATCGTCTTGTCCATACACGCTCCTCTGATAATCCGATTCGGAGCTGGAGGTGCCTATTCTCCGATTGCTTTATCTGGAGCTAGAATCAATCCACTTGAACTGCTACTGTTGAAATTCTCCTTTGCGTTGGTTATATCAGAACTCGTCAAGTGGAGAAATTGCTCAAAGAACTTCGCCCTCTCGAACGACGCCCGTCACAGCAGCGAGGGTCCTCTAAGGAATGCACCCGCCAACTCCCACAAACACGACCAGCAATTCCACTCACTTCCCTCAGTGCCACCTCGATATAAACATTAGAATGTGTGCAAGTGATACTTCCAATCCAGGCCCCAGCCACAGCAATAAGGTCATGTTCAGACTTGGTTGCCGTGAAGTCGAAGCGTCCCTGGCTGCCCGGGTGGTCATTGTGAGGATAATGAGGATCCTGGTTGACGCTATCTAAGGAGACATCGCCTGTCCTGTGGTTCTGGTCGTCAAGGAAGAATATGAGATTACCTTTGGTATCGTCTTCCGTATATCTATATGTGGCTGAGACGCCCACGCTGTATTTTGTTCCAGGTGTGAGGTTGGTGATATGCTGAGTGACTGGTGCGGTTGGCAGGGAACCTGAGGTGGTCATGTCGCCTCTGTGTTCATAGCTGGATGGGTTGGCATTCTGGTCTGCTATTCCAATTTTTTCCTTCCTGCGTATCGTGGGATTGTGTGAATGAATCTCGTATTCGCCAGCAGGGAAGAACGCCGCCGTTTATGTGGCAAGCATTGCAGCTCTGGCAGCTTGGACACGCTACAAGCAGCCACAACGTGTAGTTGCAAGCTGAACACGATCCAGGTCCCGCGGGCTTACCAATGTCCAAGGTTTATGTGTACGGGCATGCAACTGCGACACTGAAGTACCAATTATAGTACAGCAGACATCGAGTGAATGTTGCCTCAAGTCATTGCAACTGTATCCAGGACTTAGGGCGCAAGGCCTTCGAAGCAGACGACTTCATACCATGGTGCTGAGCATAGCTTCTCTGGCGCAGAATGTCCAAACTAGTGGACGCTGGAAGCCATTGCCTCGAAGTCCAAGAACACAAAAAAGTGAGAATCCGCAGTCGAGGGATACGTTCATCAAAAGCGATGTCCGTGCACGCCAAGCAACTCAGCCAGATGCGAGGTTCCTCCCCTCCTTCATTGCCTGGTCGACATCAAACACAACTTGAGAGGTCTTAAGGGCCTTGTTCTGGGCATTGCTCAGCTTCAATCATCTGGATTTGACAGTGGGGGTTGGCCTCTCAACCTCATATTCACGAAAGTGGCACAGGCTAGGTCCAACTTCCAGAAAGTTCTCAATGTCTCGCCAGATCGCGTACATAATCCTGACAATCATCATCGCCATTGTTGCGATACTACTCGCTTCACAGTCCATGTTGATTGACAGCCTTCTCATGCACCGCTTCGTGCCTTCGACCGCGCGAGCATACCTCCAGAACGCAAAACAAGCGAGACGCGCATTTACGCCTTACCCATCAAGTTCGGCCACGTTTAGAACGGCGGCGATAAATATGGCTTCCTCAAAGCTCGAAGACGCCGCAAAGCGTGCCTCGGACATCACTATCGACCCTGAAGATCCCACGAAAGACAGCAATGCCCAGCCACTACCTCTCCCGCCTCCACCAACAGAAGACGAAGCACGAAAGCTGGATATATCAAGCGGCGAAGCGAGCGTGAAAATGGATCATCTTGGTCCGCTGGTAGTCAATAAGGATGGCACATTGTCAAGGATAGGCAATTGGGAGCAGATGACGGAGCTTGAAAAGAAGAATACGTTGAGGATATTGGGCAAGCGGAATCAGCTACGGACTGAGGCATTAAAGGCTGGAGAGGGCGAGCAAGGGGCGGAAGGGAGCTGAGAACCTACCCTTACACTGGACTGTCGCGAATGACATCATGTATCAACAGCATGTTGCCCTCCGCAGGTGACAATGCAAGAAACAATTCTTAAAGACTGGAGTTCATTGCTAGGAACGCAATGCGTCGTGTTCACTTCAGGCATTACTACTACTACTGTGGGATTGATCTCAAGGATGCACGTCACTTCGGCACGACCTCTCGCGTCGCGAATATACCAAATATCACGGCCAGCATCGCCAGTGTGTTTCACCTGCAGAAAGGTCGGTCCTCTGCTAGCAGCACTCATGACCTCTCCAAGCGTCTTGAAGCATGCTAACGAAGAGATAGAGACCATCTTGCCGACCTTGGCATAAAATCCAGCACACCCACAGTACCCACTCTCAGGACCATCAAGCTCGGCACTATCTTTTGCACCGTCGAAGCTTGAACATTATCTTATCCATCTCGGATCAGCTGTCGTATTGTTCTCCAACATCAATAGAAGTGATGCAGCCACTCTCGGAGTGCGCCAGCATGTCGAGCACTGTGTCGATCAAGGCCTACATTTCTCAGCGCAGCCACTTCCTTTAGTCGCCAGGAAGCACATCCATCTGCGGGACCTATTCGTCATGACCCACGCTATGCAAAGCATTAGTTCTCCAATGGTATGGCGACTTTGCGATGGTGGAACCTACTGCTTTACATTTCCTCACTCTCTTCTGTATTCTAAACAAGATCTGCACTTTCCTGTCATTTCTCATACACCATGAGGTCTCTCGATCTTGGAACACTTCTTTGTGCCGTTGCATACTTAGCTTTTGGTTCTGCTAACAATGTACCGACCGCGAAGACAGAAGGCGTGACGTATCATGGCCTCCACAGGAACCAGATCGAAGCTTTCTTGGGGATTCAATACGCTGAAAATACTGGCGGTGAGAACAGATTCAGATCTCCAATCCCTTACAAGCACTCGAATGGATCCATTGTTAAAGCTGCGAAGCCTGGATCAGCATGTCCTCAGGACGAAGGGTTGACGCTAATACCACTATACCTGGGTAACTACACAGACATCTCCGAGGACTGTCTTCGTTTGAATGTCTTCAGACCAAATGGTACTAATGAAGGCGACAGGTTGTCGGTCATGGTGTACATCCATGGCGGATCGTTCTATGGTGCATCGAAGGATGATCCGAATTCGCAACCAGCTGGACTCATTCTCAATTCTGTGGCGAATGGGCATCCTGTCATCCAAGTCCAGCTGAATTCTAGACTCGGTGTGTTTGGATTTGCAAAGTCAGAGGCTCTGAGAAAGAATGCTTTGACCAAGTTGCAGCCAGCAGGAACTTTGATTCGATATTGTTGATCTGAAGCTCAATATTCAAGCTTTCGTGAGACTTTCTGATCGGATCCATAAAGAACAACTAGAAAGAGTTCATGACGACCTGCTTAAAAGCTGATTAGCAGTTCCTGAGAGAACTATCAAACAAACGAAGGTTGAATGTCCGACCAACGAAGCCTATACCTGCGCCGCGCTGTTGATGACATGCGAGTCCCAGTAATCCTGCCATATTTACACCCATCGTATGCCGTGCTCTAGACGCCTTGGTATGCACAAGAATGCTTGAAGTATTCCATATCCTTCCCAAGTCGCAGCAACCCTTTAGTCCCAAGCATTCTCCTGACTATCCCTTACACATTTCCTCACTCTCTTCTTGAACTCTTTCTGGTTTTCTCTCCACAGCTTCCCTGCCTCAATATTTGCCGGGCTTTCGTCGTTCGGACTACTGAGCATGCTGATGACAGAGAGCAGTATCGTTTCGGGAGTTTGTACAGGTGACCATCGCTCTGCTGCTGACTCGTAGCCATACTGGTCTTCTTCGGGAGGATGAAGAATCGAGATGCAGACTTCGCCATTCTCGTAGACATTGGGATGGAAGATCTTCGTTTCGAATTTGAGCTTTGGAGGTTGATGTGGGTAGTCGGGTGGGAAAGTCATTCGAGCGCGAAATACACCACCTAGTAATGAAGGGTTCTATTAGTCGGATTCGTGTAGCCTCTTTTGAATTCTGTTGTCTGAACACTTGTTTCTGCAACTTTCGTCCTGTGCAAACCAGCTCTTTTCCAATATCTCTCTGGGGCCTCTGATGTCCGCATGATAGCATACGTTCATACTCACCTCCGTACATCGTATCCCCCTCGTCACTCAGCATGAGCATGATCTCCCACTCAAAGATGTTGTCTCCAAGAAGTCCACAACTTATTCCAGGTATGTCCTTGTCATTTTGCATCTGCTTCAACTGCTTGCGAAGGAGGAGTGCCGAGCTAGACGACCCTCCAGGTGAGGCAGTATTACTCCTCGAGGCCATGCTGGTGGCGGGGTCGCGCAACCAGTCTGAGTTGAGGATTCAGGGGATCTCGATTTGGCTGTGTGATTCTGAAGTGGTATAATCTATGCGTGGCCTTGTGGTACCGGTTCGCTTGGTGCTAGAGAGATCTTCGCGAGTTTAGACTCGATCAATGCTATGTGTTGGCAGGATCCTGCCGTGCAAGAGTGGCTGACTCGATGCGGATAGAACTACTGTACTTGAGCGGGATCCTTAACTCTGGGTGCTATCTGTCAGTTCCAAAGCCCAATGATGTTGAAGCAATGTGACGCCTTTGTGGGAGAAAGAGTGAAGGAGCACACTGGCAATGGAAGTCACGTACTGGGTGGAGATTCCGAAGCTCAAGCGTACCGCGATCCCGATGCCTAGGGAGGCCCATATATACCAGATTGTCAATGGAGGTTCTTACCGCCTCCTCTACTAACCTACCTCTACGACCAACTTTCTATATTTGCCCTCGTACTATACTCGCTATTGACTCGTAAAATGCCTTTACGTATCGATCTCTCGCTATAGAGGGCTTAGATAACCTTATAAGTTAATAGCGGTACTATATAAGGCGAAATCCTATAGCACCTTATATAAGAGACTAGTTACTAGATAGCTCTTTCTACGCTTTATCGGAGGCTTAAGGAATAGGGAGTTAATTATAGCTATTACGCTTACTATAACCGAGTTAATAATATCGAGGCACTAAAGATCCGAGTCGTATATACCTTCTCCGCTTTACGCTTAACTAATAAAGAAGCGGTTAAAGTACTAAAGATAGATGGATTTAATATTAGCTAGCGGAGATATTAACGGATACGTTAAGAGCTTAGATTAAAGAAGGTATTATCGCGAGATAGATAGATAGAAGCGGAAGAGGAGATAGTAGAGGTCTTATAGGAAGAGCTCGAGAAGTCTACGGTAGAGTCCTTCGGCCGACGGTACCTATATACCTATATTAGGTCTAAATACAATATTATTAGCAGAGATCGGCTATATCGTATAGCTTGCTTACTAAATCCTAAAGGGTTGCAAGTCCGCCGTAAGCGGGCGCGAGAGTACTATAGAGCGATTATTATACTAGGCCCTAGCTACGTAATATTAATAGATACTTACTATAAATTCGAGCATTAGGGGATATAGATCTACGTAGCTATTAATGTCTACTCGCGTTATATTATCTAGGTCTATATAGGGATTACTAGCCGCATAGCTATATCTATACTCGCTTAATATATTGCAACGATTAAGAATAGTAGTATAATGCTATAGATTATCCGATTAGACCGTAGGGCGGAAACGATTCTAGCCGCGGACGCTTACTATACGACTCGCCTTACGACTCGCCTTACGACTTATAGTAACCCGGATCCGGAACTAGAACTAGAACTACTAGCTTTCGAAGACTGCTTTAAATACGGTACGAGCAAGATAAACTAGCGGATCGAGGTATAGTAGCGCTAGCAAGCACCTGCATTAAATAGCTAGAGGGGCTATTTTTACGAGTTACTACGCGAGTTGCTATACGATACTAAATTGCTAGCCGATCGGATTGCCTTCCTTATAGTCTATATGCCAATTATACACTATAAAGTCCTCGAATTTGTTTACCTCTAGAATAGCTATCGGATTAGGAAGTAGGCTAATCGACTATACGTCGTACTAGGTATTCCGCATATTCTATGCTATTATCTAGAGCTAAGCGGGCATTCTTATTAAGGTATTCCTGTACCTAATAGCGTACTTGATAATATAGAGCAAGACCTTTAAGGATTCGGTATATATTAGATTCTATAGTACTCGCTATAGACTCGCTATAGACTCGCTAATAGACTCGCTAATTCCTAGATCTTAAAGCCTACCTACCCGAAGCTACGCTTACTTAGTGTTAGATAGCATTATAGACTCGCGGCTTCTCGTATCTAGTTAGTAGTAGCGAGAATAATAGCGACAGAGAGCGAGTTTACCGCTAGGTATACTTACTTCTTCGATAGCTAATTGCCGAGTATATAGCTATAGGGTTAGGGCCTAAACTAATAGAGTTAGATAAGCTATTAGCAGCTCGTAATTAGACGTTAGGTAGGGCGAATACCGGGGCTAGATTAATTAAGTTTGCAAATAATATATACTAATCTAAAATAAGGGATTTGCGAGCCGGCCGCGAGCCGGCCGCGAGTCGCTTATTTTAGTTCTATTTCCTTCTTAATCTTTCAATTCCTATCTTGTTCTACCTCTACACTACTACTATAGTTCTACCTTAGTTCTACTACTAATAATGCCTATCTAGGGTACCTTTTATACTATTACCGGCGCTAACTATATAACACTATTAAAAGCATACGCATTCTGTAACTAATGTAGTCTTAAGAACCCTAATCTACTAACCGAGCGATTTATACGCGAGCCGTTAGTAGTAGCCGTAGCTACTACCGCTACTACGAGTTTAACTGCGAGTACGGTACGAGGCTTTAATGCGTTCCCTTCTCTACCTAAGGCGGCGAATACTATACGCAATGCTACTATTTAGTAGTATAAGCCAACTTCTCGACTAAATACTAGATCTCGGAGCCTCTCGCAACGTCTACTAATACCTATACAACTATTAAAGGAGCCAATAAAGGTATTATTTACCTACCGCTATTTAGTTTTTAGCTAGCGAGTAGAGGTTTCTCGTAGGGGTAGAGTCGACCTATAGGAATATAATCCGCTAGTCCTATAGACTTCTATTACTAATATCTAGTCTAACAAAGACTTCGAAGAAGCTAACATATTACTTATAGACTAGGTTCTTAGTCGGATTGACGCTAAGGACCTACCGTAAGGTAGCGTCTATTAGGTCGACGACTATATAGACTACTTCTTCTATACTGATTTCGATAATAAGCGCTTATTACTAGATAAAGTCGCTTCTAAAGTACTCGGCCTAGGACTAGTTAAAGAGGCTCTTATACTCTTTAAACCGCAAATAGGAGGGAAAGCAACAAAGCAGCTACTAATCTATTACCTTAAAATCTGTATCTAATAATAGCGGAAGCTATAGTAACAAAGGCAACTAAAGCGGAAGTACCGGCTAAGTACTCCTACTACGAGTAGTAGCGCGAGTGTTATAGCGAGTTAGGACGGGGTTGTTCTATCTATAGAGATTAAGTAAGAGAAGCTATAGAAGGAGAAGGTAATCGATATAAAAAAGCCGCCTAAGTTTATTAACCTAAGCGGCGAGGATACTACGAGGCTACCGCGAGTTACGCCTATTCTAAAAGAGTCGAGCGAAGCTAAGGACTAGCAAGATAGCTAGCAAGATAGCTAGCAATATAGCTAGCAAGATAGCTAGCAATATAGCTAGCAATATAGTTAGCAAGATAGCTAGCAAGATAGTTAGAGCGGATAGAAGAGTTAGAAGCTAAAGCGTACTTAGAAGCTAGTTAATCTATTGTCTATAGAGATACGATCGAAGAAGAAAGGAAATAGAAATATAGACTCGTAGTAGACTCGTAGTAGACTCGCTATAGAACTCGCTATAGAACTCGCTATAGACTCGCTCCTTAAATATTATCTACTAGTAGCTCGCGATCGCTATTTAGCTATAGCTCCTTCTATATCGTATATATATCCTTAGACTTAATAATAGCCTTATTCTTAAGCTATTTAAACTACGAGAGGCAATATCCTTCTAACTTATCGAACTTAGCTTCTAATGCCTTAATCTTTGCCTCTAATATAGTATTCTTTGCCTCTAATATAGCATTCTTTGCCTCTATAGCCTCGACTCGCGCCTATATCGCGGCTAGCTCGCTATTTCTATCCTCTTCTTTAACCTTAATCTCGCTAGCAGTATAGCTACTCTTGCCCTAATACTTATAATAAGCGTAGACTCTCTCTCCTTCGATATCTAGTACGCGATACTTATAGCCGTTATCGTAGCGAGTATAGAAGTAATATAGCGATAGTGCTAGCTTTCCTTGCTTAGTCTCTATAATAATACCCGTAGCCGAGTATTTACGCAGTCTATTTAATACTACCTTCTTCTTTTATAGATTTGCGGCATCGTCGAGGAGGTCTTACTATATCTGCTCGCTATAGTACTAGAAATCTTTCGTATTTATAGTCGTAGGACGTCGAAGGCTAGAGCGAGTTAGTAGCGAGTCTATAGCGATGCGCCTCTTAGCTTACGATAAATATAGTCCTCCTACTAGTAATATAGGTACTAAATCGGGTACTAAAGTACCTATAGTAGCTATAAGAATAAGGTCGCGCGAAATACTAGTTATAGCTCGAAACGGTAGTAGTAGTAGTAACGCTACTATCGCTATCGCTATCGCTGTCGTAGTCGCTATCGATAAGGGTATAGGAAGAACAATATAGCGAGTCTAGGCGCGAAGTTATAGCGAGTCTAAGTAAAGTTTGCGATATAGTAAGGAAGGCGCAACAATAATAGGAAGCGACAATAGACTAAAGTGAAGCTAACCCTCCATTAACAATCTAGTATATATGGAGCTCCGTCGATGCCGATATCTTATCAAGTTCCGAATGATGTTCAGGTACATGTACGCACAGTGGCAACGCCGCCAAGGTGGAAAGTAAAGAGAGGATGTAAGATTGATCATTTCGACATCAGTTCGCTCAGTACGACCGGGTATCACAGCATTTAAAGATCAATCCAATTCCACATCCAAGGCAGCTAGCTCCAAGTAACACTCCAAGCATCTAGCTCTTTTACAGAGCATTCGACGCAAGCCACGCAGCCCCTAATGATATCAACGATCCAAGGCCGACCAGCTTCTTGCCCCAATCTCCTCCAGCCTGAGCCATATCAAGTGCAACCTTTCCATCGTCTTTGGCAGCACGAATGATTGCCTCACTTTCCTGTTCCCGCTCGATCGGGTGCGCCTCTGCGAATTCTGCCTGCTGCCTTTGGTAGATGGCACGTAGCGCTTCCAGATCAGACTTCCAATCTCCCAGGCTGCCACCTTTGGCGGAGCCGACCTCGACACGTTGAACGCTGCCGAAGAAGTCAAGCACTCGTCGATCCCTCGCAGCTTGTTCACCGCCTGGGAACAGGTCGTATCGCACCCCAGCATCGCTGTGGACCCTCTCGAAAGTATAAAAGTCGAAGAGCTCTCCGAGTCTGACGTCCGCAGACGTGCTGTTCAGTCTCGTTTCCAGGAACTCCAAGTTGTAATATGTCCATCTGTCGATAACAGCCACACCAACATCTTGGTCTGCGTGATGGCTATAAGAGCTCTGGTCCTTGGCCGAGCTTCCAGTGGCAATGATATTTGGTGTGTAGAAAGCCGTATACATTGTATTTGCCTGGCAGGTATCGATCATGAATAGCAATTCGTGGTACCGTTTCTTCTCCCACATTTGCTCAAATGCATCCGCCAAGTCGAAGCTGCTTATTTCTTCGCTGTCTTGAAACTTCAAGAACTCATTACCACCGTGCCCAGTCATGTATATAAGGATATTGCTGCGATCGTCCGTCATTAATCTCTTACTCGTGGGGTGTGATGCCGGCCAGCGATCGGTCAGCAGCCTGATAAAGTTCTCGACTGTGACCTCGTTGCCTCTATAGTCCACCTCGATTCCGCCCATACCGGCCATGTCCTCTGCCCAGCCTGTATTATCGTAGAGGTCTAATTGCCTGCTCTTGTCATTGAACACGCTGCCCGGAAATGAATTTCGAGGGTTGCATGCCATATCATCGGGCAACATCAATATAATCTGGCTATCCGGTATGCCTAATCGTTTTACGGTGCGGTACAGGCTGAGAGTGTTTGCGAGATGACGATAGTTGAACCAGAATCGCGACGTGCTGACTAGAACGGCCCAGTTCGAGGTGTGAGTCGCGGCAGAGACATCGGTCAAGGCCAGCAGAGCCAGCAAAGCTGACGGCAGACTGAATAGGCGCATGGTCGACGCAGAAATGTACTACTGGAGATGTGCAAAGGTGTGAAGATGTCGATGGCTACGAAAAAAGTGGAAGGGAGCCACCTTGAGCTTGGTTGGTAGGTTCCAGCTAATCGAGTCGCGATCACGTGCGATGCCAATGGAGGAAGCTGCTTACTCAGCTGGTTCCTGGTTCTCCAGCTGGTTCGCGGTTTGCAACTATCCGGGGTTCCGTCACACACTCCTCCCCGCTGTTCGCGGGGGTTCCGGCTATACGTAAAATCGCTTTTTCTTAGTAGGCTACACGTAAAACTCGACATAGTGGTAGGTTCTAGTCCTATATAGATATCTAGGTATATATAGTATTAAACCGTAAGTCGAGGCATTATATTAGCTAGTTTATCCGAGTATATACTACTATATAGCAGCTATAGGACCTCACTGTCGCTATTTCTTATGTAATCCTTAGTAGGCGCGTCTACCTTATTCTAAAGCGTATATTCCTCCTATTTCTTATATTCTACTATACGGATTGTATATAAAACTTAGTATAGGGCGTAATAAAGGCAAAAACGTAAAAAGGGTGCGAGCTAAGCGGTTAACCGAGGTAGAGAGGGCAGAGAGGGTAGCAGATCGCGTCGTTTCGAGATACTACGAATTAGTAGCTAAATCGGATAAGAATAAGAAAGTTAGTATTCGAGCGCTCTATAAGAGTAAGAAAGCAACTCGCCTATATTCTCGTATCTACTAGCGGTTAAGAGGCCGTAGGTCGCTATTCAGTCGGCTATTAACTAATACTAAATTAGACGAGTCTTAAGAGATAGCGCTAGCGGATTATTATCGAAAGAGGGACGAAATAGGTATATTCCTACCGGTACCGCTAATTACTATTATAGCGATAGATATACTAATAAGCCTACTACTAGAAGGTGTATCGAAGGATATAATACCGCTATTTAGTATAGACTAGGCGGACCGCTTTCTAAAGCGCTATAAACTTAGTAAGGTTAAGTCTAAACTAATTAAGGTATAGCGGAAGGAAGCTTACGACCCTTCTACGATAAGGAGCTAGTTTAACTGTTTTAAGGCGATAATAAAGCGACTAGACGTAAAGCCGCGGAATGTATAGAATTTCGATAAAACAGGCTTCCGAGTTAGAATTAGTAGTAACGAGTATATCGTTATAATAGATACGAAGCGGCGCGCCTAGACCGAGTATAATAGTAACTATACATATATAACTATCGTCGAGACCGTAAACGCGTTTAGTAAGGTAGTAGACTATTAGTTAATCGTTAAAGGTATAATAGTCTAAGAACGGTAGGTACCGAAGGAAGGTAAGTCTATTACTGCTACTACTATTGCCCTTTCTAAGTCCGAGTCCGCTTCCGAGGCAACGACGACACCTACTAACTATACTCTCGTTCTTAGGCAAAGACAACTTCTTAATTACTATTAACGAGTCTAGATATATAACCGACGATACTATAATACATTATATCCGCTAGTTTAAGCGAAAGACGAAGCCTAAACATCTAAACGAATAGAGGGTGCTATTATACGACAATTACGGCTCCTATTGCTTTAAGGAATTTGTAGCCTTTGCAAAGCGGTATAAGATTTAATTATAGGGCCTATAACCGCATACTTTATACTTTATGTAGCTATTAGATATAATCCTATTTTAGGCGTATAAGTTAAGGTATAGGCAAGCGGTGTTACAGGCTATATACTATAGCGTTAGCGAGTTTAGAATACCTAAGTTTGTAGAGGCGCTCTTAGCTATTTAGGCTAAGACATTCACCTCTTATAATATTAGGTTAGCATTTCGAAAGATAGGCATATTCCTAATTAATAGGGAGGTCCCTTACAAGTATATTCGAGATTAGTATAGAGCTACTAACCGTAACTAGAACTAGCCTACCTCTATTTAGGCGCTTCGTAGTTGAATTCGTGTATGTGCTCGTAACTTCCATTTCTATACTATACTACATTAGGTTTAGCGCTATTCGAGATCTCATTCTAGCGAAGCGCCTAACGACAAACCGTTCTAGGCGGGTGCAGGCTCGCCTATCTACCTACTAGTATATACATATTAGCTCGAATACCGCAACAACTATTACCCGTAGTATAGCACTTTATAGAGACGGTTCCTAGATAATTCAGTAATTAAGGATATCCGCTATTTTAATAATACTATTGCTTTACAAATTCGAGAATTATTATTAGGAAACATGAATTGCTAGTCTCGCCTAACTCGTTTGTCTACCCCTATATGCTTTATAATTAAATAAACGACACTCTATAGCGACAACAAATCGTCGGAGGTCTACCTTTCTAGTGCCCTCTACAACCTCCGCGTGTCTATCTAATCTGTACTTCAGCCTATATAGTCGCTTTGATCTAGTAGGGGAAACTATCTCTTTAGTCCTTAGCATTTAGAACTTTAACCTATAGCCTAATATCGACAAACGCAGTATAGGGTCTAAGAGTTTAAGTGTTATATAGGCTCCGCTATAGGTCCGTATGTCCGTAGAATAGGGTTCAGATTTCGACCTCGCCGCCGCCGCCGCTGCTACCGCTCTAACTCTTTAATTCCTCTAGCACTCGACTAGCGCTACGCTATACGGTATCTAATTCCTTTAGCACTCGATAGCGTCTAGTATAGCGTTTAACAAGCAGCGCCGTAAGCAGCGCGAAAATGAAAAGGCTACGCGCTAGAAGAAGCAGCGACTTAAGCGATAAGAACTATATTAAGCGCTATTGCTAGGTCGCTCTACTATTATACGCGTACGTCTAGACTTTAGCGTCGAGCTACTAATAAAGCTGCTACAATTAAAATCTAAATAGCTACGGCACTTCTAGCGACGTATCGAGAAGATTACAGATCTAGAGACACCGCTTGCGCGTATATAGGAGTTAGTATAGCAAGCAGGCTAATTTAAGGAAACTGTCTAGTACTAGGCGGAGATTATTAAGAAAGGCTTAACCAAAATCCTCGAATTCAAGCACCCTAGTTTAGCATATACTCCGACTCTACCGCAAAAGTTAGTAATATATGCGCTTATCTATAGCTAGAATAATATCCTATTTATTGCTCGTATAGGCGAGGGAAAGAGTCTACTATTCTAGGGCTTTATAATGCTAACTAGTATAATAACTATTTAAGTAGTTCTATTAAACCGCCTAGGCGCCGAACAAGTAGCAGCTATCGAGCGTATAGCTAGCAATACTAGTAATATCGTCTATTTAGTATATATCTCTACTAAGAGCAAGAAGATCGACCTAGGCATATTCGAGAATATCTAGAAAGGCAAGATCTAGTACCTATTACTTAGTCTAGAATAGGCAGCATTACCTTAATTCCTTTTCTTACTTAATAAACTAGAGGTCCGCGAGCGAGTCGGTCTAGTTATTATCGATAAGGCGTACCTAATCTACAACTAAGGTAAGCCTTCTAGTTTCTAAGGCGAATACTCGCAGGTCGGTTAAATGCGTAACCGCCTACGCATCGACACTAGTACGCTATTAGCATCGGCGACTATAGATAAAGAATGCACTAAGTATGCGATAAAGTATGCCGGTATACGTAAGGAAGGCCCTAACCCGTACGAGACTAAGATTATCCGTAGTAGCATCGATCGCCTAGAAATTATATATATTATTAAATTTATCCCGAAGGAGTATCTAACCGACTACGACATACTATATATAGTAATCGATAATACCGTATCCTATCTACTAATTCCTAATAGAGAAGAGAAGGAGATTACGAAGGGATTAGCAACACTATAGAATATGCGTAAGTCCTTAGTATTTATCGATAGCTATAAGTATATTACTAACTTTGTCGATATCGCCCGTAGCTAGTTGCTACATCTAACTAAGGATAATCCGGATCTAACTAAGAGGTACTAATATAGCCTAGTAGGTCTAGGCGTTAATGCTACCCGTACTATCTCCTTCTATACTACGAGGGTGCTAAAGCCGGACTAGGACGACCGATACGACGAGTATTGCAAATTAGACTCCGCTATTCGTTATATAGCAGCTACTACTATAGCAAGCATTAGGTTAGACGTACCTAATATCGCTAATGTATACTAATAGAAGTTTAATATTACTCGCAATCCTAGAGACCTTTAGTAGCGACTTAGTCGTATTGCTCGGCGACTAGCTCTATTAAATATAAAGGGCTTCTTCGATAAGCCGCACTTCTATCGACCTCGTGCATTCTTCTTCGTGCTATACTATACCGGAGATTATATTAAGCGAATGCTAGAAGGCGCTAATATGCTTTCTATTCTTCTACTAATATAGATATAGTCGTAGTCGCAGTCGCGCGGTCGTAGTCGTAGTCGTAGTCGTAGTCGTAGTCGTAGTAGAGGTGCTTATAGCAGAGGCAGAGGCATATACACTGCCGGACCTAGTAGGTTGCGACAAGAGCTTCCTAGTAAGGATGTTAGTAGTGCGAGCGACTAAGACGATGTATATAGTAACGCTAATACCGATGCTAGAGATAGTGCTTCTAGAGGCCGTAAGGGCAAATCTAAGGAGAGTAATATATAGAATAAATCTAAGCTAGAGAGCCGGAAGAACATTCTAAAGGTCTTCTTAGGTACGCTAAACGATTACCTAAAGATACTAGGCCGCTGCTTTCGAGTAGTAATAAATAAGCACTATAGAGAATACCTAACCTAGTTTCCGACCCTACTCGGCTAAGTAGATAGAAGAGATTGCTGCAACTTCTATAACACCGATCTAATAGCTAATCTACCTAAACTACTAGTTAAGCGCGTTAAGCTAGTTAACCTACTAGGTAAAGGTACAAGACCGAGCTTTAGGCTTAAGCATATTAAGAACTAGTGCTTAAAGAAGATTAATACCCTATACCCGCGTAAGAACCGCCTGTTTCGTATACTAGCTAGTATATATATAAAGGATAGGCTAATGTAGTCTATATCGGAGGTCTTCCTTCTAGCTCGGTTAATAGACATATAGGAGGATGTGAATCTTAGCAAAGATCGGTTACTATAGGTCGTACTAGAATTAAATAGATAGTAGTATAAGGATACGGATCTCGACGAGTTGCTTACTATTATTATTAGCATTGCTAAAGCTGTATACGCTAACTAGGATACCTATAAGGCAGAACAGAAGGCAAAGTAGGATGCTATAGCGAAGGCTATCGTAGATGCTACTAAATAGGTAGGAGAAGAAGAGGGTCCTAAAGGTAGTTTAGCCGATCTACATCTAGTAACCTATAGGACTCTATAGCAGATAGAGGCAGAGTAGCGCAACCTAAACTAGTTATTAAGGCGATCTGCCTTTGCGAATACTATACGCTAGTCCGGTATATAGGGCAGCCTAGCTTAGCAGGCTTAACAGACTTAGTAGGCTTAGCAGACTTAGCAGGCTTAGTAGGCTTAGCAGGCTTAGCAGGCTTAGTAGATACCTACTACGGCGGCGGTACCTTCTAACCCTCCTTCTAATAGCACTAATCCTACTAGGCCTTCTACCGACGTACTACTAGCTAGGAAGCGCTAACGCCGTAGTGCTTAGCTATTAGGCGCCCGTCGATCTGCCTCTGCCTCTACCTCTACCTCTGCCCTTGCCGAAGAAGAAGAAGAAGAAGAGATAACTGTCGATAAAGCAACCGAGCGGTTAACACAAGCCTATATTAGTCGTCGTAGTAGTCGTAATATTCGCATTCCTACGGCTGCTAAGGGTCTATATAGCGAGGGCGCTCGTACGAGAAGTTTGAGTGCAGCAAGTAGTCGTAGTAGTAGAGTTAACGATAATATCCTATCCTAGTATCTACCGAGTAGGTAGTAGAGATTGGAATTGGCATTAGAATTAGAATTAGCATTAGAATTGGCGCTAGCATTGGAATTGGAATTAGAATTAGTATTAGCTGTTAATATTCTGCGAGAGCATGCCTAGTTAAGCTGCTTCTACGAGAGCTAGCGCTAGAATTGGCGGTGAATTAGCGCTACAATTAGCGGTGAAATGGCACTAGAATTAGCACTAGAATTGGCACTAGAATTAGCACTAGAATTGGTATTTAATAAGGTCCTTCCTTACTACCCTTCTATTATGTCCTTATAAGCTCGCTAAGTCCTTGTCCCCGAGAGCCGGCGTATAATATAGGATACCTAGTTTAGCTGCTTCTACGAGAGCTAGCCTAGTTTAGCTGCTTCTACGAGCCGGCGTATAATATAGGATGCCTAGTTCAGCTGCTTCTGCGAGCCGGCGTATAATGTAGGATGCCTAGTTTAGCTGCTTCTACGAGAGCTAGCCTAGTTTAGCTGCTTCTACGAGAGCCGGCGTATAATATAGGATGCCTAGTTTAGCTGCCTAGTTTAGCTACTTCTGCGAGCCGGCGTATAATATAGGATGCCTAGTTTAGCTGCTTCTACGAGAGCTAGCCTAGTTTAGCTGCTTCTGCGAGAGCCGGCGTATAATGTAGGATGCCTAGTTTAGCTGCCTAGTTTAGCTGCTTCTACGAGCCGGCGTATAATATAGGATGCCTGCTTTAGCTGCTTCTACGAGAGCTAGCCTAGTTTAGCTGCTTCTGCGAGCCGGCGTGTAATATAGGATGCCTAGTTTAGCTACTTCTGCGAGAGCCGGCGTGTAATATAGGATGCCTAGTTGAGCTGCTTCTACGAGAGCTAGCGCTAGAATTGGCGCTAGAATTAGCGCTAGAATTGGCGCTGGAATTGGCATTTAATAAGGTCCTTCCTTACTACCCTTCTATTATGTCCTTATAAGCTCGCTAAGCAGGCTCTTCTATTATATCCTTATAAGCTCGCTAAGCAGGCTCTTCTATTATATCCTTATAAGCTCGCTAAGCAGGCTTTTCTATCGTGTTCTTTGCGACGAGGGTTTATAGATAGTCGTAGGTATCGATAGTCGTATATATCGATAGTCGTATATGTCGATAGTCGTATATATCGATAGTATATAAGAGCTAGGCGAGAAGCGTAAATTCGAGGAAGCGACAAGGATGCCGAGTCCCGCTAAGACCCCGGATTTAGTATAGCAGAGCGCTTAATTAGTAGGATTAAACGTTACAGCTGCTTCCTTCCGCGCATTTATAATACCGACTTTACGACTTTTACGACTTTTATAATAGCATTACTAGTATACGTCGATTTAGCGCGTTTCTAGCAAATAGCACTAATAAAAGTATCTAACACGATAACGACGGCCGCCTTAGGCACTAAGAACCGCCTCCGAAACCCGAGAAGTTACTAATACTAGCGAGAAGTTACTAGCGAGAAGTTACTAGCGAGACTAGCGAGAAGTTACTAGCGAGACTAGCGAGACTAGCGAGACTAGCGAGACTAGCGAGACTAGCGAGACTAGCGAGACTAGCGAGACTAGCGAGACTAGCACTATACTTATTGCACCGTATGCTCTTATAGACACTATAATATATACGGCAAGGATAGATACGTAGGGCGATAATATATATCGAGCGCTCGTAAAAGCACCCTTCGAGAAGCTATAACAGCCCTCTTACGTTAACGCCCTCTATTACTTAGACTCTCCCTAGAACGATTATTCCGATAACTAGTTACTATATAAGGTAGAGAAAACGAATAGTAGCGTCCGGGGATCTAATTAACTAGCGGTACTAAGCGGCTATAGAAGCACATACTCCGAAGCATACTAGAATTATATATAGCCTATATACTACGCGTAATGCGTAATAATTAACGCATTCTATTACTAACTATAGTACGTATAACCGAAGACAAGGTATATAGGACGGGACTTATTAAGCGAAATACGATAGCGATTGCTAAAGCGACATGCATTAGTTCCTAGACAACAATAGTATATAACCGCGCCCTTAGTATTAGAGACACCGTAAGAAAAGGGTTATCGAGCGCGTTGCAGTCGTATAGCAATGTTAATGCGCTTACTAGAAGAGGAGGCGCACTGTAGTCGGATAATAGTCTTAATACGCTCGGTTCGGATCGGTACGTACTGCAGTCGAATAGCAGTCTTAATACGCAAAGGGCTGTAGTCGTATAGCAGTACTGCAGTTATATAGCAGTAAAGACTAAGACTAAGACTAAGCGCCTTCGGGCTTAAGTACACTAGAGGCCCTTACGCACTAAGGTTATTATAACTAACAGTCCTAACGAAGGCGTTACGCCGACTTAACTAGATGCGTTCTCGAGAGCTATTATCCTATAAAGAATCCGAACGTAGGAAGCCTATAGCCGCTACTTAAGGTATACCTTACTAAAGAGTTTTTACCGAGTTAGGCCTATAGCAATACTACGAACCTATTAACCTACTTAGTCTATTAACCTACTTAGTAGGAGAGTCGCTATCGAGCCGCTACTTAAGGTATACCTTACTAAAGAGTTTTTACCGAGTCAGACCGTTAGCCGTATTATAGGTATACCTTACTAAAGAGTTTTTACCTCCGCTAATCTATCTGAGACCTCTACAGTTTGTACTAAGACTGCGATGTTCTAACAACAACTATACTCTTTCGGTTAAATGCGCAGTCGGCGCCCGCTAAAGCTATAGAAACAACCTACTCGCTAGGAGAGTCGCCTTCGCAACGTCTTACTCGGCAAAGCCTATCGGAGACTTTAAAAGAAGGACTAAACAAACCACCTGCCGAGGAACCTTAACTAACTTAAGCGGTTCTATCGGTAGTAAGCCGTAGGACTAGTTAGGAGATAGTATTAATCGCTATAGAGCCACTTATATACGATAAAGAGGTATCGACACTATTATATATGCCGATAGCTAGTATATTGCTAGGGGTGTTAGTGTATTAGTATGTATAGAAGAAGAAGAAGAAGAAGAAGTTAAACTAGGAAGCGTAGGTCTATATTAGCGTATCGTAGGTAAGGTTTGCCTCTACTAATAGGATTGCGCTATTTAGCTACAATAGCAAGGCAACAATAACGGCTATATATTATCGCACTTTTAACGCAACGTAATAGCCGCCGACTACTGCTAGTTGAATGCCTAAGGCTAGAATTGCTAGCGACAAGAGGCATAGGCAAGGACTTCGTATTAGGCTATAGCTAGCTAGTTTAAAAAGCTCTTCGGTACGATAATTACAACGACTATTTAGAATATGCTCTACGCTCGTTAGCCGACGCAGCTCTTTATTGAAATTACCGGAGGCCTCCTTTAGTATTAGGCGCTCTAAATTTATACAAACGCTAGTTATTAAGCTATTATCGTACGCCTAGCTAAACCCTTCGATTTTACAAGCATCCCCGACGAGGCACGCACTCTAGTCTACCGCTACTACTTCGCCGCTAACCCCCTAGTCTACGGAGCTATTAGCTATTAAGCCATTATCGTGCGCCTAGCCTAGCCTAGTTAGCTATTAAGCTATTATCGTACGCATAGCCTAGCTAGCTATTAAGCTATTATCGTACGCCTAGCTAAACCCTTCGTAGTTAGCTATCAAGCTATTATCGTACGCCTAGCCTAGCTAGCTATTAAGCAATTATCGTACGCCTAGCCTAGCTAGCTATTAAGGCACGCACTCTAGTCTACCGCTACTACTTCAATCTAGAGCTGCTATAGGACAACGACGACATTATAGGCGTTAGTTTAGTGCTTGGACAAGAATAGTCCTACCTTAATACATTAAATATTATGCTCTATGCTCTATGCTCTATGCTCTATACTCTATACTCTATACTCTATACTCTGTTCCTTTAGAAGTTACTGCTACCCTTACTACTAAGGCTACCTATGCGTGCGAGGAGACCTATATTAGCTCCTTCTACTCTACCGTTGCTAGCGGCAGCGGCAGCGCCAGTTAGGTCCTAGGTTTCTATACCCTCGAAGAGCTAAGCAGTGCTATCTGCTAGCTAAACCTATATATTATCTCGCTCTAGATTAAGTACTACATCCTCGATTAGACTATAATTAACCCTATCTAGGCGCTCTATAGCATTAGGGCCCTCTAAGGCATTAGATTCTAGCACCGTAGTACGGCCTCGAATGAAGTTCTAGTTAGTAGCGTTGAAGTTCTTAACGACTAATAGCATTTAATCCGCGCCGATATTCTATATATCGTCTAAGAGCGTAAAGTCGCCGTACTACTACTTCGCGAACCTATCGATATGGATCTTATTAGCTCGATTAAATACGCCCGCGCTAATGTCCTTATTAGTATAGTAACTAGTCCGATAGACACTAGAATTCTCCTTAAACATATCGCGGATAAGGCGAGATAACTCTCGGTTTATCGATACTCGTTTAAAGGTAGCAGCAAGTCTATAAGTCGAATTAGTAAGGCGATTGTAGTCCTCGGATAGGGCATAGTTAATAAGCTCGATTATCTTATTACTACCGATAGTATAGCCCTTCTTTCTAGACTAATTGACTATTATAGTAGCAAGGACCGCCTTCTATAGGTCCTTAGTACCGCCCTTATTAAGGAGGAAATAGAAATAGGTTATTAGACGACTATAGTTGCTCTGTCTAGCTCTAAGGAACATAGGGATCGTATAGTCTACGCATCGACGAAGGTAACCGACATCCTATATATAGACAGCATAGCGGACGCGTAGAAACAAGGAGATCTCCTTTATTAGTCTATATATAGAGGTAAAGGCCCTATCTAGCCTAGTTAGTATAGCGCTATTGTCGATAGAGGCAGGTCGATTAGGCATTCCCTCCTATGCTTCTAGTAATAGGAGCAGCTTATGCATTTCCTTTAGGATGTCTATATACTTAGTAGCAGAGATCTTCTCGACAATAGCCTGCTTAACGACCTTAGGCCGGGTCTAGTTACCTTTACTAGCAAGATCCTTAGAGATATAGCTACGGTTAACTATAATCTAGAGGAATACGGCGACAGTGCGGGCCTTAAAGCAACGCTTTAGCAGTCGCTGCATCCGGAAGAATTTTAGCGACTTTGGATTAACCTCTTTTATACCCTAGAAATCGACATTAGACAACAAAGAGAAGTCTATGCGGTTACCGGCCTTGTTCTTATTCTAATAGGTACAGAAAGGCGTAAAGCATAGGTTTATAAAGATGTAGAACTAAGCGGGCACTAGAAGGACATACTGCTTCCTATCGTATACAGCCTTATTCTCGATACCGCTAAAGATTATAGCTAGCATACGCTCGATAGTAAGCTAATTACTAACGTTGATAATTAACCTATTGTCGAAGATCGGATTATCGGGCTTTAGACTAAGGTTGCCTTAGTAGATATCGTCGTACACTAAGGCAGTGCCCTTATTAGAGATCTCGTCATTCTACGATAGAGGCATAGCTAGTAGCTAGGTCTTGCTACGGAAGCTATAGTTAATCTCCGGATATACTAGTTCTTCGACTAGATTGCCGGTATCCTTCGCTACCTTAAAGATCGTCTTAATCGCGTTACTAAACACATATATACAAGCTTCGTAGAGCTAGTGCATTTCGACTGCTATAACAGCATTATTATTGTCGATGTTTTAGATAATGTTCTTAGTTAGGACTAGCTTCGAGCGGTCTAGTATGTCCTACGTTAAACCCCCCTCTAGTATATCCTTATAGAGGGCGATATACGAGTTAGTAATATTAACCTGTTTATTATTGTCGGCAATGTCCTATATTAGCGTTAGCAAGTGCTCTAGCATAGTAACCAATATCTATATACCTAATCCTTCCGCTTTGCTTAGCGATTAAAGTTATCGTAGCAGATCTACTAGATATACAACTTAGCCTACTCTAAGATCCTTAGCCGCTAAGTGTTAGCATTCTTCTTAATTAACGCCTAGATCGTCTTATACGAAGGAAGCAGGCCTATGCTATATAGGGTATCGATAAGCGGAGCTAGCAGGTTGCTAATATATACTAATAGAAGGCTAAGCGACTTTAGTATCTAGGAGGCCCGCTTTATTGCTATTAAATATACTACTATATATATAATCGTATAGATACGCTTCTGCATTATATTCCGCTTGTCCTCGAACGATATTGCTCGCTATACGGTGTCCTTACGGGTATTTGGTAGCATAAAGTCCTTAAGTAGGCGGTACTAATTCGGAGCGATGTTATAGATTATATCGTATATGTCGGAGAGACGACGTAGTAGTACAAGGCTGTCTTCTAGCTTATACGCATTAAAGAACTTCTTGCTAACTAAGTTCTTAATCTTAGCTCGTAGCTACATAGCACTAATAAGATGCTCGTTTAGCAGTATATCTTAAACCGCCTATACACGCTTACGGTAGGTCTTAGTGCCCTCCTTACTAAACTACATAAATATTATCTTCTCTATTAGCAATTTAAGCTAACTAAGATGCTTTATAGCAAGGATATACTTCTACTTTAGGGTACGGCGCTAACTACGGACGCTAGTAGCGATAACGAGCTCGCCTTCGTTATCGCCTTTATTATTGCCTTTATTATCGCCTTTATTATCGCCTTTATTATCGTCTACTTCTTCTATCTCGTTAAGGCCGCGCTTACTAGGCCGCTATGCAGGCCGATCGTCGTTATTATTAGAGGCATTACTAGCACGGCGCTCTTCCTCTAACTCGCTCTCGCTCTACGACTCTTTATCTATATTAGCATCCTCGTCCTTAGTTAGACTATTATTAACTAGCTAAGCGTATATAACATTCCGATTAGTGTTCCTTAGGCAGCGAGCAGACCGCTTAGGCGGTTAGCGGACAGGCTAGCGTCGAGCAGCTAAGCGGTCTTTATCGCCTAGTATATACTTAGAGTTGTAATAATCGCTATAATACTAGCGCTAGCGGCGGCGGTCTTCGTCGAATAGACTAGCGAATATAGGACCTAACACATCTAGCAGATCTAACAGATCGGAAGTCTCTCCTAGCAGCGGTAGATCTTCTAAAGTAGCTATTTCTTCGTCTTCCTCGTCTAGTCGAGGTAGCAAGTCGACGTCTTATTCTTCGCTATAGCGGTCTAGCTTAGAGGTTAGTAGTACTTCTATTAGATAAGATAAGCTATGCTAATTATCTCCGCTACGACGATTAAGCTTAGAAGTATTAGCTTAATTAGTTAAGTCGGAGCCGCTTATAGTATCGCTTATACTACTAGTGCTAGTATTTATTAGCGCTCGAAGTAGTCGACTCGAGTAGCTAGCTAGCTAGCTAGCTAGCTAAAGTCGCCTCCGCTATTTAGCTAGATCTTAATAATAAGAAGTCGTAGGGGGTTGCTTGTTACTGCAAAGTTAGTTAGGAATACTAGGTCTACGAGCTCGTAGGTATTTCGGATATATTAGAGGTAGTATATCTAGAGGCTTCTAAGCCGCTAGTAAATGCTATCGGCAGAGTAACGAGAACTTAGCACTACTACGCCGCACGCACTCGTATATAGCAAGAAAGTCGATCGCGAGTACTTTCTAAAGGGCCTCGAGTTAGTTTAGTTAAAAATAAAGGGGGGTATTACTACCGCTATTTCCGACGTAGGCGAGAACTCGATAGCGAGAAGTCGCGCGTAGGTACGTATAGCGAAGAAGTTAGTCGGATAGCCCTAATTAAGGACCTCTAGGTATTAACTTAGTGTATAGCGATATGTTGAGAATCGGTGTGTTTAAATAGGCGGAAAGCTATAGAAGTAGGCTTAGCTGAATTAGTATAACTTAGCGCGTACACGTCGCATATACGAGATTTTTAGATCGTTAGACTCGCAATTAGCAGGGCTACAACCTCCTCGTATTGGATTTGCTAGTTGTCGTTAGTGTAGCGAGATCGTATTTTAATAGCGGAATCTATAATAAAAATTAGCGGTTTGGCTTTAGGCCTTTAGGTAAAGGATTAGATAGAGTAGTATATAATTGGTTGTTTAGAAAGACGGAAGCTAGCTCTAATTTAAATCTATTACGTACAATCTGACTAATTCACTACCGCGCAACGTAATCCTTAATATATAAAGGCCTAAACGGAGGTAGGAACTAGCAAGCAATCGAGAGTAAATTAGTATAGGAAGAGGCCCGATACGAGGAATCGCTAGTAATAGCGGAAATCGCTTAGTAGGAGCATATCGCGTCGGTTAAGTAATAACGTTCTATAGAGCCTACTATTATCGATTTAGAAGGCTAGTCTCGCGCTAACGGTCGCTACTACCTTAAGGAACTCGAGAACCTAATTGCTTAAGGCATGCTATCGTTACTACCTTAGCGAATACCGACCCCCGAATTGCCGTAATAGCTCCTATATACTACTACTAGCCCTCGTACGATTAAGGCGTCTCGTATTACTATACAAGCTCGCAAGGACTTCCGACGCTCTTATCTAAACCTAGTCCCGTAGGGTATATTACTATTATTACTATTATTCTACCTATTTAACCCGTTTTCCTTATTACCTATAAAAGTAGCAGAAGAGGCATATAATATATTAGTTAACGCGGCTATTTGCAAAGGTAAGGAATACAAGCGTAAATACTAGTCTACGAGTACTATCGAGCGAGTAAAGAAACGTTAGAAGGAATAGCCTAACCGGCTTATTCGAGCAGGTGCTATCGAGGCTAACGAGTTACGCTTATAACTTACTTAGCAAGATAAGGATATAGCTACAAATAGATACTAGAAGATTCTCCGTAAGGCGGAGAGTACTTATAACAAGGCGCGCACTTATCGATTAAAGTGTAGTAAGGCCTTCCGTATTGTCTTTAATAATAATAGCAAGACTAAGTAGACAGACGTTAAGCTATAGTCTATCGATAAGCTACTATAACGAGTCTTCGATAAGCGCCTTCTTACCTCCGACTCTATATTAAAGAAGACTAGTAATCTATACGCTAACATTGTTAGCTATTATAGGCGAACTACTAATACGAGTAAGAGCGGCGATATTACCTATACGTAGAGTCTAATAAGAATATTATCTCTACCGAGCCGCGCCTATAACTACGACGAAAGCGACCTACTAATATAGACCGACGTTAAGACTAAGCGGCGATTAAATAGCCTATTTGCGTAAGAGCCTAATACCCGACTCGACTAGCTATAATAAGACGAGGCACTACTTAATAAAGATACTATATATACTATAATTTAGCCTTACTTAGTATATCCTCGCTAGCGCTAGGAGTCGGTATAGCGGAAGCGCTATTTCTACGAGCCTCCGAAGAAAACTAGTCGCTATCGAGGCGAGGTCGCTAGTAGTAAGAACAACCCTATTAAGCTAGAAGAGTCTTAAGATAGCAGTTAACTATTTAGTTAATAATAATAATAAGAGATAGCAATTATATAATAGACTTATAGACCGACTTGTAAGGTGATTAATCACTTGGTTAACAAGAGGTTTACGCGGAGGCCGATTGCAGGTCCATTTTAACTATCTACGGTCGCAATTTAGTCGCTAATATAACGGAAATCTACTGCTTCTTAACCCTAACCGCACCCCAATTCAATTTCCCGGTCTATATACTATACAATATACCACTATATCGAGTTTTACGTGTAGCCTACTAAGAAAAAGCGATTTTACGTATAGCCGGAATCCCCGAGCCCGGGGCGAGGGGTGAAGTGGCTGACGCAACCCCGGATACGTACACTGCATACCATCCCAAAGTACATGGACTGAAGCCTTGTCTATACGACGCTTTTGATCATCGCATCGGAGAGCTCCATGTCCGAGGTCCTGACCGCTTGTGATTATCAAGCCACGCGCTCCTTTCTACATTGTAGCGCCCAAAATGGGGGCTGACCATCAGGTACCGTACAATAATCTTCCAAGCCACTCCTCCTTTCATCTCGCACCAGGCCGATGCCGATGGTCTGTTGCAACAACACTGGAGAGTAGGTCTGTTCAGCTGGGTTGGCCTGGATGATGTAATCACGGCGACTGTATCGACAATACTCACGAGCTCCATAACTACGAGTCTCACAGACACTCTCACCTTGACTCTGACGAACGATGTTACAACCATTCAAGAAACGACCTTAGTGGATGGTCAAACTGCAACTAGTACTTTCACCACTGACACCACAATCACCACCACTGCTTCCGAAACAACAACAATTACGGTGACCGCATCCACAGTCACCATTCCTGCCGTTGTTCCACGATCTGCTGCCATCGATGAGAGAGGAGCTCCACCCAAGAAGCCTGCCTGCCCCAAGGAGTGTGCTAACACGTTGTCCTTCTCCTCTGCCTGTGCGTGCATTCGCGCAAAGACATCTACTGTCCACGTGGCGGGGCCAACAGTCACTGTAACTCGAAATCTCAGCGCGGTACTTTCAACACAAAAGATCTTCACGCAGCTTGTTACTTTGACAACGAGTGTCGCTGTAACGAACAGCAAGACCTCTGTCCAGACAGATACGAGCACATCAGTAACAATCTTGATCACGGCAGACGTGAAGACCAGCTTCGTTACCACGACCACCACTCTTACCTCAACCGAAACCCAGACGCCATCATGCAGTCTCTCTACCAGTACTGCTCAGCCCACGAACTACGTGGTGAATGCGAATCTCGACAGCAATTGGCAGAGCTCCTTCAGCGACGGTCCATGGACCATAGTAGGAGGAGGCGCATCGTACTACAATGGCGCGCAATACGCACAATCTGCGCCAATCTTCTGGTTCTTTCTCAAACCATCCCTACCTAAGTAGATGAACTTCTAGCATTGCGAGCATCTAGGCTCTGCACAGTCACAGACAGCGCTTCATCCTGCACTCTCTATCAGGACATCGTCCTCCCGACCGACACGACCTATACCGTCTCGGCTTACATCCGTCCTTACGCCCTTTACCCAGTCCCATACGACTCCTCGGTGCCTCAGTACTGCACGTTCTCGCTCAACTTTGGATCGGGTCTCAACTCTTCGGAGACTTATACACAATCCAATGGAACTGTGAGCGGCTACAGACAGATCTCGTTCAGTGGTGTTCGGGTGACGAGAGACTCGGAACGCTTGCAATTTGATTACTCCTGACCGGAGGGATATGTCGGTAACGGGATCGTTGACACTGTTTCGGTGACGGCGGAAATTCCTGAGACGACATGTGGGCCTCTATAGTAGCACACATGTTGCCTGAAGCATTAGCAACAAAATTACAAAATGGATAATGTAATGTGAATACCAAGCCATAACGGAGCTTTCAGTGGTCGGAATCTATGGATTGAGTGGATTTAGCTTGACGGGAACAGTTCGAATGGCTTTGTTTCGACCTGCACTCCTCCAGGCGTACGGGTTTCATGCACAAGCTCCTCAATTCTGACAAGGCCCTGAAGACCAGCGCCGAAGAGATGTTCTACCATCTCTCCCATCTCTAAGTCATTGAAAGCTGTCGTTGCGATGCACAGGACCTGTTCAACCGTAAGACCAAGCACGAGGTTGACGTGATTCCAACCGGAAGCTTCTACCACACGTCTACCGGTCGTGACTCTGACGTACGCGTGCGAAAGTAGTGCCCAGCCGACTAACTCGCAGTGACTGTCCTGGGCGAGTCTTAAGACATATGTGATGGCGCTCTGGTCGTGAAGTTGAGCTAAGAAGTCGCCTTCTCGTGCACGAGCTGGCACAATGGCGGATACCGATCCATCAGTGTAGACCTTTCTAGTGAAATTTTTGAAGTGATTTGTGACCTCATCCGCGAAGGCTGCGAAGGCTTGGTTTTGCTGATCTTGATCTGAACTTGAGCTCAGGAGGTCTGTCTCGAGCTTGTCTCCTGAGGTCAGGTAAAGCCTGTTTGCCGAACTGCCATAGGCATCAAGGAGGATTCGTGGCATTTCTACATGAGCTCGATGTTGCTGGCGATTCATCAGGGCGACAACGTGTTCATCCTGCGCGGTGACTTTGAGCCCGTCAAAGAGCCGTTTGAAATCTTCCCAGGACCAGATATTGCCATCGTCGGCAAAATGAACCAACACATCGATCAGCAGCTGGCATGTAGTTTTGCTGTAATCAGCTTGTACTGGCTGCAGATTCTCACGCCACATGATGGTTCTTAGCAAGCCAAAGATGTGGTCTCGCGGGTCGTAGCAGTAGAAGTATGGGAACCACGCTATTGCGTTGGATATGGACTTCTTGGTCGGTGTAGTCGCGAGCACGAACGGGTATGCCGTACTGCCAAGTGCCCACTCCTTATCCAGGTCAGACTCTCTGAGACTTTTGGTCTTCCAAATGGTCCAGCCCATGATCTCGTCAAAGAGCCGTAAAGCTGCCCATTGCCAGCAATGATCCCCGCACAAGATCTGAGGTGCGCTCCGTCCCATGTTACCAGCAAACACTTCTTGTAGAATCCAGAGACGACTCCAGTAGGCGCGATCCCTGAACGTGCTATAGTGCTTGAAGAGCTGCAGTATATCACGTTCGTCTGGGCCTACACGACTTCTTAGCCACGCCATTCCCTCGTTGGATTGTTCCCTCGTCAATCGCCTGAACTCGTCTTTGAATGCATCCGAAGGTCTATCCATGTGCATATCCGCGTGAAGAAGGTGCGGGAGCTCTTCCGGAACAGTCGTGATCCAGGCGTGCAGGTATTCACTCGACTCATCTGCTGGTCCAATGCAGCAGACGACCTGAGAAGCCTTCTCGTATATGATGCCCATCATGTTTACTTGGGCGCTTTTCTCTGCAATGTCCCTTTGATTGATGCATATTGCATCGATCCAGATGTTGTATCCAGGATACTGCCGTGTCACCTGCTGTAGGGCATAAAGCGTGTTCTTGCGGACAGTGAGGGCCTGTCCATCGAAACGGATGCTACAGAGGTCAGTAGGGTCTCCCCAAGTATAGGAGATTGCTAGATATTCAGGAGCCTCGTCAATGCTGCCTTGGGATGCCGAGAACGACAGTTCGTCATCGTCCTCAGAAGCTTTCAGCAGCCTGATATTATTGTGAATGTCCTTCAACGGTACGTGCTGATAGGTGTCAGCTTCCATTGCTGGCAAATGCAATTGTCGATTGGATGTTCGACGCGGTGTTCAGCTCTTCGCAGCGTGGGGCTGCCAACTCAGCCTGCAGCTGTATTTGGCCAATGGGATTGAGAAGATGTGTATGAAATATGCAGGGCTAATTGCTCTGCCACGGCTGGAGCGAGAACGCATATATACTTTCCTTGACATACCCGTGGGCTCGATCGTCTTCTGCAACGATACGGTGGGCCAGAGACGGAGATGCTCCAGATCTCATGTATCTTATGCTTTCTGGACAGCTGGACCTAGGTATGGCTCAAGCCTGTCATGCCGTAGACACTTACATCTCGCTGCTGTCACAGTTTTCTCTGGGGGTATGCCGCGCTCATCCACTGAGGTTGTATGTATGTAGAGGCCCCGCTGCTCTTCTCTACTCACTCCAGCTCCGTCTCTCGTGCCTTTGCTCTTTGCTCCTTGCTCCTTGATTTCCGTGCTGGTGCTGCTTGTGCTACAAGATTCTCCAAGTTTGGTGTAATCCCGGATGGTGATGATTCGTGTTGACAGGATATGACTGAGATGTTGATGAATGGAGGCTTGGGATTGGCATTGATTCGGTATTTCTGTTTCGGGCATGGCTCCGAAAGAAGGGGCGAGCACTGAGCATCAACCTGCAACGTCCTTTCATATGACTCGCTTTGGCATATCACATCGTGCTCCGTCATTCAAGGCTCGCATTATCTCCTCTCATCAGGTTCTCGGTACGAATGGCTCATGCTAAGGGTCATAGGGCAATTTGGGATCTGTGTCATCGCCTTCTGCCACAAGATGCCAGGACATGCTTTAGTTACAGCATCACACGTGTCTTCACTTTGTAAGATCACATTGGTCGTTCGACAAGAGTCGTAGCGTCAGTTCATGTCAGACGTGTCTTGCACTCTCTCACCTCAAGTAGACTCACTCCTTCCTGAACCTTTTTCGCAGGAAGCATGTCTGAAGATTTGACAGCTTCACGGCATTTTGGACCCGAGAACTCTTACTTTACGAAGCAAAACCGTCTCGCAGAATGCTTGAGGTGATGACTGGCATATCTGAAGTTCTTCTACTCTTGGTATCTCGACTCGAAACTCTCTAAGTCTCGGCCGCTCCTCCGATCGCGAAGCCTTTTCCGCATCTCGCGCTGTTGGAAAGCATTGAGCCTATTCTTCGCGGCCGCAAAGGTTCTGCTTTGCCTCCTTCAAGCGTGTGGTGCGACGAATGTGGCTGTCAAGCCCTCTGGCACTACGACCCTCTTCGTTGGGGAATTTCTCGTTGTACAGCGCAGTCAACGTTCCTAGAGGGATCATTTGACCGCCTGAAGACATCGCGTGCCTGTTCATGACCTCCAATATGAAGTCATCGTTCTTCTCGGTATATGCAATCACCGCTGGTCGCTTGCCTCTCCATGGAATACCTTGAACCTCGGCCAGCGCCTTCTCAGACCGGCGCTGCTTTTGACGCTCTGTACGCGGGGACGACCCCGGATCAGAGTAAGAAGCATCAGAGCTTCTCTCACGTTGAGGGAGAGACGTATGCTATACGCCCTCCTTCCGCTCGAGAGTTGATGCTTGCTGCCAAACTTAGCGAGGATTCTTCAACCTGGTCAATGATCCGCACCTTACCTTGCGACCTGGGGCGCCCTTCTTCTCGGCAGCTTCTTCATCGGAGCATGGCGAAGGTGAGTGGCGTGGGGTCGGGTAGCCGTCATCGTCATCATACTCTTCATGCTCCGATTTGATCTTCTTGTGGGTGGTGGTCTTCTTGTCGCTCAATTCGCTGACCTATAGCACGCACCTCAAGTCAATACATCATTTCCTCAAGCAGGGGGGACAGGCACTACCCACATGGGTGACACCCAACCGATCCAATTCATCGCAGGCCTTGCGCAGGACAAAGAGCGGATCCGAAACATTCATTGTGAAAGTTGCTTCACCGGAGGAATCTGCCCCGGAGATGGCTTAGGAGTGGCGAACTGCCAGGGTGATCTGCCTTTCGATGTGAAAGACAGGTCTAAACACTGCGTCTTTGCGTCGCGAGAAAGAGGTCGGCGGTGGATTACACCGGATGTTGTTTCCAGCTGACCTTGGTTGACAAACAAACACCGCACAATCTTTGAGCCTGGAGCTCGTAAGGGCCTGTGTCATCGATGGCGACGTCGAGAAGCCTCCGTTCGCGTCAGGAGCGCGATGAAGACACGCGAGATGCGCGGACGCGACAGGACCAGATGCGAGGAGGAGAGATGTGCTGGTGAAGAATAGCGGAACATCCAACTTCCACCCTGGGTGGAGGTGGTGAAGATGCTGAAGTAAGTGCGCAATGGAAAAGGTCTGCTTGGCATGAAGTTGCGTTGGTGGATGAGCGGGAGAAGTCGAAAAGCCAGCTTCGATTTGACGCCAAGCAGAGTTCCAACGCTCTTGCTTTTGCAGTTTTCAAGGTGCAAGTGCAGCACTGGACGAGACACGTTGCCAACGGCCGAGTGGATACGCGCGAGAGACAAGCATCCAACTCAGCCTGACTTTCCATACAACCCCAGCCTGGTTAACCAAGTACTGCCCGACAGCCTTACTGCCAATTCAGCTACACTCAAGATCTGGGTCTGTCTAAGTTGAGACCGCACGCCTGCCGAATCATCGCACGAAAGACATTCATCTTGCGGCATGCCCCAGGCGAATTGTATTGCCAGCATCAGGATCGTATCAAGTCTGCAAAGAGCCTCAGCCTCGTTCTCCGCAGGCTTCACGGTAGCTTCGCGCGCGCCCCTGTGAGCTACCCGAAAGCCTGCACGCGAGAAACTTCTGTCACGAGCCTGCCGAGCATGCCTTCAAAGTGATCACATTCAAGCATGTGCTCCAGGAATGTACTCAATGTCATTCACAAGCACCGTCGGCTATTCTCGGCCTCGACGCCTGTCACATGCAGAGCCTCACACCGCCCATTCACCTCAACCAGGACCTATAAGACACTGCTTACGAGCCACTTCCTCCTCTTCCCTTTCATCCGCTGAACTATCACCAGCAGCAGCAGCACCGTTCTCATCTATGCCTATGCTTAATTTGCTTGGTCTAGGAGAGGATGACTTCTGATCTAGGATTGACAGCCGGTTCTCGCAGATGCCATTTGCAACATCATCTGCGTGGCTTGTGCAAAGCACTGGTCGAATCCGGAGCTGCTATGAGATTGAGCAAGATTTATCCAGGAGTGGTCTCGAATGTGGAAGTGATGTTTGCCCTCTCTGGTCTATACAATTACAGCCCGGGGTGCTCAGTATCATATACAGTATATTCACCAGGTACCACGGGCTCTCTATCGACGAAGAAAGCTCTCTCTTCACTGCCTCAACGTGTTCGTGCTTGACTCTTCTCCAAGTAGATTCAAAGCGCTTCAAGCAAATAACGACTAGGTTCTGCCAAGCTTCTTCATGGGCGCCAGTCTCTAACTCTTCAAGTTTCCTGATCATGCCACAATTGAGTATGATTTCGACAATGTTCTCAGTGCCTCTGTTCATCACAAGCGCCTGCTGGTTGGGTAGATTCACCTGGTCTTCCGCTGAGGTCCCGGCTGACGCCTTTCTCTTCTCGCTGACACCCATCTGTCTGTTCATCATGGGTTGCTCACTGGCAGTCTTCCTCTTCTTAGCTGGTGGCAGTGTCGCGTTGCCAGCGTCACAGGGATCTCTACACAGCTCGTGCTTGTCGGCTAACTTCGAGTGTACAATATTTCCCGAGCTTTCTTTCTAAGGCGTCTGGCCATGACGCCAGCATACCTAATGACTCCCGTCCATGCCTCCCTTCTTCCACGCGAAGATAGTATCATCTTGAGGCTTCTTCAGCAGTTCGAGTTGCAATCGCATGGGACATATCAGTGGCATACTGACTGATATCGAATAGCCCGATTAAGCATTAGGCCACGTCTTCGATTCTGCTTGTTGCTCGGCGAGATGACCATGACATTCGCCTCGCGAAGCTTGCATTTCGAATAGCAGTCCTATCCTGTAGATACAATGTTGGTATTAGGGTGATAGCCGAAAGTCCGGTGGTGAGTGCGGTCAGACGCCGAGCACTAGCCAAAGTTCCGATCAGCAGAGATGTCAGTCGACATGCACGATACCATGTCCATCAACGCGTACTTCTGCATCGTCAACCTCGTATTATGACCTCAGAGCTGTCAGCAAGTGGAATGACTGGACATCGAGAGCCAGGCCAATGGCCCACATTCGTGCGTCAAACGCCGATCTTTTTCGTCCGAAGCAGACTACGAACAGAGACATGTTTTCTGAGGACACAGCCTCCGATCTTGTCAGCGATGCCGCCGCGGAAGCAGCCCTCAAGAGAAGCAAAGAGTCAGTGGATATGCACAGCGCGGCGAAGGGCGGAACTTGTACAACACGCGATGCCCGGGCGTGGCATACCATGGCAAGCTGTAGCTTCAGCCATAGACGCATTGCCGGGGCGATAGTCTACGGCACGCGTTCGACGTGTACGGCGTCTTGCTTAGAAAGTTCTTCAAATACCTCCCAGTGGCCCTCAGTCTGCAACGGGATCGGGTCCAGGCCAGAGCGAGAAATTCTGGGCCCGAATCGCGGATGACATCAAGCTACATCAGCAGCGCCATCACTTCACACCGGAAGGTCCGGCAGCACAGGCACACTGTTTGTTGGAAGCTCTGCTCTTGCACGACGTTAAGTAACGCAACATTCTCTCGTCACTTGATACCAGCCTCACCTACTCCTACAGCTGCCGCTCTGACAGCAAACATGTCGAATGGCGACGCGGTCCACAGCTTGACGGATCAGCAGGACAAATGGAGTGTCTACACCGAAACCCGATCAACGATCAAAGAACAGCCATTGAGCAAAGATGAGCTCGAAAGGACCACAAAGTACTTCCATGCCTCGCTATACCTATGTCTGGGCATGCTCTACCTCAAAGAGAACCCACTCCTGCAAGAGCCCCTCAAGAAAGAGCACTTCAAGGCGAGGCTTCTGGGACATTGGGGCAGTGATGCTGGACAATCTTTCACGTGTGTTGGAAGGCTGTGCTTGAAATGCATCTCTGCTGACTTCTTACTAGCTACATTCATATGAACCGCTTGATTAAGAAGTACGACCTAGATGCCTTTGTCATCAGCGGGCCAGGTCATGGTGCGCCTGGCCTGATCTCAAACTTTTATCTTGAGGGTGTCTACAGCGAAGTATATCCAGACAAGGGGGAAGATATTCAAGGACTACAGAAGTTCTTCAAGCAATTCAGCTTCCCGGGTGGAATCGGCAGCCACATGACGCCAGAAACTCCAGGTTCGATTCATGAAGGTGGTGAGCTCGGATACTCACTATCGCACGCTTTCGGCGCTGTCTTCGATCATCCAAACACCATTGCTCTTACTATTGTGGGCGACGGAGAATCCGAGACAGGACCTCTTGCAACATCATGGCACAGTAACAAGTTCTTGAATCCAATCAAGGATGGTGCAGTTCTTCCAGTCCTGCATCTGAATGGGTACAAGATCAACAATCCTACCATCTTGTCACGTATCTCGGAAGAAGAGTTGACGGCATTGATGAAGGGCTACGGATACACACCTTATTTTGTTGAGGGTCACGACCTCGACACCATGCATCAAGCTATGGCAGGCACTTTGGAGCACTGTGTGAAGGAGATTCGCGCATTCCAAAAGGAAGCTCGTGACTCTGGCAAGGTATTTAGGCCGAGATGGCCGATGATCGTGCTTCGCTCGCCAAAAGGTTGGACTGCACCTCGCAAGTCAGAAGGCCACTACCTTGAAGGGTTTTGGAGAGCCCACCAGGTCCCGCTCACGAAGGTACACACTGATCCGGAGCAGATGAAGCAGCTGGAAGAATGGCTTCGATCGTACGAGCCGGAGAAGCTTTTCACCAAAGAGGGCAAGTTTGTGCCTGAACTCAGAGAGTTGGCACCACCAAAGGGAAAGCGTATGAGTGAGAACCCAATCACGAATGGAGGTCTCCTTCGTAAGCCTCTGAACCTGCAGAACTTCCGCGACTATGCTTTGAAGGTAGACAAGCCTGGTGTTACCAATGACCAAGGCATGCTTTACTTTGCAAAGTGGCTGAGGGATGTCGTGCGAGACAATCAGACAAACTTCCGCGTCATGGGTCCTGATGAGACCGAGAGCAATAAGCTTTCAGAAATCTACAAAGCTGGAAAGAAAGCCTGGGTTAATGGCTACCTTCCTGAGGATGAAGACGGCGGCAACCTCGACCCTAATGGACGTGTGATGGAAATGCTCTCCGAGCACACCTGTGAAGGCTGGCTCGAAGGCTACATCCTCTCTGGAAGACATGGTCTGCTGAACTCCTACGAACCTTTTATCCACATCATCGACTCGATGGTGAATCAACACGCCAAGTGGATTGAGAAGTGCAATGAAGTAGCCTGGAGGCAGGCTGTTTCGTCACTGAATATCCTGCTCACCAGCACTGTCTGGCGACAAGGCAAGTTTCTCAGCATGCTTTATTGGACTTTGCTAATATTTACGTAGACCACAATGGCTTCACACATCAAGATCCTGGTTTCTTAGATGTTGTCGTCAACAAGTCGCCAGATGTCGTTCGAATCTACCTCCCCCCTGACGGCAATTGCTTGCTCTCAACGATGGATCACTGCTTGCGCAGCTCGAATTACGTAAACGTGGTTGTGGCTGACAAGCAGGTTCACTTGCAGTACCTCAACATGCAAGCTGCTGTGGACCATTGCACGAAGGGTATCGGCATTTGGGACTGGGCTTCAAACGACTATGGCTGTGAGCCAGACATCGTCATGGCGTCTTGTGGAGACGTCGTCACGAAAGAGGCGTTGGCCGCCACTGCACTTCTGCGCGAGCATCTCCCAGAGCTCAAGATTCGTTTTATCAACGTGGTCGACCTCTTCAAACTTATCCCGCATGGTTATCACCCACACGGACTGACAAACACCGAGTACGAGGCCATCTTCACGAACAACAAGCCTGTCGTCTTCAACTTCCACTCTTACCCGTGGTTGGTGCACAGACTTACCTACAACCGCAAAGGTCAAGACAAGATGCACGTACGAGGCTACAAAGAGAAGGGCAACATTGATACTCCTCTCGAACTTGCGATTCGCAACGAAGCAGATCGCTTCTCACTCGCCATTCTTGCGATCGACCACTTGAGGGACGTGCTTGGCAACAAAGGTTCGGGACCGAGGGAGAAGCTGGTCGAGCAAAGACTGAGGGCTACTACTCAGGCATACGAGACTGGACTGGATCCAGAAGAGCTCACAAATTGGAGCTGGCCATACTGAATGGGTGCGGAAAGGATGTGGAATGGTAAAAAGGAAACGGAACGAGTTATACGAAAATGGCTCGAGGTCGATGGTAATACGAAGAAAGCTTCAATAATGAGATAGATACATGATAATGATACCGCACTTGCAAATTCACCAGGTCGAGTTTCACCATTCGCCTCCTCTCAATGATCTTTCCACGACGCTGCTAGGGTGACGATGCCTTACATTGAGGGTGAGATGCAGACCTACAGATAAGCAGGAGGCAAGCAGAAAAGGCTTTGAAATGCCTGCACAAGAATGGTGAGGGGGAGCGTGAGCACATTGTCAAGTGAACCATTGCTTGTAAGGTAGAACCTTCGAAATTTACGACTTTTCACCCTGCTCGACATTTGTCACCTTTTCCTTCGTTCGAACACCTTGGAGCTTCCTTGCCACGTCCTCCGTCATGTAGTCTTCCACATTCGGACACCATACCACGGCAGCCACCAGTAATATAGCACTGAACGGCAGCGTGCACAGAAACACCGTGCGGAACGATGCTGCGTATGCCTGCTTAGTAGCCGCATCGACCGCCGAAAGAACGTTACGGTCGATACCAGGAACGCTGGTGAAGACGCCTGTACCGACGGCAGCGAGCAGAGCCGGAACGCTATTCTCAGGAAGTCCAGCCTCAACAGCCGCTGGCCCAACATGTCTCGGCAAGTACTTGGCCAGCTCGGTCGAAAGAATACTGCTGTACATGCTCGTAGCCAGCGCTCCAGCCGCCGTCCTGATCGCACCCAACACACCCGCCACAAGGCCTATATCATCCGGCTCCCACACCAACGCCATAGTCGAAAGCGTCAAATTCTCCACATAACCCGCCGCAGCCGTCCCAATCAACAAGAAAACCGTCGTTCGCGCCTCGGATTCCGGCGTAGCAGAAGCCATCGCCGCAATAAATGCCATCATAATGACTCCCGCAACGGTCATTTGGATTTTCATCCGAGGGATATACCTCACTCCAATACCAGCGGCAATCTGTCCCAGCAACAAGCCTCCACCCACAGCACAACTCAACCATCCCACTCTCGACACCGAAGTCGTGAATAACGCCCCTGCCATCGTCGGCCATATCACCGTTCCGGCGTAATACACCATAGCCCCGATACTCGCACAAGCGACAATCGCATCATATTTCAAATTCTTGAACAAAACCATCGGCATCAACGGATACTCATTCGTACACTTGGCTTCCCAAACACAAAACCCAATCATGGTCGCTATCCCCGCGAAGAAGGCTCCTAAGACGTGGCCCGATTTCCAGGGATATGTGGTTCCGCCCCAGTTGAGACCGATCAGGAAGACGGTTAGACCGGCGCTGAAGAGGAACATTCCGATCCAGTCGAAAGATGCGAGTTGTTTGAGTTTAGATTTTCCGTTGACGTGCAGTAAGGAGTAGGAGGGTGGATGGTAGAAGAAGAAGTAGAGGATGACGGCGATGGTGTTGACAATGACTCCTAAAATGTAAGACCAGCGGAAAGTGAGGGATGTGTGTTCGAAGAAGGCCTGTTGGGAGTCGAGCGTTAGCGAGACACGACGGTGCGATTTGTTTCGTGTCCGAACTTACTCGTGCAATCGGCGGTCCAAAAACCGCAAAAGGAACACTCGTACTGAGCACGACAGCGTTGTAAACTCCTCGATTCTTGTTCGCAACCAATTCCCCCAAAACCACGGAGAAACTCAATTGTCCACTGGCGGCGAGACCATTGATGCAATTACACGCGATGAGCATGTTCAAGCTATTGGCCGCGGAACCGATGATGTTGCCGAGAATGGCGAAGACGGAGGAGCCCATGAAGAAGTAGCGACGGCCGAACTATATGACAAGTTTGAGCATAGCGCGCTTCCTTCGTATACCCATCTTCCTTCACTCGTGGGAGACTTACGATATCACTCAACCTCCCCACCCAAAGAAATCCAATCGTAAAACCCGCCTGCCAAGCCACCGCCAACCAAATCGAACTTCCAGAAGCATTCGTCGGATCAAGTTCCGCTACAATGAGAGAAATGGTATTCGCGGGTAGAACCCATCCCAAATACCCGGAGATCTGGGCCAGACATGTTGCGACCAAGGTGCCGATGAAGGAAGGGGACGTGTAGTAGTTGGGAGGTAAGTTGTGGCCAAGAGCTTCGGGTGAGATGAGGTCGTGGTGGAGGGCCACTTCGCCATGGTCCTTGGGGAGGTGAGCGGAGGGAGGTGTTTCGGCGCGCTCGGTGTGGGTGATGTGATCTTGGTCTTTGGTGTCCATTTTGATTATGTGGTGATCGGACCATACATGTCTTGACCGGGATATGAGCGGAGCCTTATACTAGATCGTTGGTATAGGGGGGTGTGGGTAAGTGAAGGCTGTGGGGTACATAGGTACATGCATCTGGGGCATATGTAGGCGAGGTTCGCGTCTTCATTATGAACTCGGTAACCGGAAGACGTGATCCGCCAACATTTCTTGCTCTCAGCTATGTGTTACCGTGAGGAGAAGCTGACGTGTAGGAGCAGCCAGAAGAGTCGAGGGAAACGCCATCCGAGGGTGATAGTCACGTTCGAAAGCGTTTGCCGAACAAATTCCTTGTCCTACGTTGGTTGGAGCTGAGAGTGGACTGTGCGACTACATTAGCTTATCATCAAAGGAAAATGACAGTGATAGACATTACGAGGCCGCCGACTTGGCTACCATCTTGCATGCAATTGAATCTATCTTCCGTCCCCGCTCCCTTGACCCGTTTCAGAAGCCTTCATTTCGTCTTCTTCTCCGGGCAAGAAAATTTCATGCCCGCTGCCATTCCTGACTTTGAAGCTAGCAATACATCCAAATGCCGCGATCGTCGCAACGATCCACCATGCCATGCCTACAATACCTCTTTCAGTCCAAATTCCAAACCAGTACCCGGCAAGCATAGGGCCAATCGTTCTGAATAGGGCGCTGCATGCATTTCCAATTCCATGAATCGTTGCTAAGACGCTAGGATGTGGGGAGCTGTTATTAAGTAGAATGATGGATGCAGGCAGGGCGAATGTACGGGCAGCGACTTGAAGAAACAGGACAAAGCTGATTCCGAGCCAGATGATGACGCCGCTTGAGGGTTCGGGAGGGGCGGTCGTGGAGGGGAGCAGTGCCAGGTAGGGCGCCAAATAGTAGGCCGCTGGGAAAAAGAAGAGCGAGCCTCTAAAGCACCACATCAGGCCAAAACGTCCATTCGCCCATGGGTATAGCAGGAATTGGAGGGCCACACCGATAAATCCAATAATGGCCATGGCGAAACCGATCGTCGGAGGCGGGAATGCCAATCCAGACGAAAATTTGAACATGCTTCTCCTCCGTACTCCCTCGTCGTCCGACACGAAGTCTCGCGGAGTCGCTAGGAAGAGAATCCACAAATTGGCGAAGGCGCCCATGTGAAAGTCGAAAATCGCTATGCTGAGAAGTGTCCAGAGAACATTCGTCGTCCAGAGCCTGCTGAACGGTAACCGCTGCACGGGTCTGAGCTCGTGCTTTTCTCCTGTTGTGGTGAGTCTGTCCATTTCCACGGAATCACGACCTTCCTGTCCTGACAGGAGTGCTTCCCTTTGGCTTTGCTGTAGCATTCTGTAACCCTGATCTTTCATTTGCATAATCTGGCTGTATGCATTCCTCACAATCGTCAATGGGTCGAATTTTGAGATGTCCATCGGTACCCTGCCCTTCAACGTCTCATTCAGCGCAAAGTGAACAATCGACGCCTCTATAAGTAACAGGACGGTGCTTATGAGGTTCGCAGCAGCATATGGGTATGTCTGCATCCATAGCACACCTTCCGCCCCACCAAACGTACTGTCCGGACCAAACAGCCTTGGCAGATTGACCGTCGGATCTGTCAATAGTCCCGCCAAAATGGGACCGGCTACATTTGCAACATTGAACGCGGCGGGCAGTAGCAGAAATGCTCGCGGATGCCAGGGCTTCGGAGTACATTCAGCGACCATGGTGCGGGCAGATCCCACAGTACCATTTATAGCACCACTCACGAAGCGCCAAAACACTGCCTGCTGGTACGTTGTGCTGAAACCCACACCAATGCAACCAATCGCCGTGCCCACCAAGCCAATCATCAAGACCGACTTCCTCCCTAACATGGGATGATCCGCTGCTCTTCCCCATAATATGCTCGTAACGATTTGTGCGGCTGTGAAGGCGCCTTGCAGCACACCTGCCTGATGTGAGATTGTGACATCAGAAAGCTCTGGGTCGAAGCTCTTCAACTGATGGACCATGAAGGTCTGCAGGGCAGCCATCTGGAAGAAGTCGACGAAGCGGGAAGCGGCGAGGATGGCCAATTGGCCCTTGTTGGGCATATTCGTCCATGTCGGGGGCGGAGGTGGAAGGTGGGTTGTGCTTGTGTCGTTGTATGGCGGAGAGGATGCCATGGGATTCTGTTGTGAGCCTAGATGCGCACCGATCCTGCCATTGCCGTTTTCCGTGTCAGGCGCATTTGACCACTCTTTGCTGGGCGGTACAGGAGTGGTGTCTGCGAAGTATGGATCATCGACGGCTGTGTGAGGTGAGTCGGGCGGACTTTGGTTAGCCTTGAGGATGGATGGGCGGTCGGGCTTTTCTGAGCTATAGCTGCGATGGTGTATTACGTTGGAATTTGGATTGGAGGTCTGGAGCTGCTGCTGGCGATGCAAGAGCTCCTCGCGCGTGTGAGCTTCGGAGCCCAAGCGCTGCCGAGCCTGGGCCTGGGCCTGGGCCTGATGGCGGGAAGTACTGCGCTGGTGGTGTTGGTGTGCTTGTGCCATGCCCAGAGGGAGGAGGAGGTCGAAGCACGCTGCACACCTACAACAATGCTCCCACTTCCCGTCGCAATCGCAATCGCAATCGCAATCGCAATTTGTTTGTTTGCTGTTACCCGCACGAGGCTCTTGGCCTACGGACTGTACAGAAGGAGTCTCAGTCTTTTGCTTCAGCGCAACTGGCAGTATGGAATGGGATGGGATGGGATGGTGGGGTCCAGTGGCAGGTGAAGCCACATTGATCAGGCACCTCCGTCGCTCCGCTCCTTCATCTTCCTGGCCTGCCGATTGCGAATGCCAAGATCCCGCTCTGGTGTCCGCGTGTGTGCATCAGGCTGATCTCAAAACTCCGAGCCGAAGGAGGCAGCAACACACAGCAACAGCAGCCGCCGCCGCCGCCGCCGCATCGCATCCTTGCACCACATCACCCCAGTACGCCTCCCTAGTCAGGCTAGTGCTGCTAGTCAGGTCCAGTATGCCAAGTCGCGCCACGGCAGCTGTCTTCCGTCTTGAAACGTCGCGTACGCACGCGCCGGTGATGTCGCGTCGCTTCGTATGGTGGTGGTGGTGGTGGTGGTGGTGATGGTGGTGGTGGAAGTGGCGCCTCCTGTCTCCCTCTACCACTGATGATCATTGGATTGGTGCGAGACAATGCTGTCCGAGCCGATCTGACCTGCAGTATTCGTGGTCTCGCCGCGTGCCTCGTATACTACAGACATCGGTATGCGAGGTATGCGAGGTATGCGAGGTATGCGAGGTATGGAAGTGCACAAGAAGGACACGCTGCGAGAAGGGAAGAGATGAGGCTGCAAGCATTCCTACATCTGCACATTGCCTACGAGCACGGAAAAGGCTACTGAGTCAGGCGTTTGATGTGCTTCGTCGTGATTGGCTCTCAATACGAGAATACGTCTTCGGGAGGCCGGGCCTCAGGCCTCTCAGAGCACCATTCTTCCATACCAATGGAAGGATCCCGGCCTTCAAAGTCTACTGATACTGGTATCATCTCGTCCATGCCAAACTCCTTCCCATGCACCGCCCTGGCCATATCATATGCAAAATGCTGCTTCTCGCTCCCACAAAACGCCTCGCCATGCAATCATCAAAGCCATTCGCGCAATCCAAGTCAATGACACATCCAAGCCGTATTGCCACGCACCGGCGCAGAGAAGATCAACCAGATTTGGTCTTCGAAGTCCTCATTAATTGTCAGGCGATGGCCGGCGTGCTGTGCCCGCTGTCATATCGCTGAATGTCCTTCTGTCCTATCCTCGTATACCGGCCGAGATTAAGCTGCGATCCTATCGAGCTGTGCGACAGTCGGTCTTGGAATTTGCCCAAGGTCCCTCTGCGCCAGAAGTAGAATCCCACAATGACGGCAGTAGCCCCAAGAAGCAGGCCCACGCCGACTGCGAGCCTGCTCGTGTCTCTGTGCTCATCATCGTATTCATCCGAGCCACTGCCACTACCAATCTGCGCAACGTCGGGCAGGTCTTGATAGTAATGGCTGGTGTTGTAGCCTCGATGCGGTGACAAAAAGTCTTCCGGCGTCTCGACCTTGGCATCGTACGGGGTTGAGTACTCGGGAGGTACGCGGAAGGCGTGGTTGCATCCACGGTCACCACAATGCACTCGCATCCTATCGCTTGGCACGAACGTCTTGGAGATCACGCTTCGTCCCAGCGCTCGTCCTGTGCTGTCAGAGGCCTCCGCATAGGACCAAGGCGCAAAGCTCTCGACGTGGTGCTCGGTTTCGAAACCAGTCTTGTAGACGTTTGCAACCAAGGACCAAGGACCATCCGGACTGGGCCCTGTGAAGAGCTTCCAGCTCCTGACTTCTGTGGCACCATTCCATGACACCCAAAATCCCATCAGACCTTGTCCTGTCCTGCTGTACGTCCAAAGTGCTGGGCTGGTCAGAGGCTCGGCGGTCCAGTTGTACTTGTTTGATCTGTATATCATGACATTTGACGCTCTTTCGGCGACCCGAGCGTACATGACTGTTTCACCGTCGGCGGTGTGTTCCGAGAAATATGCATGCTCGCCCCATCCGATGTGACACCCGCCATTTGGCAGCATCTGCATGTTGCCTTGAGAGGTCGAAAGAAGTCCTCCCTTAGGCTCCGGTGCTCCCCATTCCTTGATCATTGTTGCTGTCTCGGCAACGTGATCAATCGCAATGATCCATCCGTGGGAGAAGTTGCCGGTCCTGTTGTACGCGTTGCTGGCATTGTCGTAGAAAGAAAACACCGTATGTGTTCCATTCTCGGAAATCCACCTCGCGTGATGCTGGTAAGAGAACTTGAAATTGGTTTGTGCAAAATCCGGATTATTGCCTCCCAGCTGCCACAAAATTCTGCCATCCTTCCCCGATACCTTGTAGATGGCGCTGACATGCCTCGCCGATATCAAATAATCACCTTCCTGGTTCTTGTCGACCGAGTTGATGTGGAAATAGTCCCAAGGCTCCTGTTCGTGCAGACCTGTGCCGCTCGTATCTGTCGATCCGGGCAACGTCCATGCTTGGGACGGATCCACGTGGTCTAGTGACCGCCATTCGAATATCAACCTCCCAGTGTCAATGTCGATTTCCTGAAAGACTCCTTCCACAATCCAGCCCATGCCACCTTGCACGTTATAGCGCGGATTCGTAGTGAGGTCGTACTGCCTGGGCTGATAGACCGTCACAAGTGCAGTGCTCCCATTTGTGTAGGGTGTCATTCGGAACTCGTGCATGTCGCAACTGGCTCCTGCGCCTTGCGCCTCAAGCGTCCGCACCACGCGATAGTGCTTGTCCATGATGACTCCATGACCACGCGCGAAACCCTGATGCTGCTCTCCGGTGAAGAAGCACAAATGATCCTCCCCTTTGTAATTGCATACGTGCGGTTTGTGCGAGGTCAGGGGACCGCTCTGGCCTGCTCCTGACCATACGAGGTTGCCGGCGTTATCGTAGATGTACGGGCCCGGATCGAGGTTGCGAAAGGGCGCAAAGAAGATGTAGCCGGGTGTGACGAGGTCGGGCTTGAGGATGGAGAAATTGATCACTGGCGCGTGCAAGTCTGGTCGCTGTTCGTATTCGCCATGTGGTCAGCCAAAGTATCGCTCGATGACGTTCGTAGCAAGGGCACGGGCGGGTGGACGTTGTGTGTGGCTTTGCGGGAGCGACTACAGTAGAATATGGGATCGACGCAAACTTACCGACTTGAACTGATGCGTCGGCGACGTCTCGTTGTTGAGCTGTGCTGTTGCCTCCACCGAGAAGAATGTGAGAATGGCTGCACCTATGCAGAAACATGCCTGCCATGCCGGACATGCGCTGCGCCAAAAGAGTGACATCGGGCAGCGCGCGAGAGGGCCTCGTGTTTATGTATGGTGTCGCGGGCGGGCGGGCGGTATAGCTCCGGTGAAGGCTGGCTGTCAATCGCGCAAGAGAAGGAGCAATTGCAACATCGAGGCCGCGCGAGAGTGGCTTCTGTTCCTGGCAGTGGAGTCGGTTATCTGCAAGTCATAGCATGATACAGCAATGGGCCGGTAGTGAGGGATGGTGTGGAGAATAGAACTGGGAAAGAGTGAAGGTGTTGTTGCAGCAAGGCTAGCAGAGAGAGTCGCATAGCAGCGGTGGCCTCAGGAAGGAATGTTGCTATACTCTGAAACACTGACGCTGCTCTGGTATGTCACGATGTCGCTTGCATCCCGACGCGCGGTCACACTGCTGCTTTGGTTTGCTAAGGGACGGTACCCTACAGGCAGGCAGGCAGGCAGGCAGGCAGGCAGGCAGGCAGGCAGGCAGGCACAGATCCGCAGGGAGGGCCACACCACATACATACAATGCATGTTGCTGTTCGGTATTTCGCTAAGCCAACTACCTTGATGTGAGTGCACCACCTCCTGAATGAGATGGAGGTCTCAGGGCAAAGTTCGACATGCTTGTCAACCTGTGCCCGCCCGCTGACCGCAACGATATCCTATGCCACGCTAAGGTACAACTACACGACCGGGACCAACAAAGTCCGTCGCCTTTTAGCCATGTCCGCGTCTTAGCTCGGCCTCGGCTGCAAGTGGAGAGTCTGGGGACCACTCACGGTCAGCTAGAGATGTAGACTCACGGTGTATTTAATTTCCGGGCTTATGAACACGGTGTTTACTATATAAACATATACGAGACACAGATTGGTCAGCAAGTGGATCCAGTTATTATAGCGTATCCTATACAAAGTAGAACAATAAAGGAAATAAGATATATAGAAGGTATATAGTAACAATCTTAGTATAGACAACAGCCCTACTAGCTATTACTATCGGTAGTAAGGTCGACAGCGTTGTTGCCGCTATCTTCGTCTATATTGTCGCCGCTATTGCGAGTATATTTAAAGTCGCCTTATAGCTTAAATACCTCCTTTAGTATATTCTATAGATCTATATAACTGTCGTCTATAAGCCTATCGTCGTCTAGTCGATACTTAATACGTAGATTCTAGTAGATAAACGCGAACAAACACGCCCTCGAGGTAGTATAGACCGGGATATAAAAAAATCTCTATAGCGCTAGTGCCTCGAGAACCTAGCTAGGGCGGCAAACTAGCTATTCTAGCTATTCTAGCTACTTATCTAAGTAATTATTACTAATCTTATATTTACCTACGTGTTTATAAGACACGCGCTAAGGTAGTCTGTGTTTACCGTATAATAACGGTAATGTTTACGGCTGTGCTATTATATACAATATCTCTACGGTTAGTAGTAGCAAGCGCTCGGCTTCTTCTTCCTACGAGTCGTACTAGCAACTATAGCGTTAACGCATATCGGAGTAAAAGCTAGCGTCCGGAGCCTCGGAAGGTGTATAACATTAGCACTTCCGGTACCGCTAATTGCAGTGTCCTATACTAAATCGAGGTGTTAGCGCCGCGGCTAAGCATAGTACCTATAGGAAGGCTTAGCTATTAATTCCTCCGACTAGAGGGCTTAGAAGTTACGTATAGGCACTATCTAGGGCATATATAGACTATCTTTTAGTAGATTCGATAATATATTATTTTATAAGCTTTTTGCAATATTAAAGAAAGGAAGAAGGAGTAATTTAGAAGTAAGCTAAAGGTCGTTATATAATTAGGAGTAGGTCTATACTAGATTAATAGTATTCGAGAGTATAATTATAGAGGAGGCGCGGAGAAGTAGTTAGCGATAAATAGGTGCTTTCGGTAGTATCTACGTATATAGAGTCCCCTATTAAATAGTTAGCTTCTCTCTCGTTCCTTTATAATACCGTATACTTACACTAACGAGTAGTACGCGTAGTATAGCCGTAGAAGGGGTTGTTCTAGCGCTATTCGTACTCGTAGTACGCCGGCTCTTTGCGATTAACGACATACTAATCTTCTAGAGGTATACCGTCTACTAGACTAGCGCCGTCTAGCTCTTATTAAAGCCCTCGAATAAGGTAAGAAAGACAGAGCGTAGTTACGCCTGCTTTCTGACGTTATTAGTAGCCGTAGAAGTCTAATACTATTAGTTATGCCCTCTATCTATTTGCTTAGTTTAGTGCCGGCATTTAATCTAGCTCTATTGCCTTATCGGTCTAGAAGTCTACTAAGGCCGGCTCTATCGCAGTTGTCGCAATCTCGTCGCCCTTAGGTTCTATAGTTTAATAACCCTCTACGCTATTAATTCTATATCTAATAGCGCGACCGTATACTATCTGTTCTACTACCTGTTTACGACCGTCCGCCGGAGTATAATAAGTCGGAGATACAACTTCGAGAGCAGCGCGAGCTTAAATAGTAACTTCTAAGCTAAATACGTCGTCTATAGGTTAAGGTTATCGATTTAACTAAATAAGAGTCTCAATCTTTAGATAATAACTTAGCCTCGGTACGGATTAGCCCGCGGACCCGGCGATTCCTGTTAGATCAGAATTAAAGCTCCGAAGGCGGGGCACTAGCTTCTTCTAACACTTCTAATACCTCCTTCTAAAGCGATTAGCTATTTCTATCGATATAATATACTAATTTATCGCACCCGACACTGCCTACTATACTACTTGCAAATCGTCTATCTAGCTAGTTAACTCTACTAAGCATTAAATCACTTCTTTTTAGACCGCTAGGGCTATTACTAATATACGAAATCGCGACCTAATAAACTACCGAATAGCGAGTCTACCGCCGAGCCGTACTTCTATACAAACTACGTACTACTATTAAACAACTGCACCGAATAGCTAAATAGCCGCTTATTTACATCTTAGAGTAGTCTCGTAAGGCATTGTCGACTATCTATCGCATCGTTTATAAGCCTTTTACTCCTAGGCGCTACCGAGCCTACCGAATCGACGAATTCGACTATTCGCGCCCTATTTCTCGAGAGATTGCCCTTGCCTACGTACTAACTCGACGACGTAGCCGTAGGCTCTATATAGATACCTAAGAGCGCCTTATCGTCGACTATATTACTTAGAACGCTATAACTCGTCGTATAACTTAGACGGAAGTTAGAGACTTACTTAGTTTAAATTGCAGTCCTACAACCGTCTCTCGTATCTATAGAAGGCATAGTTATCGCCGCTACCTTATATGCCCTCGGCCCTTCTATAACGACCGTATCCGACGCCTACGCCTTAAATAGGCTCAATTCTATTAACACTTTACTAAAGAAGACTAGGCAAACGTTCTATAGAGCGACGAGTGTACTATGCGTAATAGATTATACGAGAGGCTCTTTATTACTCGACTAGTTAGTAAGCGCAACTAAGACTGCTGTTCGAGGCCTCGCTTCTAACGCCTTCTATACTAGATAATATAGGCCTATATTAGTAGTATTGGCGGCAAAGGACTACTCCTACTATAGGATAAGACATAGGGCAATATTAACAAAGAGTTATACTATAAGAAGGTCTTGCTACTAGTTTAAGAAGAGATTAGTCGTATAAATAGCCTTATTGCTAACTAAGAATACCCTCTCGGTTACGAGCCTGCCTTGCACTTAAGAATAGCACTCTTCTAACAAGACTCGGCGCCTATATATAGAGCTAAACACACACTCAATTAGTTACGAGCTCGCCGCATTATTCTTATAGACAACTAGCTACCTTTATTACTAGATTTGAACCCTATCGAGAACCTATAGCGAGTAATTAAGCAGGCAATTGAACGCCGCAGAAACAGACCTACTAGCCGTAACCTTTAGCTAGCAATTGTCGAAGAATACTATAACGTACCTATAGAATTAGTATAACAATGGATTAATAGTATGCCGGCTCGCTATCGTATAGTAATTGACGCTAATAGCGGTTAAATACAGTAGTAGATAGCATAGCGCTCACTTAGTTGTCTACAGTTGTCTATAGTCTTTAAACTAGCCTTCTATACGGCTTTAAACACCCTCGTTCTTAACCCCAATCGTTACTAAACCAGCTATCTATACGGCTTCAAACCAGCCTTCTATACGGCTTTAAACACCCTCGTTCTTAACCCCAATCGTCACTAAACTAGCTGTCTATACGGCTTCAAACCAGCCTTCTATACGGCTTCTAAAACACCCTCCTTCTTAACCCCAATCGTTACTAAACTAGCTAAAGAACTAAAGTTCCTAACAATCGCACTAATTAGCTTCTAATACCTAGTTACACTATACTTTGTATAGTAAGCGGTGCCGCTAAGCAAGGGTCGCGATACCCTAGAATGCATAAGCGCTCTTTCACTCCGATATGCGTTAACGCTATACAGTTTTACTATATATCGTCCTCTAGTTTGGTTACTACTATATATTAGGAAACTTAGTAAGTTTTAGCTAAACCTAGAGCGGAGTTAGTAACACAGTCTTTTACTAGTAATTACTAGGCAATAAGCTACCCGCAATCCTCTAGTTTAGTAGCGTTTAGAACCGCTCGGCGTAGTAACGAATTAGGTTAAGAAGGGCGCCTCTCTCGAGCCTATCGGTAAAGCGGCTATTTAACTATTTAACTATTATAGAAGTAGCAATTTTGTAGTAAAAGAGACTATTATAGATACTAAGAGTTATTACTATATAATTACCGCCTTCTACGACTATATCGGAAAGCCTAGCCTCGCTAATTACTATCTCTTCGGCCTCGTTATTACTTAATACGAGGTCTTATAATACGTATTATATTACTAGCGGTTAACTAGCGGTTACTATATGTTCTTATACCTCTTATCTCTCGTCTAACTCGCTCGTTACTAGGTAGGTTATTAGCGGCGTCGTCTTCCGAGTCGTCTATTATCTAACTAGTTAGTCGCCTAGCCGCTCGTTCGTAATCCTCGTCTCGTATATAGCTTATTATCGTATCTATAGTATACTAGTCTACGTTATAGAAGATA